TTATCGTGGTGGACGGGTTTGAGTGCCCGAATGATCCTGGGAGCGATGTTGTCAGGGGCTTCATGCCCCTGGTAGGGTCACGCAAGGAAAACAGGTCCTGGGGGACGGGTCAGACGAAGAAGGGTTCAGAAGCCCCACATGATGAGTTCTAATCAGAGGCCAGTTACGCCCGGAATGGCGTCACCGGGCCCCACCCTGTAGCCAGGCCTGGGGTGGGTGCCCAAAGGCGAGTGTCTGGTGGCCGGGCCTTCCCCCACGGGGGCTGGCCGGGCACAGCCCGAACGCCCTTCCGTGGGCCCACCACCTGCGGGACGAGCCATATGCTTGTGCGGAGAGATCTGCGCGGCAGTCGAAGGCGGGGGCCTCGACAACTGGATCTCCGGACATGGAGACTAGCTCTGGGGACATGGAATGTCAGCTGACTGGGGGGGAAGGAGCCTGAGCTTTTGCGGGAGGTTGAGCGTTACCGACTAGATATAGTCGGCCTCACCTCCACGCACAGTTTGGGCTCTGGAACCCAACTCCGTGAGAGGAGCTGGACTCTCTATTTCTCTGGCGTTGGCTGTGGGGAGTGGCAGAGGGCTGGTGTGGGACTGCTCATTGCCCCACAGCTCAGCTGCCGTGTGTTGGAGTTCACCCCGGTGAAAGAGAGGGTCGCGTCCCTGCGCCTTCGGGTCGGGGACAGGTCTCTCACTGTGGTGTCAGCCTATGGGCCGAACAGCAGTGCAGAGTACCCGGCCTTCTTGGAGTCTCTGGGAGGGGTACTAGACAGTGCACCGACCGGGGACTCCATTGTTCTACTGGGGGACTTCAACGCCCCTGTGGGCAATAACAGTGACACTTGGGGAGGGGTGATTGGGGAGGAACGGCCTCCCTGATCTGAACCTGAGCGGTGTTTTGTTATTGGACTTCTGTGCTAGTCACAGTTTGTCCATAACAAACACCATGTTCGACCACAAGGGTGTCCATCAGTGCACGTGGCACCAGGACACCCTAGGCCGGAGGTCGATGATCGACTTTGTCGTCGTGTCATCTGATCTCCGGCCGCGTGTCTTGGACACTCGGGTGAAGAGAGGGGCTGAGCTGTCAGCTGATCACCACCTGGTTGTGAGTTGGGTTCGCTGGCGGAGGAGGAAGCTGGAAAGACCTGGCAGGCCCAAGCGTGTAGTGAGGGTCTGTTGGGAACATCTGGCAGAGCCCTCTGTCAGAGGGGCTTTCAACGCGCACCTCTGGAAGGACTTCTCCTGGATTCCGGGGGAGGCTGGAGATATGGAGTCTGAGTGGGCTTCATTCTGGGCCTCTATTGTCGATGCGGCCGCTTGTAGCTGTGGGCGTAAGGTCTGTGGTGCCTGTCGCAGCGGCAATCACCAAACCCGGTGGTGGACACCGGAAGTAAGGGATGCCGTCAAGCTGAAGAAGGGCCTTGTTGGCTCGTGGGACTCCTGAGGCAGCTGATGGGTACTGGCGGGCCAAGCGTGCAGTTGCGGAGGCAAAAACTCGGAGCTGGGAGGAGTTCGGGGAGGCCATGGAGGAGGACTATCAGATGGCCTCAAAGAGATTCTGGCAAACCGTCCGGCGCCTCAGGAGGGGGAAGCAGTCCTTCACCAACACTGTTTACAGTGCGGGGGGAGAGCTGCTGACCTCGACTGGGGATGTTGTCCAGCGGTGGAAGGAATACTTTGAGGATCTCCTCAATCCCATCGTCACATCTTCTGAGGAGGAATCCGAGGCTGGGGACTCGGGGGTGGACTCGTCCATCACCCTGGCTGAAATCACTGAGATGGTTGGCAAGCTCTTTGGTGGCAAGGCTCCGGGGGTGGACGAGTGTTGCAGGGCTGTCTTGTCTGACATGCCTCTTCAGCATCGCGTGGCGGTCGGGGACAGTGCCTCTGGACTGGCAAACCGGGGTGGTGGTCCCTCTGTATAAGAAGGGGGACCGGAGGATGTGTTCCAACTTCAGAGGAATCACACTTCTCAGTCTTCTCGGTAAGCTCTATGCCAGGGTACTGGAGAGGAGAATCTGGCCGATAGTTGAACCTCAGATCCAGGAGGAGCAGTGTGGTTTTCGTCCTGGCCGTGGAACACTGGACCAGCTCTACACTCTCCATAGGGTGCTTGAGGGTTCATGGGAGTTCGCCCAACCAGTCCACATGTGCTTTGTGGATCTGGAGAAGGCATTCGACCGTGTCCTGTGGGGGGTGCTCTGGGAGTATGGGGTTCAGGGCCCTTTGCTAAGGGCTGTCCGGTCCCTGTATGGCCGGACCAGGAGCTGTGTTCGCATTGCCGGCAGTAAGTCAGACCTGTTCCCGGTGCATGTTAGACTCCACCAGGGCTGCCCTTTGACACCGGTTCTGTTCAATGTATTTATGAACAGAATTTCTAGGCGCAATCAGGGGCTGGAGGGGGTCTGGTTTGGGGACCACAGGATCTCATCTCTGCTGTTCGTAGATGATGTTGTCTTGTTGGCTCCATCGAACCAGGACCTGCAATGTGCACTGGGGCGGTTTGCAGCCGAGTGTGAAGCGGCTGGGATGAGGATCAACTCTTCCAAGTCCGAGGCCATGGTTCTCGACCGGAAAAAGATGGCTTGCCCTCTGCGGGTGGGTGAAAAGTCCTTGCCTCAAGTGGAGGAGTTCAAGTATCTCGGGGTCTTGTTCACGAGTGAGGGGAGGACGGAGCATGAGATTGACAGACGGATCGGTGCAGCGTCTGCAGGGATGCAGTCTCTGTATTGGACTGTTGTGGACTGTTACCGGTCAATCTTCGTTCCTACTCTCACCTATGGTCATGAGCTCTGGGTAATGACCGAAAGGACAGGATTGTGGATACAAGCGCTCGAAATGAGTTTCCTTCGTAGGGTGGCTGGGCGCTCCCTTAGAGATAGGGTGAGGAGCTCAGTTACATGGGAGGAGCTCGGAGTAGAGCCGCTGTTCCTCCACGTCGAGAGGAGCCAGCTGAGGTGACTCGGGCATCTGTTTCGGATGCTTCCTGGGCGCCTCCCTTGGGACGAGCATGTCTCACTGGGAGGAGGCCCTGGAGGGACTATGTCTCTCGGCTGGCCTGGGAACGCCTCAGGGCTCCCCCGGAGGAGCTGGATGACGTGTTTGGGGTGAAGGAAGTCTGAGAGTCCCTGCTTAGACTGCTGCCCCCGTGACCCGGCCCCGGATAAGCGAAAGAAAATGGATGATGGATGGATATATATATATGTATGTACAGTATATATATATATAAATAAACATAATATATATATATATATATATATATATATATATATATATATATATATATATATATATATATATATATATACATATACACATATATATTAGGGGTGTCAAATTATCACGTTAATTACGATTAATTAATTACAGTCATATTTAGTGCGTTATGTTTTTAAATCTCTAACTTTACTGTTACTGTATGCGAGTTGCTTTATTATAAAACCTGTTTTTATGTGTTGTTGGGACAACACAAAAAAAACACATTTATATATTTTTTTTATTTCGGTAATTCCACTCATTGCCGGAAACCCACACGAAACGCGCGCAGTAAGAGTGATGTAAACGTCATGTTAACGTTGGCGGCGTCAGTCGCACAATGAACGAGGTCGAAGAGCCAGTAGAACAGAGTCAGCAGTGCACAGGTAAAAACGCATTTGTGTCTTGGAAATTCTTCTCCCGACGTGAAATATAAAAGAAAATAACAAGTATAAAATCGCCTACAACTTAAATGTCACTGGTGAAAACAACCTGCATAGACTCATGATGTCTGCACTACTGTCCTATAGTGACCTGCCACATGAGGGGACACGCACACAAACACACACAAACACAAACACACACACAAACACACACACACCTTCATCATCGTCATCAACCTGAGAACGCGCGGACCACGTTTCCTTCCGTAGTTACTGCGCGGACACCGCTGTCCTCCCGTGCGCCGCGTACGTTTTCTCGCGTACGCTGCGTAAAACCGGGACTAACCCAGTCCAGGACTAAACCAGGACTAAACCAGAACTAAAACCAGAACTAAAACCAGAACTAAATCCAGGTCTAAAACAGGACTAAACCAGGACTAAAACCATGACTAAACCAGGTCTAAACCAGGACTAAACCAGAACTAAAACCAGAACTAACACCAGGACTAAAACCAGGACTAAACCAGTTCTAAACCAGGACTAAACCAGAGCTAAAATCAGAACTAACACCAGGACTAAAACCAGGACTAACCCATTCCAGGACTAAACTAGGACTAAAGTAGGTCTAAACCAGGACTAAAACCAGATCTAAAACCAGTGATCTCATATATAAAGCATTTCTCTATCAATAATATTTTTAATATGGTTAAGGAAAGACTGGACTTTTTATTGTCTTTAAGTAGACAAAAGTTATTATGTTCAGATTTCCTCGTCTTTGCTACTTTACAGCAAACAGTTTTTTATTCATGGAGACTTGGGCTCAACAGACAATTTGGAGAGATTTGTTAAACAATAAATGATTTCATAAAGTCACTTTTTTTGTTCTATATCAGTCTTTTGATCTGCCACAATAATGTAATAATGAATTTAAATGAAAATACCTCAAATTGAAGGCTTTTCTCAGCAATTTTTAGGTGAGATTAAAAATAGATTAATTAGATTAATTAATTACAGATCATAATTAATGAATCTCTCAATTTTTTTTATCGCATGACAGCACGTATATATATATATATATATATATATATATATATATATATATATAAAAGGTGGCCCTGCAGTGGTGACGAAACATGCATCCTTAGGGCAATACAACTAGAGGTTATTTGTTCATTTAAGTGATAAGAATGATATTACAATTGCTTTATGACATTTGTGAAAGGTGTATCTTTCTGCACATTTGTCCACAATGCCTTAGCAATAAAACTTAACCAATGGTTCAGTATAACCTAATATAAAGGGCCACTGGACACTCGTCATTATCACTAGTGTTCCTTGGCAGTGGGTGATAGTTGTAGTGATGGGGTGGCTTGTGTTGATCTGTCTCGCTGCTTCAACTATTCTGAGTGTCACTGATGCTCTGGGTAAGATTAATACTGTGCATGTGCATTTTAACTTTGTTGCAATTATTGACCATATACTTGTATTTAAATAATTTTCCAGCTGGTAACCATGTCAGCAGCATTTGCAGCACTTGGGGCAGAAAGCATTTCAAGACATTTGATGGTGAGGTGTTTCAGTTCCCCGGTTTGTGTGAATATAACCTTGTGTCTGACTGCCACGAGTCCTACCAGGAGTTCTCAGTACACCTGAACAGAGCAGAGGGATCAGACGGGATCTCTACTGTCGAATATGTTGTGGTGGTCATTAATGATCTGTCAATACACCTCGACAAAGATCAAGTCACTGTCAATGATATTTTGTAAGTTCTACTGTACAGATGGTTTGACAGTGTTTATTATGATTATAATTATGATTATGAATATGATTATAGTTATTTATTTGTTTGTTTATTTTCACTTTGCAATTTTTTTAGAGTGACAATGCCATACTTTAGAGGAGGAGTTAAATTGGAACAAAACAGTGTCTACATTAAACTTGAGTCTTCTGTTGGAATTGTTGTCTTCTGGAACAGAGATGATGCCGTTATGGTCAGTTTCGCAACCAGCAGGTATATCATACATATATGCTGTATAATATTATTATATTTTGTTTTTACATAGGTTGAAGTAGATCCTGAATATGCCAACCGCACTTGTGGCTTGTGTGGAGATTATAATGGTATATCCATCCGGAATGAATTCATTCATAATGGTAAGTGTGTCACATGTTTTAGGAAACAGTACACTCATATTATAACTGTTATTAACATTGTTATTCAGGACGTATACTTAGCCCTATTGAGTTTGGCAACATGCACAAAGTCCATCGTCCAAATGATGATTGTGAAGATCCTTATGAAGAAGATGAACAACTACTGGAAACAACACCAGATTCATGCAAGGAGTTTGTAAGTTTGTTTCTCAGTTTATGAAGTCTGAAAGCAAAAATTCATAACTGATGAGCTTTTTCCTTTTGTCTATTATTCTATTAGGAAAACATCTGTGCTCAGGCACTAAATTCAGATAAGTGGAGCTCCTGTACGACCCTTATCAACCCTGAGCAATACATCAAGGCCTGTGCTCAGGACATGTGCTACTGTCCCAACAAAACCAATAACATCTGCATCTGCAGCACACTATCTGAGTTCTCTCGACAGTGCTCACATGCAGGAGGACAGCCTCCCAACTGGAGAACACCTGAGTTCTGTGGTAATGATGCTCTATTTGAAAGGGGAAAAAGTTTTTTGACAATGTTTGCTAATTTGTGCATTATGTCACCATGGCAAATTGGTAGATATAGAACACCCCCAGTGTGATGTCATTGGATAAAAAAAAAATATATATATTACACTTAATATAACAAAAACTAAAAAAGTACAGAATATATTAACAGTTTCTGTCCCACAGCTAAAAGTTGCCCCTACAACATGGTCTATAAAGAGAGCAGTTCACCATGTCTGGACACATGCACTAACCAGGACACTAGTTCACTGTGTGAGGACCACAGAATGGATGGATGCATCTGTCCTCTTGGTTTGTGCCCTTTTCTATTTTAATTCATCATCATGCAATATTTGAATTATGATTAGGACAATTATTGACAACAAAAGTATATATTTATGTTCCTTTCTTGTGAATTTCAGGCACTGTCTTTGATGATATTTCCATGAAAGGGTGCATAAGTCAAACTGAATGTCAGTGCAAACATGACCGAATCTACAATCCTGGAGAACTTTACAGACAAGACACTAAGGAATGGTAAATTAAAATAGATATTTTGTAAATTTGCTTGTTTTGCTTTTATTTTTATCTAAACATTATTTTGCTTCATAGTACATGTCTTGGTGGTACATGGGCATGTAAAGACATTCAAAGGCTTGCTACATGTGCTGTGGAGGAGGGCTCTCATATAACAACTTTTGATGGAAAAACATATACTTTTCATGGGAGCTGTTTCTACACTTTAGCCAGAGTAGAGCAAAAGGTATATATGCATTCAAAAAACAGCAAAGTAATTGTCATTTGTTGTGTAATAATTATGTTTCATTAATGTTTCACTTCTGTTCTTTGTTGGAAGGATAATGTGAGCCCTAATTTTACAGTTTTGGCTCAGCTAATGCCATGTGCACACCAACAGTATGACACTTGTCTTAAGTCCATCAAGATCCTGTTGAACAACGATAGAAACAATGTGAGACTTCCCCTCCTTTAGTAATACAGCTTGTCTCATTTCTTTAATTATTTCTTGTATTAATAACTGCTTTGTTTCAGGTGCTAGTATTCACATATGACGGGTTAGTTAAGTACAACATGCAAACCATAACTTTACCTTACAATTCAGGTAGGCAACATACAGTATGATACTGAAGAAGCAAAAAAAAAAATATATATATATATATATTGATGATTGTTGTGTTTTTAAAGGTAACATCAACATTTTCCAAGCTTCATCTTTCCACATCATCCTACAGAGCAGCTTTGGTTTGCAAATCCAAATCCAACATGTGCCTATAATGCAGATCTATGTCAGACTTTCACAAAGCTACAAAGCAAAGACCAGAGGTATATATTCCGAAGCATGGAATAGTGTGATAATAATGTTTGAAATATACAAATCTGTTGTTAGGTTTATGTGGGAACTTTAACATGATCTTGTCCGATGACACGAAAACGCCTCAGGGCATTGTGGAAGGAGCAGCAGTAGTATTTGCCAACTCGTGGAAAACAAATTTTATGTGTGAAGATGGAGTGGAGAGACTGGATGACCCATGTGCACTTAGTTTGGAAAATGGTAAACTACAGTGCATTGTGCTTTTTATTTAATTTAGCTGAACTATTTTAACTTTAACTTTAACTAAAATTTTATTTTAACCACTATTTGAAAACCATAGAAAAGTATGCTAAGCACTGGTGTGGCTTGTTGCGAAGTTCAAATGGTTCCTTTGCCCAGTGCCACTCAGAAGTTGATCCTGATCTGTACTATAAGGTAAAATTAGTTTGGTGGTATTTTTTGAACTTTTTAATGCCACATTTCTGATAATGTTTGTCATGTTGCCTACAGAGATGTACATATGCCACCTGTAATTGTGAGAAGAGTGAGGCCTGTCTCTGTGCTGCCTTGTCCTCTTATGTTAGAGCTTGTGCAGCTAAAGGGATATTTCTGAATGACTGGAGAGACCATGTTTGCGGTAAATAATTTTGTTCTGAAAAAAGTTTAAGAAATCAGATTAAAACATTTTATATTATATTTTGTTTTTCTAATGTAGAGAAATACTCCCAGAGCTGCCCAGAATCACAGACATTTTCCTACAATCATCACCGGTGTCAGCTCACATGCAGATCATTGAGCTCAAACCAACAGAGCTGTACGAATGACTTTTTACCTGTTGATGGGTGCTCCTGTGCTGAGGGTTTGTTCCTGGATGACAATGGCTTATGTGTCCCTGTTGAGAAATGCCCCTGCCATTACAATGACCTCACCATCAAATCAGGAAAATCGATTAACATCAAAGAGGAACACTGGTATGACTGTTGTCACCTCTCCTTTTATATGCATTTTTCTGAATAAATGACACTATCTGTTTTTATATTTTGATTTAGTGTTTGCACCAGTGGAGTCCTTCACTGCCGTTCATGGAAAATCCGCTCTCGGAGTAAGTTATATCAAACACATGAATACAGACACATGCTTTGATCTATTACAAATTTATGTTTTTTCTAATGCATTTTTATATTTTCCAGCCTGTGCTCCTCCAAAGGTGTACATTAACTGCTCCACTACAGAAATGGGACAGGTTGGAGCCCAGTGTGCTCTGTCGTGTTTAAACCTGGAGAACAATGAATGTGTAAGACCTTGTGCATGTGCCAAGACTTTGGTTAAATTTGTTAACTGGTACAAAGATATTCACTTTACTAAAATACTTTGTTTTCTAGAGCTCTACAGAGTGTGAAGCTGGCTGTCAGTGTCCTATTGGCCTCTTAGACGATGGCAGGGGTTCTTGTGTGAAAGAACATGATTGTCCATGTCAGCATGATGGCCACTTCTATGTGTCTGGCACCAAGATCCCTAAAGACTGCAACACTTGGTACATTGTCTTTTATGATATTTTCTTGCACAATTGAATATTTGTCTTATTCAACAAAACACTGTACAATCATATGTGTAAATTTTTAGTACATGCAAAAGTGGAAAATGGGAGTGTACAAATAACAAATGCCCAGCAACATGCGTCATTTATGGGAGTGGTCACTATTCAACATTTGACCAGAAAACATATGGGTTCAGTGGAAACTGTCCATATGTTGCTGTTAAAGTAAGACAAACTAACATGAGGTAAATCAGCTGTGCATTTAATGTAAATTTACTGTGTTGAATTTCAAATTATAACTTCTAGAACAATTGTAACAACAAAACTGAAGAAAATTACTTTGGCGTAGTGACTGAGAATGTTCCATGTGGGAGTACAGGCACAACATGTTCCAAAACTGTCCGAATCCAGCTTGGGGTAAGAACTACCTAATGTAAATTGTGACTGCTAATTTACCTATGTTTAATCACTAATAACTAACTATAATGTTTACACAGAGTACAGAAATTAAACTGTCAAAGGGTAAACATGAACAGCTGGATCTGGGTCGTGGCTCTTACCTTAATTACAGAATAAGACATGTGGGCTTGTACATTGTTGTTGAGTGTGACATTGGTCTTGCTGTCATGTGGGATCGCAAAACAACAGTCAGGATTCTCCTTGAACCACAGCATGTTGTAAGCATTTTTACTCCAAACTTATCCATTATATGTTTTGTTTGGCAAAGTAATTAAGTTCATCACAAGATAATGTACATATTTTACACCATTTTATTTCCATGTATGTTCTTGTTTTCTAGGGTGTGGTTTGTGGATTGTGTGGAGATTTTGATGGCGATGCAGGAAATGACTTTACCACCCAAGGCCACCTGCTAGTTAGCAGTGCTATAGAGTTTGCTAACAGCTGGAAAGTGCACAGCAGCTGTCCAGATGCAGAGGAGAACATTGATCCATGTGCAGTTGCCCCTAATCGACAACCCTGGGCTAAGCTTATGTGTGGCATCATAAAAGGAGATACATTCAAAGACTGCCACCAAAAGGTAATAAATATATGTGTTATTTTAGTGTGCACCAACAATAAAATTTCACACTTTCTGACTACAGCAGACCAAGAGCAGCCCACTGAATGATCTAATACAGTTATTTATTTACTAGCTAGGACCACGCAACAATAATGGTATACGATAAAGATTTTTATTAATGATGGGTTGATGTGATGACTGGGCGGGGACTCAGGATGGGGGCTCTGTCTCAGGTGGTCAGCCCAGCCGATTCAGGACCCCCCCTCCTTTGTAGATGATGTCTTCAGGCTGAGGAAAGAACAAGAAAGTGGGCATGGTCTGGGTTGTTGGGATAGTATAAATAGGGCTTTTGGATAATTGGAGGTGTGGTTGAGCTGAGCTGTAGTTCGCTGAAGAGAAGTGGGATGTTGAGGCGTAATCCTGTTGCTGAATCTAAGTCGATCATATTAACTCCACATTGTCAAATTCCTGGTGTGCTTTGTTTGGTCTTAAGGTGCCCTATCAAGAGTATTATGAAAACTGTGTACGGGACTCATGTGCCTGTAACACAGGAGGAGACTGTGAGTGTTACTGTTCAGCAGTTGCAGCGTATGCACAAGCTTGCAGTGAGGCTGGAGTGTGTGTGGCTTGGAGGACTCCAGATATCTGCCGTGAGTTCCACATTTAAAACAATAAATTATTTGAATAATGTTGTTTGCCTATTTTAACTTTATAAAATTTATCTATTTTACAGCTGTTTATTGTGATTACTACAATGGCCCAGTAAATTGCACCTGGCACTATAGCCCTTGTCACACTCCATGCTATAAGACCTGTCTGTATCCAGAAGGATGCACTAACCCTTTACCAGAATTGGAAGGTAATGATTTACACATTTTAAAATCATATATATGTGTGTGTGTGTGTGTGTGTGTGTGTGTGTGTGTGTGTGTGTGTGTGTGTGTGTGTGCGTGTGTGTGTGTGTGCGTGTGTGTGTGTGTGTGTGTGTGTGTGTGTAAATATATATATATATATATATATAATGCACATTACTTTTTCTCAGGCTGTTATCCAAAATGTCCTGAAGATAAGCCTATATTTGATGAAGTAAAGGGAGAGTGTGTTGAAGAATGTATAGAAATACCTACCACAACACCAACATCTACTACAACTACTACTCAAACTACAACCCAAACGCCCACCACAACTACAACCCCAACCACTACAACACCTACAACTACAACCCCAACCACTACAACACCTACAACTACAACCCCAACCACTACAACACCTACAACTACAACCCCAACCACTACAACACTACAACAACTACTACTCAAACTACTACCCAAACGCCACAACCACAACTACAACACTACAACTACAACACCTACAACTACAACCCCAACCACTACAACACACTACAAACTACAACAACCACTACAACACCACAACTACAACCCAACCACTACAACACCTACAAACTAACTACAACCCCAACCACTACAACACCTACAACAACTACTACTCAAACTACTACCCAAACGCCCACCACAACTACAACCCAACCACTACAACTACAACAACTACAACTACTGCAACACCTACAACTTGCATACCCACCTGTGAGTGGACGGACTGGTATAACGTTCATAACCCAGCCACCGACAAAAGTGACTGGGAGACATATAAAAACATTACAGACAGCGGTCATTACATATGTGATTCACCTTGGGAGATTGACTGCAGAGCGGCCCTTTATCCAGACAAGGACTTTGAGGAATTTGTGAATGAAACACAGCAAGTGGTCACCTGTAATGTCTCCTATGGATTGATCTGCAGACAAGAAGAACAACTTCCTCATAGGAAGTGTCAAGACTATGAGATCAGAGTGTGCTGTAAGATCTGTCCGACTACTACAACTTCTACCACGACACCAACAACTACCACAACCCGCCCTACTACTACCACTACAACACCTACAACTACTGCAACACCACCTACAACAACTACTACTCAAACTACTACCCAAACGCCCACCACAACTACAACCCCAACCACTACAACAACAACAACTACAACCCCAACCACTACAACACCTACAACTACAACCCCAACTACTACTACACCTACAACTACTGCAACACCACCTACAACAACGACTACTCAAACTACTACCCAAACACCCACCACAACTACAACCCCAACCACTACAACAACAACACCTACAACTACAACCCCAACCACTACAACACCTACAACTACAACCCCAACTACTACAACCCCTACAACTACAACCCCAACCACTACAACACCTACAACAACTACTACTCAAACTACTACCCAAACACCCACCACAACTACAACCCCAACCACTACAACTACAACAACTACAACCCCAACTACTACAACCCCTACAACTACTCCAACACCACCTACAACAACTACTACTCAAACTACTACCCAAACGCCCACCACAACCCCAACCACTACAACTACAACACCTACAACTACAACCCCAACTAGTACAACACCTACAACTACAACCCCAACCACTACAACACCTACAACAACTACTACTCAAACTACTACCCAAACGCCCACCACAACTACAACCCCAACCACTACAACAACAACACCTACAACTACAACCCCAACCACTACAACACCTACAACTACAACCCCAACCACTACAACACCTACAACAACTACTACTCAAACTACTACCCAAACGCCCACCACAACTACAACCCCAACCACTACAACTACAACAACTACAACCCCAACTACTACAACCCCTACAACTACTCCAACACCACCTACAACAACTACTACTCAAACTACTACCCAAACGCCCACCACAACTACAACCCCAACCACTACAACTACAACACCTACAACTACAACCCCAACTACTACAACACCTACAACTACAACCCCAACCACTACAACAACTACTACTCAAACTACTACCCAAACGCCCACCACAACTACAACCCCAACCACTACAACTACAACAACTACAACCCCAACTACTACAACCCCTACAACTACTGCAACACCACCTACAACAACTACTACTCAAACTACTACCCAAACGCCCACCACAACAACAACCACTACAACTACAACACCTACAACTACAACCCCAACTAGTACAACACCTACAACTACAACCCCAACCACTACAACACCTACAACAACTACTACTCAAACTACTACCCAAACGCCCACCACAACTACAACCCCAACCACTACAACTACAACAACTACAACTACTGCAACACCTACAACTTGCATACCCACCTGTGAGTGGACGGACTGGTATAACGTTCATAACCCAGCCACCGACAAAAGTGACTGGGAGACATATAAAAACATTACAGACAGCGGTCATTACATATGTGATTCACCTTGGGAGATTGACTGCAGAGCGGCCCTTTATCCAGACAAGGACTTTGAGGAATTTGTGAATGAAACACAGCAAGTGGTCACCTGTAATGTCTCCTATGGATTGATCTGCAGACAAGAAGAACAACTTCCTCATAGGAAGTGTCAAGACTATGAGATCAGAGTGTGCTGTAAGATCTGTCCGACTACTACAACTTCTACCACGACACCAACAACTACCACAACCCGCCCTACTACTACAACTACAACACCTACAACTACTGCAACACCACCTACAACAACTACTACTCAAACTACTACCCAAACGCCCACCACAACTACAACCCCAACCACTACAACAACAACAACTACAACCCCAACCACAACAACACCTACAACTACAACCCCAACTACTACTACACCTACAACTACTGCAACACCACCTACAACAACGACTACTCAAACTACTACCCAAACAACACCACACAACCCAAACTACAACAAAACCACTACAACCCCAACCACTACAACACTACAACTACAACCCCAACCACAACAACACCTACAACAACTACTACTCAAACTACTACCCAAACGCCCACCACAACTACAACCCCAACCACTACAACAACAACAACTACAACCCCAACCACTACAACACCTACAACTACAACCCCAACCACTACAACACCTACAACTACAACCCCAACCACAACAACACCTACAACAACTACTACTCAAACTACTACCCAAACGCCCACACACAACTACTACAACCCCAACCACTACAACTACAACAACTACAACCCCAACCACTACAACACCTACAACTACAACCCCAACCACTACAACACCTACAACAACTACTACTCAAACTACTACCCAAACGCCCACCACAACTACAACCCAAACCACTACAACTCCTACAACTACAACCCCAACTACTACAACACCTACAACTACAACCCCAACCACTACAACACCTACAACAACTACTACTCAAACTACTACCCAAACGCCCACCACAACTACAACCCCAACCACTACAACTACAACAACTACAACTACTGCAACACCTACAACTTGCATACCCACCTGTGAGTGGACGGACTGGTATAACGTTCATAACCCAGCCACCGACAAAAGTGACTGGGAGACATATAAAAACATTACAGACAGCGGTCATTACATATGTGATTCACCTTGGGAGATTGACTGCAGAGCGGCCCTTTATCCAGACAAGGACTTTGAGGAATTTGTGAATGAAACACAGCAAGTGGTCACCTGTAATGTCTCCTATGGATTGATCTGCAGACAAGAAGAACAACTTCCTCATAGGAAGTGTCAAGACTATGAGATCAGAGTGTGCTGTAAGATCTGTCCGACTACTACAACTTCTACCACGACACCAACAACTACCACAACCCGCCCTACTACTACAACTACAACACCTACAACTACTGCAACACCACCTACAACAACTACTACTCAAACTACTACCCAAACGCCCACCACAACTACAACCCCAACCACTACAACAACAACAACTACAACCCCAACCACTACAACACCTACAACTACAACCCCAACCACAACAACACCTACAACAACTACTACTCAAACTACTACCCAAACGCCCACCACAACTACAACCCCAACCACTACAACTACAACAACTACAACCCCAACCACTACAACACCTACAACTACAACCCCAACCACTACAACACCTACAACAACTACTACTCAAACTACTACCCAAACGCCCACCACAACTACAACCCAAACCACTACAACTCCTACAACTACAACCCCAACTACTACAACACCTACAACTACAACCCCAACCACTACAACACCTACAACAACTACTACTCAAACTACTACCCAAACGCCAACCACAACTACAACCCAAACCACTACAACACCTACAACTACAACCCCAACTACTACAACACCTACAACTACAACCCCAACCACTACAACACCTACAACAACTACTACTCAAACTACTACCAAACCCAAACGCCCACCACAACTACAACACCTACAACTACAACCCCAACTACTACAACACCTACAACTACAACCCCAACCACTACAACACCTGCAACAACTACTACTCAAACTACTACCCAAACGCCCACCACAACTACAACCCCAACCACTACAACAACTACAACCCCAACTACTACACCTACAACTACTGCAACACCACCTACAACAACTACTACTCAAACTACTACCCAAACACCCACCACAACTACAACCCAAACCACTACAACACCTACAACTACAACCACTACAACACCTACAACTACAACCCCAACCACTACAACACCTACAACAACTACTACTCAAACTACTACCCAAACGCCCACCACAACTACAACCCAAACCACTACAACTCCTACAACTACAACCCCAACTACTACAACACCTACAACAACTACTACTCAAACTACTACCCAAACGCCAACCACAACTACAACCCCAACTACTACAACACCTACAACTACAACCCCAACTACTACAACACCTACAACTACAACCCCAACCACTACAACACCTACAACAACTACTACTCAAACTACTACCCAAACGCCCACCACAACTACAACACCTACAACTACAACCCCAACTACTACAACACCTACAACTACAACCCCAACCACTACAACACCTACAACTACAACCCCAACTACTACAACACCTACAACTACAACCCCAACCACTACAACACCTACAACAACTACTACTCAAACTACTACCCAAACGCCCACCACAACTACAACACCTACAACTACAACCCCAACTACTACAACACCTACAACTACAACCCCAACTACTACAACACCTACAACAACTACTACTCAAACTACTACCCAAACGCCCACCACAACTACAACCCCAACCACTACAACTACAACAACTACAACCCCAACTACTACACCTACAACTACTGCAACACCACCTACAACAACTACTACTCAAACTACTACCCAAACACCCACCACAACTACAACCCCAACCACTACAACACCTACAACTACAACCCCAACCACTACAACACCTACAACAACTACTACTCAAACTACTACCCAAACGCCCACCACAACTACAACCCCAACCACTACAACTACAACAACTACAACCCCAACTACTACACCTACAACTACTGCAACACCACCTACAACAACTACTACTCAAACTACTACCCAAACACCCACCACAACTACAACCCCAACCACTACAACTACAACACCTACAACTACAACACCTACACCTACAACAACTACTACTCAATCTACTACCCACACACACACCACAACTACAACCCCAACCACTACAACTACAACACCTACAACTACAACCCCAACCACTACAACACCTACAACTACAACCCCAACTACTACAACTACACCAACTGTTACATCATCCACTGTGAGTAGCACCACACCATGTTTCTGCATCTTCAACGGGAAACATTACACGCCAGGTATGAAAAATATTCTCCACTATTTTTTTGTGTTCTGTTAAGGTCTCTGCCTTTGTGTGGTTCAATTTAAAAACAGTATTTTAAAAATATGTAACCTTGTCTGTTTTCACCTCAATAGGGGAGGTCATTTATAACATGCAACATATTGGTTCAGGAGTTTGTGTCACAATGATATGTTCAGATATTTGTGAACTAACCAACAAGACTGAGTCCTGCTGTCCGGAGTGGAATGTTGCGGTAAGTTTTTGCCCTTTGCATTGTATAATTCATGGGAATTAATGGGTATTTTTGAAAATCAACACTTAACATGTTTTCTTTATTCCAGCAAAATGAGACATTTTACCTTTGCAACTGTACTATGGCCAAATGCATTGAAAATAACACTATTGAAATAGTTCCATATGAATGCCCACCTCTTGAAGACATTCAGTGTAGCAATGGAAAGAAACCAGTTCCGGTGTATGATGAATATCACTGTTGTCAATATATGGCTTGTGACTGTAAGTTATGGTCTTTAACAAAATAGATGCATGTGTAGAAAAAAGTATTTATAAACTGTATGATATTTATATTTTTCTTCAGGTGTATGCGAGGGCTGGGGAGACCCCCATTATATAACTTTTGATGGATTATATTACAGTTATCAAGGAAACTGTACATATGTTTTGATGGAAGAAATTACACCAAAATACAATCTGAAGATTTATATTGACAATGTTTACTGTGATCCCACTGAAGATGTGTCCTGTCCTCGATCTATAATTGTTTCATACAGATCACATGTTATAACACTCAAGAACCATAATCTCATTGGGGCTGCACAGCTGGAGGTAAAGCACCACATTATATATTTTATATATATTATATATATATATATATATATATATATATATATATATATATATATATATATATATATATATATATATATATATATATATATATATATATATATATATATATATATATATATATATATATATATATATATATATATATATATTATATATATATATTTATATATATATATATAGTCCCTCAGGATGGCTCCATGTCATCCAGTTTCAGAATATTTATTTTCTTTAAGGCAATCAAAGATGGAAATCCACTACCACTACCTTACTCACACGGAGGAGTTAAGATTATGACTACTGGGATAAATCTCGTTTATGAGATCCCCTATCTCAAAGTAATCATTACATTTGGTATAACTGGATTTACCGTAAACCTTCCATATGGAAACTTTGGCAGAAATACCCAAGGCCACTGTGGTATGTACTAGCCCATGCCTTTCATGTTAAACATTGTATATGAATGACTTGTTTCGGGAGCAGAGAGAAACACTGTAGTTTGACTAACAGGAACCTGCACCAACAACCAGGCCGATGACTGCATGTTACCAGGAGGTCAATTGGCTGGCAGTTGTGATGTGATGGCTGACTATTGGCTGGCACAAGACATTTACCAACCAAACTGCCAGATACCTTCTATAATGCCCACCAGCAAACCTGAACCTCCTCCAACACTGACTCCTTGCAAGCCAGACTCAATGTGTGACATGATTCACAGCAGGTGACCCATTTACCATATGTGCTGTAAAGAGAACATGTTGCATTACAATATTGGGTTACTGATAGTTCTGATTATGATATTTCCTCTTTTCCCACAGTGTGTTTGCCAAGTGCCACTCGTTTGTGTCACCGGACAGATTCTATCAGGGTTGTGTTTTTGACAGCTGTCATGTTGCCAATCCAGCAGTTGAATGCACAAGTCTACAGACGTATGCTGCTGCCTGTGCCCAGGCAGGAGTTTGTCTGCACTGGAGGAATCATACCACACTTTGTGGTAAGATTTTCAGTCTTCAGTAGTAATTGTCTTCATATTACACAAAAATAATACCATAAAGTGTACTGTGTGATTGGATTGTTGTATAAATCAATTAACCTGGATAAAAATGTAGATTGTATGTTGTCATGTTCACCTTTAATTAATTTTTAATCAGTGCATTTATATAGTGCCTTTCAAGATACCCAAAGCACTTTACAGTTCTTTATTACTTTAAAATATTAGTGATAAGATTTTATTGTTTTATTATGCTTTTTAAAAATATTTTATTATTATAATTTTTTATGGCCATGCAACACTGTATTTGCCCATTCAACAGGCAGTAATTGTCCATCGGACAAAGTATACAAACCTTGTGGCGCTGTTGAACAGCCAACCTGTGATGACAAGTAGGTTAATCTTTTTTTTTTTGACATTTTATTCATTAAAATATTTTTATTTCCAAACACTGGAATGATATTTCATGTAATTTAATGGAAGCATCTGCTCTTTTAGTCCAAATGAGCCCACTTTGAACTTTACCACAGAGGGTTGCTTTTGTCCTGATGGAATGAAGCTCTTCAATAAGGACTCCGGTATATGTGTCAGTAAATGTGGTATGTGTTCTAAATCATAACAGTTTAATACATTTCCCACACTATCTTCATAGGCTAAATGTCATTTATTTACTTTGCAGGATGTCTGGATCCTGAGGGCAATCCCCGAGAGGTGATGATTATTAATTTACTTCCAGTTTTTTATGTATGTACATATTTAGTCAGTTACATTAGTTGTTGTGTTTGTCTTTGATTAGCTCAATGAAAGGTTTGAATACAAATGCCAAAGCTGCATCTGTGAGGAAACCACCAAGACTGTGACTTGTAAACCAAAAGTGTGCCCTCCACCACCAATCACAAACTGCTCAGGCCCTGGATTTGTACTCATCAACCAAACCAATCCTTCAGATCCCTGCTGTTCCACTTTACTTTGCCGTAGGATTTTCACATTATTATTAAATTAAAAAATCATTAATCATTTTATCTGTATCTAACAATTATAAGTTCTATAAACAGAATGTCAGAGCAACACATGTCCCGTGTATAGCATGAACTGTCCAGTTGGATACACACCTGTTTTTGGTGTCCCAGAGGGAGGATGCTGTCAACAGCTTACATGCGGTAAGCACTGAATACAGTAAAATTCATTTACAAAATGCAATCTTGAGTGACTTTTTGTTTCTTATTAAAACAGAGCCCAAAAGAGTTTGCGTCCACAAAGGAGTTGAATACCAGGTTAGAATAACATAAATTAATCTCATTAATCTAATATGTATAAGGTTTTAGTTACAAAATATTAATGTTATGTTATTTTTAGCCTGGATTACCTGTACCTGGAGTGGTCCAATGTCAGGACTGTTCCTGCACCAATAAGGTGGACCCACGCACTGGTCTGTTTGAAATAAATTGTGTGTTCCAACATTGTAATGAAAAATGTGACATGGTAAGACAGCACATTATTTTATTCCAAGAAAGAACCTGCAGAGAAATCCTAAGAAAATTGTTCATTGTTTAAAGGGATATGACTATGATGAGCTTGCTGGGAATGACTGCTGTGGAAAGTGTGTCCAAACACACTGTATTTTTACTATCAATGGTACGACACATATTTTGAAGGTAAAGATTTTCCACTGGAATCAAAATATTATGCATAATAATTTTGTATATTAACATATATCTGAACATCTGAATTTCATTATACTGTATAATGACAATAAAGGCTTTCTATTCTATTACTCTTTGATGATTGATAGCAAGGAGCAAGTTGGTCTCCAACAACGAATAAGTGTGAACTTTTCACTTGTATAAAAAGTGGTGACATGTTCACTGCTATCCGTTCAGAAATTATCTGCCCAGCCTTCCAGGAAAGCATGTGCCAGCCTGTGAGTAAATCTAAATCATCCCCAAGAACATATCCTACTTTATTTATTATTTAACTTTACTTCAGTTTACTTTGTTATTCCACTGTAGGGCACTATTCAAACTGCAGCAAATGGCTGTTGTAAGACCTGTAAGTATTGGCTTTACGTGAACACAAAAGTGCCCTTGTTGAGCATGTCTATTAAACATCAACTGGTTTTGTACTGAAGGTGTGGAGAGGGGAAAAGCTTGCAAATTGATGTCTATGAGAACTGTTGTCACTCACAAAGACTGCCAGTCTTCAGAGGCAATAGAAATACCATACTGTGAAGGCTCTTGCAACACTTTCACCAAGTAAATGCCCTACATTTATGTACAAATAAATACATATAAAAACTCTTGTGCACATAATCACTTAATGTTGTCTTTACTGTGTTTAGGTACTCCGCCGAAGCAGCCCACATGCAGCACTCGTGTGCCTGCTGTAAAGAGACTCGCTTCAGCAACCGCACCGTGGACCTTCTCTGTCTGAACGGTGATGTGGTTCATCACTCGTACATCCATGTGGAGGAGTGTGGCTGTGCCGACACAGACTGCACCAGAGCTGCCCCACTGGGGCGCAGGAGAAGAAGCATCTCATTGGTCTAACAGTGCATATGAATGCAAACTAAATATATTTGAAATTAAATAATATTTGTAGCCTTAGACAAATAAAGCATTCTACACAAAGTATCAGTGCATGTGTAATTATTTTGAAAATGCATTGCTAAAAGGTTATTTAGAGATTCATGTCCTCTTTTGTGTAAGTTCTAGCTTACAACTATCGTAGCAGTAATGTAATTATTATAGACCTAGTTCTAATGATACATGGAAAACCAGATCTTTTCTTAGGTGATTTTGAGCTTGAGAGCCACTGTTCTAAACTGTTTACCTAGCCTACTTGTTGTGTTGCATGCATGTGTTAGCCTGGAGTTTAGGCCATAGCACAAGTAAGGCAAATAATAGGTCCTCCAATTTGCTTTATGTCTATCCCCACTCTACACCCCTATCATACTTACATCTATCCCTATGTATATATATATATATATATATATATATATATATATATATATATATATATATATATATATATATATATATATATATATATATATATATATATATATATATATATATATATATATATATATATATATATATATATATATATATATATATATATATATATATATATATATATATATATATATACACACACATATCCATTTGCTGCTCACACATATTGACGTAAGATGTTGCGGCCATTTATATCCTCTGGGCCTTCCAGCAACTGGGGCAGTGCAGAGAAATTTAGGGGCGGTGTGGGGCCCTGACACAAAAGAGCGAGTTGCTAAAAAATAACATATCTATAATGCACCAGAATACAGGGGAATATTTTTTTCAATGGTCTGCTGTGCTGTGGACATAACAAATCTATTGCTTTGAGGTTTGAATGGCAGACCTTTGGGTTAGTGGGAATACATCACTATACCTACTAATCTATATGTTTGATAAGTGTGTAAAAAAAAATGTACATGCATGTTTTGAATGTCTAAATACATGGATCATTTAATGTGTTATGATAGAGATATTTTCAAAAGTGCAGGTGTGGTTCTTAATGTAAAAATAACAATGACCAAGACTATTATTATAGTTTCACCTGTTTTATTATCCCTCCTTGATAGCAAACAAATGATGGCCTATATAAAAGCCAGTTGGTTGGAACCCTCCGTACAGCTGAGACTAGTGCAGGACCATGAGAACAGGAACTATGTGGTTCCTACCATGGCTCACTGTGGGGTTTGGACTCGCCGTGGCAGATATGTATGGTAAGTGCCCAAATTTATTCTTTTAATATGATTCTAATAATAAAGAGGTTTTTTTTTTTTTTTTTTGAAAAACATATAAAACAGTGACATTTTATGTATTTTTTAAAAATGTTTTTACCTTGTCTAGAGATGTACATGCCAGTGGCTACACAGATCCCAATTATCAGAGGTATGTTCATAGTCATATTTCAAGTCATAAGTCATGGGCTACTTACAAATGTGGAGGAAGTGAAGGAAGTAATTTTATTAAACTGTAGCCATGGTGGTAACTGGGTTTCAGCGTGTTTTCAGAAGTATTTGGAAGTTCCTGATATGGAGATAGTTCATATTAATTTCAGTTTTAGCCCTGTTTTAGAAATGGTTACAGTTGTGTTTTGTGTTTTGGTTTAAATTCAAATACTTATTTTAGTTATTTTGTTGGTTTATTTGCGATTATTTTTGATTATTCAGATGTAAAGGCTTCTCACAACCCAATCTGTAGTACTTGGGGAAACCACCATTTTAAGACCTTCGATGGAGATTTTTTCCAGCTGCCATTTGCCTGCAACTATGTCTTTACGTCTCATTGTAAAAACAACTATGAGACTTTTAACATTCAGCTGGAGCGAAACAGGAATCTACAGAAGCCCAGTCTTCAAAAAGTTGAGATGAAACTGAATGGTGTCAATGTGGAACTGTACAAAAACTCAATCAAGGTCAAAGATCAGCCGTAAGTCTGGTTTACATGTTGTCTTCATATACTTTGATGTCACCTGTTTTCCTAACTTTAATACATAACATTTGTTCTGCATAGGGTCACAGTGCCACACAGTGAGGATGGAATTTCAATCAAAAAAGAGCGAGCCTATATAAAGATTGAGGCAGAGTTGGGACTGGTGGCTTACTGGAATGAAGAGGATGCTTTCTGGGTGAGTTCTCAAGTATAAATGGATGGAATAGTTAGTCTTAATATGCCGTGTTCACTTGACATCACAACAGATTCCAGATATTTTCGCTTGGTTTATGTTTCATATCTCTGTAATTATTGGGCATATTCGCATGAATAAAAACTGTCACAAATTTCAGTGTCTTCTCTGTAAATATACTTTTTTGTTTGTTTGTTTGTTTATTTGTTTTTGTTTAGTTTTTTTTTACATATGCCTCAGAAGATGTGATAGTTAGATTTTTTTGAACTAGTACAAATAATTATACATTTAACATTTAAGAATTTTCTGTTGGGATTGTTCTTTCAAAAAAAATTTCTATAGGCTAGTTATACAGGTCCCTGTCTTACATCTGAAATTATGAAATCATCTATTTCTGTAATGTGGACAGAACCTATGTTTAATGATAATGAATTGTTCAGAATAAATGTCACCTGGGATCCAAGTTTAAAGCCACTTGCACATTTCTTATATAGATAGACTACATAACATCATAGAAGTAAATATAACCATTGTGTTTTAGGTTGAGTTAAAACCAAAATTTCAAAATCAAACTTGTGGTCTGTGTGGTGACTTCAATGGAATACGGAGTGAGCTCATCAGTGCAGGTAAAATCCTTAATATTTTCCGTAATGAAACACTTTTATCATAGTATTACTGAACAATAATTGCAACATTTTATTTAAGAAACGGGGATGTCCTTGACTCCTGAAAGCTATGGACAAACCTGGAAGATAGATGGCCCAAATAACAAGTGCAAGGAAATCCAGTCCCCAGACATGAAGCTATGTGACACCAAGGTAAGATTAAACACAGCATAGTTCACATAGCACATTTCTACGTTTTAGAACTGAAGTGTCTAATTTTCTCTTTAGGGTGATTTTTGTGCAAATGTCCTATCAGAGTTTCCCTTTCGCACCTGTACTGATCTGGTTGACACAGAGTCATTCATTCAAGCCTGTGAAAAGGACCAATGCCATAATAAAAACCACAACAGCAGCTCCCTGTGTGCAACTCTGTCTGAGTTCTCCCGTCAGTGTGCCCATGCAGGGGGTCAGCCTGGCAACTGGAGGAGGAGCACCCAGTGTGGTACAGTATTGCTTGTTTTACATTTACAGTAACAATAGTAGTAGTTATTTTAGTAGTTGTGCAATTGTTAGATGCAATCCTCTTTTATTTTGGCCTAATAGGAGCTAGCTGTTCTCACAACATGGAGTACAGAGAGTGTGGTAGCCCCTGTAAGAACACCTGTCGCTATCCAGAGAGCAGCAAAATGTGTACCCAGCACTGCATAGATGGATGTTTTTGTCCATTAGGTATGTTTTATTTACTCTGGAATTATGTTTTAACCCACTTTATTTTGTCAATTAACAATAAAGATATGTTTACATTGTCATATGAACTTGGGTTTACAAACTAAGACCTATTGTGCATACTATGACAGCTATGTTGTTAGCTAATTAACATTGGTAGTCATAATGTACATAATGTACATAATGTAAATCTCTTTTCATTCAGTTGTTAACATGCTTTGTTATAATTTCACACAAGGCACTGTCTGGGATGACATTACCAGTAAAGGCTGTATTCCACTCTCTTCATGTTCCTGTGAACACAAAGGCGAGCCCCGGAACTCATACTCAGAAAACTGTAAAACATGGTAAGTATAATAGATGTATATGGTTTGATAATTTGTGTAAATAGAAGATATTAAATAAGTGATATTCATTGACAGCACATGCATTAATGGAAAGTGGGAATGTACAGATAAAGAGTGTCCTGTTGTCTGTTCCATTCTGGGCGGCTCTCATGTGTCCACATTTGATGATAAAACCTATACCTTTCATGGAGAGTGCTCCTACACCTTGGCAAAGGTGTGTAACTAAAATATCCACTGGATTATTGTATGCACTTGTAAAATGTACAAAATGTAATATATTATTATTTTGTTAATTGTAGGAATCCAATGGGACATTTAGTATTGTTGGTGATCTTTATAAATGTGGAAAATCTGATCATTCTACATGTCTGTCCTCTGTCTCAGTGCAGATGCCAAAAACCTTGGTAAAATAGAGAAGCATAATTCATACACTGCAATCCTCATTTCATTATTTGTATATGTCTGATATTTAGTGCAATCTTTTTTTTTTTAATTGAAAGCTGACTATTGAAGACCGTCGCGTTACTTTTAATAAACAACCTTCCAAACTTCCTCTTGTAATGGGTAAGATTTAATTACTTGCTCACATTTTGATGCTTTTTTTGCAGAGTTTTACATATGAAAACTAAAACTATACTTTACATCATAGATGAGGTGACAGTGTTTCAGCCATCCAACTTCTACATAGTAGCTTACACCATCTATGGGATTACTCTTGAAATACAGATTGAACCATTTATGCAGATCTACATTAAATCATCAAGAACCAATAAAGGAAAACTAAGAGGTATTTTTACTCTTAAATGTGTTAAAACTGTTAGTTGGATGAATTATCATGCCTAGATGATGACCCATTAAATATTATTCACTCAGTACTCTTGACATTAATCTTTTAAATTAATAAAATCTTGTTTAGGTCTTTGTGGAAATTTTAACGATGACAGTGGTGATGACTTTACACCTCCAAATGGACCTCCCGAAGGAATACCTGAGATGTTTGGCAACAAATGGAAGGCTGACCAAAACTGCAAAGATGTGGACATTGTACAGGGGAAACCTTGTGATTTGAGTATAGACAGAGGTAAAAAATAATATTAGTGTGAAGGATTTCAGGAGTTGATGGGTTTTTTTTTAATAGCTCTTTCATATATACAAAGTTTTTCAAATATGTATGTTTGTTACAGAGAAATTTGCTAACCAGTGGTGCGGGTTGCTGACAGACCCAGAAAGTGTTTTTTCTAAATGCCACCAGACAATTAGCCCAGATTACTACAAGCAGGTAAACAGTGATTTTAGTCAACAAATGTGTTCAAGAAACTATTAACAATATCACATTTGAATTTATTTAAATGCATTTATTGTAGTTATTCTTTTACATGGTGCAGTTTCTTTTAACCAAGTTTCATTATTTCACTATAAGTTTCCTGTTGATAATTTATTTTTTTTTCGTCTTTTTCGCTGACAGACTTGCATTTATGACACCTGTGCATCTGAAAATAGTGAGAAGGCTTTATGTGCTGCCATTTCCTCTTATGTCTTTGCTTGTGCAGCTGCCGGAGTTAAAGTGAAAGATTGGAGGGAACAAGTGTGCCGTGAGTACTGGATACAAGCATATACAAAACTGTACTATATAAATCACATGCAGTTATTATATGTTATTACTTTTATATGCTTATTATATCCTATTATAGTGTTTCCTGTAGCACTTGATTGTTAGGGTGGCAATTACCTAATAGCACTTACCACTTTGATTTCCATTTTATAAATCATAAGAGAGTACTACATAATTTTGAATATCTTAAATAAATTATTTTGAAGGTCATATATAATGCAAAATTTACTCTTGTGAGCTTGAAGCCATGTTATAATGTTGTTACCTCATCACAAACATACCTAAAGTTGTGGGGTTTTTTTCGTTTGTTTTTTTTTCATTCACACAAGTATCCATTCATTTCCGTCCACTTTACCCCGCCCCGGACTTCCCTCTTCACATACACTTCCTCCAGCTCTTCTGAGGGGCACCAGAGGCATTCCCAGGCCGGACAAGAGACAGTCTCTCCAGCGTGTCCTGGGTCTTCCTCGGGCCTCCTCCTGGTGGGATGTTCCCAGAACACTGCCCCAGAGAGGCATCCAGGAGGCATTCAGAACACATGCCCTCCTCTCGACAGTCTGATACAGCAACCGCATCACTGCAAACTCATATGAACCCTTGAGCACTCGATGGAGAGTATAGAGTGGTCAGGACGAAAACCACACTGCTCCTCCTGCACTGATCTGCCTGTCAAGCTCATACTCCATCTTTCTCTCACATGTGAACAAGACCCAGAGATACTTGAACTCCTCCACTTGAGGCAGGGACTCTCTACCCACTTGCAGAGGGCAAGCCACCTTTTTCTGGTCGAGAACCATGGTCTTGGATTTGGAGGAGCTAATTTTCATCCCAGTCACTTCACACTTGGCTGCAAACTGCCCCGGTGCATGTTGGAGGGCCTGGTTTGATGGAGCCAACAGGACAACATCATCTGCAAACAGCAGAGATGAGATCCCGTGGTTCCCAAACCAGACCCCTCTGAGCCCTGGCTGTGCCTAGTAATTCTGTCCATATAAACAATGAACAAAACCTGAAAAGGGCAAACCTGGCGGGCAACCCTGGTGGAGTCCAACATACACTAGGAACAGGTCTGACATACTGCCAGCAATGCAAATACAGCTCGTGCTCCGACCATACAGGGACCACATCCACAAAGCACATGTGGACTGTTTGGGCAAACTCACATGAACCCCCGAGCACCCGATGGAGAGTGTAGAGGACAAAAACCACACTGTTCCTCCTGAATCTGAAATTCAACTAATGGTCCTCTCCAGTACCCTGGAATAGACCCTACTAGGGAGGCTGAGGAGAGTGTTTCACTTGTAGTTAGAACACACCTTCCGGTCCCCCTTCTTAAACAGAGAGACCCCTCCAGTCCTCCCCTGCCAGTTCAGAGGTACTGTCCATCACGCAATGTTGCAGAGACGTGTCAGCCAAGACAGCCCCACAACATCCAGAGACTTAAGATACTCAGGACAGATCTCATCCACCCCAGGAGCCTTGCCACCAAGGAGCTTGCCACCAACTCAGTGACTTGAGCCTATGTTAGGGTTATGGGTGAGTCTACTTCTGAGTCCCCAGTCTCTGCTTCTTCCTCAGAAGACATGACGGTGGGACTGAGGTGGGATCCTGTGACCTCTCACAACATCCCCAGTCGAGGTCAACAGCTCTCCACCCGCACTTTAAACCATGTTGGTGAAGCACTGCTTCCCCCTCCTGAGGGGTCAGACAGTTTGCCAAAATTTCTTTGAGGCCAACAGATGGTCCACCTCCATAGCCTCCCTGAACTCCTCCCGGCTCAGATTTTTTGCCTCTGCTATTACTCGAGCTGCAGCACTCCTGGCCTGTTTGTACCTGTCAGCTGCCTCAGGAGTCCCACGAGCCAACACCCGATAGGACTCCTTTTTCAGCCTGACAGCATCCCTTACTTTTCGCATCCACCCCGGGTTCAGGGATTGCATCCCCGACAGGCACCAGAGACCACCATCTACAAGCAGTAGCACTGACAATGGAGATGGAGAACATGGTCCACTTGGACTCTGTGTTCCCAGGAGCTTTGATTTGAAGGTGCCACCAACAGAGGGCTATGCCAGAAGTTCCTAATATACCCTCATACACTTGAGTCTGCCAGGTTTTTCCAACTTCCTCCTCTGCCAGTGAAAGCGCAGGAAGTATCACCACATTATCAAGAGCTGGACAGTGTTTTTTCAGTTTGAAAAAAGAACTCAAAATAAAAATATGCAGGATTTGTGTGCTAAACATGCGTGAAAGTAACAAAACACAACTCCAAGTATGGTTATCATGAGGAAACAACACTGTAACATATAGGTCATAAAATAACATAATATAGGCCCTTTTGCCCTTTTGCCCTTTTGGCAACCCAAAGGCATTATTGGTAACAACAACCTTTTTACTCTATAGAAAGCTACACAAAAGGTTGCCCTACAACTTTTGTGTATGACTACCAGATGACTAGCTGTGGTCGTACCTGTCGCCACCTCAGTGAGCCTGACCCAGCATGTAGCATCAGCTTCACTTCCGTTGATGGCTGTGGCTGCCCTGAGGGAGAGTACCTGTCTGACAATGATGAATGTGTGTCTGCCTCCGAATGTCCCTGTTATGATGGAGATAAAATTTGGCATAATGGACAGTATACAACATCAAAGAATGGATTGGAAAGAAGATGGTGAGTTTTTTTCTAAATCTACATCTGATGAAATAATGCTAAAATTACAAAAAAGATTGATAAGAGTTTTTGGCCAGCAAATGCAAAAATGGAAGACTTGAATGTGAAGGGAAAAAAAAGGGCCATCCAGGGAGATCAGGTACATACTTCACATTTTTCATATCAAATAATAGACCAAAATTAATGTACTTGTTAAAATGTATCTTTTAGAATGCAAACCTCCCATGCATTTTTTCAAATGCGATAAAGCCAATCCAAGTGCAAGAGGAGTAGAGTGCCAAAAGACATGTCAAACACTCGACAACAATTGTGTAATAAGAACAAATTGTTTTTTAATGTTGTTAATTGGAGCAGTTTTGAATTCTTTTTTCATATTTGACAGATGAGTAAACGTTGTGAGTCAGGCTGTGTGTGTCCCCCTGGTCTAGTGAATAATGGAAAAGGGAATTGCATCAAGGAGAAAGACTGCCCTTGCACGCACGGAGGTGTTGAGTATGAGCGTGGAGAGACAATCAAAGTGGACTGCAATACCTGGTAATTACAACATCATATATGGCTCTTTTTACACACACAACTGTGTGTTTTACAATTACAATTCTGTGTAATTCTTCCAAGTAACCTAAATTATATTATTGTCTTAAAATAGCACCTGCCAAGGTCGAGAATGGGACTGCACTGATGAAGTGTGTGATGGTATCTGCACTCTCTATGGAGAAGGCAATTACATCACATTTGACCAAAGGAGGTTCTTTTTCAGGGGACACTGTAACTACATTTTTGCACAGGTACTGTAATTTACAAAGTTACAATTTCAATATTAAATGTGACAAATACACACACTATTCTTTGCAAGGTAAAGTAACTTCTTTTTTTCATACAGGATTATTGTGAAAATAATGGGAAAGGCACTTTCAGAGTTTTGATTAGGAACCACCCATGTGAATCATCAGAGGGTGACTGCTTCACAGTAAACCTATTTCTAGGGGTAAATTATTTCAAATCTCTAACAATAAGTGTTTAAATTTGAATTATTATTGGAATGCCCCTTAATATGTATGATCTCATTTTGAACTGAGCCAAAACTGTAATGTTTATTGAGAATTGCTGATAAATTACGTGTGTGTGTGTGTGTGTGTGTGTGTGTTTCAGAACAACACAATTGAACTTGGAGAAGAAAGTGTCAAAATACCTGAAAGAACAGAAGAGGAAATACCATATAAGATCCACGTAGTTGGCATTTATCTTGTAATTGAGGCCAAAAATGGCATTGTGCTTATGTGGAATAAGAAAACAACACTCATGATGAAACTTAAATCTGCATTCAAGGTGACAAAATATACAAATGTACTGTGATTATTAATGTATTTATATATAATATAATGGAAACATTTTGTTTCAGGGAAAAGTATGTGGTCTTTGTGGAAATTTTGATGGAAACATAAATACAGAATTGATCTCCAGATCAAATGACAATCTGATGACGGCGACTGATTTTGGAAACAGCTGGAAAATGTTACCAACTTGTGAAGATGCAAAGCCATTAAATAGTTCCTGTGATCTATACTCACATAGGCACGCATGGGCCAAAACACTGCAGCATCATACTCAGCTCTGTTTTCAAGGAATGCCATAAACGGGTAAGACCTCTAATGTTATAAATATGATTCATAAAAATTCATAATTAATTCCAGACAACTTTCATGTCAGGTCTATACACTATATATTTGACTAAAATTATAGCTGTAATTATCATTGATTGTATTAACAGAGATTCAATTTGAGTGATTTCTTTGTAAAAGGTTGAACCTCAAGAATATTATGATTCCTGTGAGAAAGACACTTGTGGGTGCAGTACAGGAGGTGACTGTGACTGTTTCTGCTCTGCTGTTGCTGCTTATGCTGCAGCATGTAACAAAGCAGGAGTGTGTGTGAAATGGAGAACCCCCACTATCTGCCGTGAGTTGATCCCATTTAGATCAACTGCAAATTAATATAGTATAATATACAGTATTTTATGGTTCATAAAGTTCACATTATTTCTTCTGGCCAACTCCATTAGCTCTGTTCTGTGATTACTACAACTCTGATGGACATTGTGAATGGCACTATGAGCCTTGCGGAACAATTTGTATGAAAACATGCAAGAATCCCTCTGGAGAGTGTTACAATGAAATTCCAGCATTAGAAGGTAGAGCAACAATTAATTTTAGCATTGATGTTTTGGTTAAAGGATATGCAAATTATGACCTATTTTGAGGTTCCTGCATATTTAAGAAGCATTTTTATTTTTAAGGCTGCTATCCACATTGCCCTGAAGACAGACCGTATTTGGATGAAGATGATATGAAGTGCAAGTCAGAATGTGGGGTGACTACCACTACCACTACTATTCCTCCTACTACTCCTATTACTACTCCTTCCACGACTACTACCACTACTCCTACTCCTACTACTACTCCTTCCACGACTACAACCACTACTCCTACTCCTACTACTACTCCTTCCACTACTACTACCACTACTCCTACCACTACTCCTACCACTACCTCTACTACTACACCTACCACTACCACTACTCCTACTACTACCTCTACTACTACACCTACCACTACCACTACTCCTACCACTACTACTACTCCTACCACTACACCTACCACTACCACTACTCCTACCACTACTCCTACCACTACTTCTACCGTCTCAACCACAACAACTTGCTCTGATCTCAAATGTTATTGGACAAAATGGAAAAATGATAACTATCCTGATGATGGATTGAGTGACGGTGATCACGAAACATTACCAAATATTACAAATACAGATGTGGAACAGTATTGCAGTAAAGACCTTGAAATACAGTGCAGAGATAAAGAAACTCAAAAAACAGCAGAAGAGGCAGATCAAAAAGTTACATGCAATGTTAGTGTTGGCCTGATCTGTAATAACAATGAGCAGGATCTAGTACCAAAATGTTATGACTATGAAATACGTGTTGGGTGTTGTGTTTGTCCAACAACTCCCTCACCTACCCCTACTACTACTCCTACTACTACCACTACTACTCCTTCCACTACCCCTACTACTACACCTACCACTACCACTTCCATTACCCCTACTACTACTCCTACCACTACCACTACTCCTACCACTACTACTACTCCTACCACTACCATTACTTCTACCACTACTCCTACTCCTTCCACTACCCCTACTACTACACCTACCACTACTACTACTCTGACCACTACTACTACTCCTATTACTACCTCTACTACTACACCTACCACTACCACTACTCCTACCACTACTACTACTACTCCTACTACTACTCCTACCTCTACTCCTACCACTACTACTACTCCTACCACTACTTCTACCGTCTCAACCACAACAACTTGCTCTGATCTCAAATGTTATTGGACAAAATGGAAAAATGATAACTATCCTGATGATGGATTGAGTGACGGTGATCACGAAACATTACCAAAATATTACAAATACAGATGTGGAACAGTATTGCAGTAAAGACCTTGAAATACAGTGCAGAGATAAAGAAACTCAAAAAACAGCAGAAGAGGCAGATCAAAAAGTTACATGCAATGTTAGTGTTGGCCTGATCTGTAATAACAATGAGCAGGATCTAGTACCAAAATGTTATGACTATGAAATACGTGTTGGGTGTTGTGTTTGTCCAACAACTCCCTCACCTACCCTACTACTACTCCTACTACTACCACTACTACTCCTTCCACTACCCCTACTACTACACCTACCACTACCACTTCCATTACCCCTACTACTACTCCTACCACTACCACTACTCCTACCACTACTACTACTCCTACCACTACCATTACTTCTACCACTACTCCTACTCCTTCCACTACCCCTACTACTACACCTACCACTACTACTACTCTGACCACTACTACTACTCCTATTACTACCTCTACTACTACACCTACCACTACCACTACTCCTACACTACTACTACTACTCCTACTATTTCTCCTACCTCTACTCCTACCACTACTACTACTCCTACCACTACTTCTACCGTCTCAACCACAACAACTTGCTCTGATCTCAAATGTTATTGGACAAAATGGAAAAATGATAACTATCCTGATGATGGATTGAGTGACGGTGATCACGAAACATTACCAAATATTACAAATACAGATGTGGAACAGTATTGCAGTAAAGACCTTGAAATACAGTGCAGAGATAAAGAAACTCAAAAAACAGCAGAAGAGGCAGATCAAAAAGTTACATGCAATGTTAGTGTTGGCCTGATCTGTAATAACAATGAGCAGGATCTAGTACCAAAATGTTATGACTATGAAATACGTGTTGGGTGTTGTGTTTGTCCAACAACTCCCTCACCTACCCCTACTACTACTCCTACTACTACCACTACTACTCCTTCCACTACCCCTACTACTACACCTACCACTACCACTTCCATTACCCCTACTACTACTCCTACCACTACCACTACTCCTACCACTACTACTACTCCTACCACTACCATTACTTCTACCACTACTCCTACTCCTTCCACTACCCCTACTACTACACCTACCACTACTACTACTCTGACCACTACTACTACTCCTATTACTACCTCTACTACTACACCTACCACTACCACTACTCCTACCACTACTACTACTACTCCTACTACTACTCCTACCTCTACTCCTACCACTACTACTACTCCTACCACTACTCCTACCACTACTTCTACCGTCTCAACCACAACAACTTGCTCTGATCTCAAATGTTATTGGACAAAATGGAAAAATGATAACTATCCTGATGATGGATTGAGTGACGGTGATCACGAAACATTACCAAATATTACAAATACAGATGTGGAACAGTATTGCAGTAAAGACCTTGAAATACAGTGCAGAGATAAAGAAACTCAAAAAAACAGCAGAAGAGGCAGATCAAAAAGTTACATGCAATGTTAGTGTTGGCCTGATCTGTAATAACAATGAGCAGGATCTAGTACCAAAATGTTATGACTATGAAATACGTGTTGGGTGTTGTGTTTGTCCAACAACTCCCTCACCTACCCCTACTACTACTCCTACTACTACCACTACTACTCCTTCCACTACCCCTACTACTACACCTACCACTACCACTTCCATTACCCCTACTACTACTCCTACCACTACCACTACTCCTACCACTACTACTACTCCTACCACTACCATTACTTCTACCACTACTCCTACTCCTTCCACTACCCCTACTACTACACCTACCACTACTACTACTCTGACCACTACTACTACTCCTATTACTACCTCTCTACTACTACACCTACCACTACCACTACTCCTACCACTACTACTACTACTCCTACTACTACTCCTACCTCTACTCCTACACTACTACTACTACTACTCCTACCACTACTACTCTACCGTCTCAACCACAACAACTTGCTCTGATCTCAAATGTTATTGGACAAAATGGAAAAATGATAACTATCCTGATGATGGATTGAGTGACGGTGATCACGAAACATTACCAAATATTACAAATACAGATGTGGAACAGTATTGCAGTAAAGACCTTGAAATACAGTGCAGAGATAAAGAAACTCAAAAAACAGCAGAAGAGGCAGATCAAAAAGTTACATGCAATGTTAGTGTTGGCCTGATCTGTAATAACAATGAGCAGGATCTAGTACCAAAATGTTATGACTATGAAATACGTGTTGGGTGTTGTGTTTGTCCAACAACTCCCTCACCTACCCCTACTACTACTCCTACTACTACCACTACTACTCCTTCCACTACCCCTACTACTACACCTACCACTACCACTTCCATTACCCCTACTACTACTCCTACCACTACCACTACTCCTACCACTACTACTACTCCTACCACTACCATTACTTCTACCACTACTCCTACTCCTTCCACTACCCCTACTACTACACCTACCACTACTACTACTCTGACCACTACTACTACTCCTATTACTACCTCTACTACTACACCTACCACTACCACTACTCCTACCACTACTACTACTACTCCTACTACTACTCCTACCTCTACTCCTACCACTACTACTACTCCTACCACTACTCCTACCACTACTTTCTACCGTCTCAACCACAACAACTTGCTCTGATCTCAAATGTTATTGGACAAAATGGAAAAATGATAACTATCCTGATGATGGATTGAGTGACGGTGATCACGAAAACATTACCAAATATTACAAATACAGATGTGGAACAGTATTGCAGTAAAGACCTTGAAATACAGTGCAGAGATAAAGAAACTCAAAAAACAGCAGAAGAGGCAGATCAAAAAGTTACATGCAATGTTAGTGTTGGCCTGATCTGTAATAACAATGAGCAGGATCTAGTACCAAAATGTTATGACTATGAAATACGTGTTGGGTGTTGTGTTTGTCCAACAACTCCCTCACCTACCCCTACTACTACTCCTACTACTACCACTACTACTCCTTCCACTACCCCTACTACTACACCTACCACTACCACTTCCATTACCCCTACTACTACTCCTACCACTACCACTACTCCTACCACTACTACTACTCCTACCACTACCATTACTTCTACCACTACTCCTACTCCTTCCACTACCCCTACTACTACACCTACCACTACTACTACTCTGACCACTACTACTACTCCTATTACTACCTCTACTACTACACCTACCACTACCACTACTCCTACCACTACTACTACTACTCCTACTACTACTCCTACCTCTACTCCTACCACTACTACTACTCCTACCACTACTCCTACCACTACTTCTACCGTCTCAACCACAACAACTTGCTCTGATCTCAAATGTTATTGGACAAAATGGAAAAATGATAACTATCCTGATGATGGATTGAGTGACGGTGATCACGAAACATTACCAAATATTACAAATACAGATGTGGAACAGTATTGCAGTAAAGACCTTGAAATACAGTGCAGAGATAAAGAAACTCAAAAAACAGCAGAAGAGGCAGATCAAAAAGTTACATGCAATGTTAGTGTTGGCCTGATCTGTAATAACAATGAGCAGGATCTAGTACCAAAATGTTATGACTATGAAATACGTGTTGGGTGTTGTGTTTGTCCAACAACTCCCTCACCTACCCCTACTACTACTCCTACTACTACCACTACTACTCCTTCCACTACCCCTACTACTACACCTACCACTACCACTTCCATTACCCCTACTACTACTCCTACCACTACCACTACTCCTACCACTACTACTACTCCTACCACTACCATTACTTCTACCACTACTCCTACTCCTTCCACTACCCCTACTACTACACCTACCACTACTACTACTCTGACCACTACTACTACTCCTATTACTACCTCTACTACTACACCTACCACTACCACTACTCCTACCACTACTACTACTACTCCTACTACTACTCCTACCTCTACTCCTACCACTACTACTACTCCTACCACTACTCCTACCACTACTTCTACCGTCTCAACCACAACAACTTGCTCTGATCTCAAATGTTATTGGACAAAATGGAAAAATGATAACTATCCTGATGATGGATTGAGTGACGGTGATCACGAAACATTACCAAATATTACAAATACAGATGTGGAACAGTATTGCAGTAAAGACCTTGAAATACAGTGCAGAGATAAAGAAACTCAAAAAAACAGCAGAAGAGGCAGATCAAAAAGTTACATGCAATGTTAGTGTTGGCCTGATCTGTAATAACAATGAGCAGGATCTAGTACCAAAATGTTATGACTATGAAATACGTGTTGGGTGTTGTGTTTGTCCAACAACTCCCTCACCTACCCCTACTACTACTCCTACTACTACCACTACTACTCCTTCCTCTACCCCTACTACTACACCTACCACTACCACTTCCATTACCCCTACTACTACTCCTACCACTACCACTACTACTACTCCTACCACTACTACTACTCCTACCACTACCACTACTACTACTCCTACCACTACTACTACTCCTACCACTACCACTACCCCTACGTCTACCACTACCATTACTTCTACCCCTACTCCTACTCCTTCCACTACCCCTACTACTACATCTACCCCTACTACTACTCCTACCACTACTACTACTCCTACCACTACCACTACCCCTACATCTACCACTACCACTACTCCTACCACTACCCCTACTCCTACCAGTACCACTACTCCCTCCACTACTTCTACCTCTACTACTACTACACCAGAAGTTATTACAGGTACAAAAGCGACACCAGGCCATCAACATTCACCTACCACTACTACTACTCCTACCACTACTACTACTCCTACCACTACCACTACTACTACTCCTACCACTACTACTACTCCTACCACTACTACTACTCCTACCACTACCACTACCCCTACGTCTACCACTACCATTACTTCTACCACTACTCCTACTCCTTCCACCACCCCTACTACTACACTTACCACTACCACTACCACTACTACTACCACTACTACTACTCCTACCCCTACTCCTTCCACTACCACTACTACTACCCCTACCACTACTCCTACCACTACCCCTACCCCTACTCCTACCAGTACCACTACTCCCTCCACTACTTCTACCTCTACCTCTACTACTACTACACCAGAAGTTATTACAGGTACAAAAGCGACACCAGGCGGTCAACATTCACCTACCACTACTACTACTCCTACCACAACTCCTACCACTACTACTACTCCTATTACTACACCTACCACTACCACTACTCCTACCACTACTCCTACCACTACTACTACTCCTACTACTACTCCTACCACTACTCCTACCACTACTTCTACCGTCTCAACCACAACAACTTGCTCTGATCTCAAATGTTATTGGACAAAATGGAAAAATGATAACTATCCTGCTGATGAATTGAGTGACGGTGATCACGAAACATTACCAAATATTACAAATACAGATGTGGAACAGTATTGCAGTAAAAACCTTGAAATACAGTGCAGAGATAAAAAAACTCAAAAAACACCAGAAGAGGCAGATCAAAAAGTTACATGCGATGTTAGTGTTGGCCTGATCTGTAATAACAATGAGCAGGATCTAATAGCAAAATGTTATGACTATGAAATACGTGTTGGGTGTTGTGTTTGTCCAACAACTCCCTCACCTACCCCTACTACTACTCCTACTACTACCACTTCCACTACCCCTACTACTACTCTTACCACTACCACTGCTACTACTCCTACCACTACTACCACTCCTACCACTACCACTACTCCTACATCTACCACTACCATTACCTCTACCACTACTCCTACTCCTTCCACTACCCCTACTACTACACCTACCACTACTACTTCTCTGACCACTACTACTACTCCTACTACTACCTCTACTACTACACCTACCACTACCACTACTCCAGCCACTACTCCTCAACAGTCGACTACAACACCAAAAGGATGTGTCTGCAAATATGATGGCCAAGAATTCAAACCTGGTAAATTATTTGGGGTTTTAAATAAATTATTCATTTATTATTACATACTACAAATCTGATCGCTGTATGTGGGGTTGTTGATTTCACCTACCCTTTATTCTTTAGGTCAGTTTATTATCAGACAGAACAATGGCAGCGACTGTTATGAAGTCTATTGCAGCATGGCGTGCACTTTGGAGGATGTTCCATGCATTCAGAATTGCACATATCTAGATCCACCACGGACGGTAGTGTCTTGTTTTAATTTTTTTTGTGTGTTGACTTATATAATTTATTTGTAGTTTCTGCATGCATATTTTTTCTCTTTACACTTTTTTCAATTATTGTCAAATGTACACTTAAGCAATACATTTAAGAGAGATTTTTTGCAGAATGGTGAAACCTGGATATCAGACTGTATGATTAACAAATGTGAAAATGGCACAACTGTTTCCAAACCTGTGTGTCCGGATGTCACAAAGCCAACTTGTGCAAATAAACGAGACCCAGTTAAAGTATATGATAATGGAGGCTGCTGTTACCATTATGAGTGTCGATGTAAGCAAGTTTCCCCAACTCACTCATCATCTTATTTTGTAAAATCTTGACTAATTCTAAAACTCCTGCTCTTTCTTTTATTTCTAGGTGTATGTGTTGGATGGGGAGACCCACATTATGTCACATTTGATGGCCAGTATTACAGCTTTCAGAAAAACTGCACATATGTTTTGATTCAAGAAATTATTCCAAAACACAATTTCACAGTTCTTATCGACAATGAAAACTGTGATGCTTCTGGCGCTGTGACCTGTGCCAAAGCTTTGATTGTAAAATACAAAAGCTACAGTATAACCCTTACAGCAGAGACATCCTCCAAATATCACAATATTGTAAGCAAGCACTGTATTTGGTAGATTTTGAATAAAAGAATACACCCTTCTCCTTTATGACCTTCAACTATGCTATTTAGGTTTATATGAATGGCAAGGAGATATTTCCAACCTACACCAATGCTGATTTGACCATCACTAGTACAACTATTGGACTGCGTCTGGAAATCCCAGAAATTCATGCAGTTGTTATATTCAAGTCACTTCAGTTTTATGTTGAACTGCCATTTTCTCTTTTTCACCACAACACCGAAGGACAGTGTGGTAAGTTTCTAAAAATCACTAAAGTATACAATAGAGAAATAAGTCCCATTGAGTCTAATTGTGTCACAAAACTTACATTTTCTTTGCTTCTACAAGGTACTTGTGACAATAACACCTCGAATGACTGCCGATTACCAAATGGCCAGCTCCGTCCATGCCCCTCAATGGCATATGAGTGGCGTGTTGAAGATATTAATAAGCCGTACTGTAAGCATCCAAAACCTCCTACAACAGTTACTCCACCCACTTCTCCTCCACCATCTCCTCCATGTGACGTGATGATCAGCAAGTAAGAATTGAAACTCTAACCATAAACATGTAAACACAGTTAAAACTGATTAGTTTGATTTTCACTTGCTTGTCTTTTAAATTAAGTGTCTTTAAGGAGTGCCACAAAGTAATCAAGCCAGACGTCTTTTATGAGGCTTGTAAATTTGATGTTTATTACACGAAAAATTCAACAGGATGTGCCAGTCTTGAGGCATATGCATCTTTATGTGCTCAAAAGTCTGTTTGTGTGTCTTGGAGAAGTGCCACAGATGGACTTTGTGGTAAGAAAGTTATTCAAACTCAAAGCTAATGTATTACTGTATATACACTCTATTTTCAGTGTTTTTAATTTTCAGACTTTGACTGTCCTTCAAACCTAATCTATAAGCCGTGTGGTCCAGCTGTTGTTGAAACATGCAATGCAAAGTACGTTATGCTTGTATACTTACACAAATGTTTGTATGTTTGTTTGTATACTTACACACAAAAAAAAAATCTTAGTCAATATTTTTAATATTTATAATTGTATAACTTTTTCTAGATACAATGATAAATACATAACCAAATGTCAGTCCAAAAAACCTTCAGACAACGATGAATGTCAGTCCTTCATGGAGGGTTGCTACTGCCCGGATGGGCTGATACGGTTTAGCTCAAACTATGACCGCTGTGTATCTGCCTGTAAGAACATTTTTATGTAACATAATTTAGCAAATATACATTGCATATAAATACATACTATATTTGCTGTTACACTAGGTTGCACTGGCCCTGATGGTTTGCCTAAAGAGGTATGCAAAATTTAATATGTTAGAATCGATTTCTCAATAGGTGTATTGTTAAAACAATAATAATTTTTATTAAAACATTTTTTATGGGTAAAACAGCTGGGTGAGAAATGGCAAAGTGGATGTCAGGAGTGTGTTTGTGACCAGGACACAATGAGTGTCCAATGCAAACCTCGTCCCTGTCCCATTCCAAAATTCGTTCGCTGTGACAAAGAGGGTCAAGTGATGGTGAACTACACTGAAGACTGTTGTCAGAATTTCAAATGTGGTAAGTCAGTACACTCATTTTATGCAACATAAGCATTACAGTTTTTCAGAACTTATTTTATGTCCGTTGCAACAGAATGTGACCGTAAACGTTGTCATGACATAATACCAATGTGCACGCCAGGATTTGAGTTGAAGATACATGAATCTAATGACAGCTGTTGCTCTCATTTCACCTGCGGTACTGACTTTATGGTTGTTTAAGTAATGTAAGAAAGAACTTGGTATTATCTAAAAGTAATCTTTCTTTTCATCTTTTTATCTTTTGCAGTTCCAAAGAATGTTTGTGTGTACAATGACACAGAGTATAAGGTAAAAACCATTTGGCTTATAGTAAACAAACCAATTCACACAGTGCAGCACTTTTTCTACTAGACAAGAAAGTACCACAAGTTTTTCATTGTAATAATGTCTATTTACACATTTATAGCCAGGTAACAAGTTCTTTAAAGACCAATGTGAACAGTGCATCTGTACTGGGAAGAAAAACACAGAAACCATGCTGAATGAATTTCACTGCAATCAGCCACGATGCCTAAAAGACTGCCCTGAGGTAAGTGCTAAAATGACACATTACACTTGTGGGGCTTTCTGTTAAATTACATATTTGTTATCAATAGGGCCATCAATATGTGCATGAACCAAAACTAGGACACTGCTGTGGCTCATGTAAAAAGATTAACTGTGTTCTAATATTAGAAAAGTCCAACTCCACTGTTATTATAAAGGTAGGTCAGTTTAATCTAAAATTCACACTGTACTGCAAGGTCAAGTCCTCATAAAACTTCTAAATATATATCCACAGCCTTCAGAGTCTTGGTCCCCCCCAGATGACCCCTGCACCAAACATCACTGTAAAGAAGAGAATGGAGAGTTGATTACTCAGCAGACAGTAACTGAGTGTCCCAACTTTGACCCAACAAAGTGTATTCCTGTAGGTACACTGTATTTAGGAAAGGTAGAAAATTGTGAATACAATTGTTTACAAAAATCTTTTGTCTGACAGGGGACCGAACAAACTGATGCTAATGGATGTTGTAAAAAATGCAGAGAGATTGGTAATTATGAAGCACCATCAAATGCCTTTCAATTAAAGAAAATTTTAACAATGACCAACAAGTCAATCTGTGTTTATGGTCATTAACTTTAATATTTATCTAATTCAGTGTTTGTGTTCACAACAGACTGTGGAGTAAAAAAGACCAAAAAGTTCCTAGAAAATGGAGACTGCAAGTCAATTAATCCTGTAGAGCTCAATTCCTGTGAAGGATCTTGTGGAGTCTCCTTCTCTAAGTGAGATTTCTAATGTAATTCAGAGACAATGTCCATTTTAGTAATGCACATGTATAATGCTTTAAAATACATTTACAGGTACTCTGCAGTAAGCAACATGATGATGCATTCATGCACCTGCTGTCAGGAAATGGAAACCAGTAAGATTAATGTGGAGATGCATTGCGCTAACAACACTATCATAACACACACCTATATTTCGGTGGACAAGTGTGGATGCCATATTTCAGAGTGTAAAGATGCCTCTACTTAGGAAGAAGGGTTCTTATTACTTCTTATAATGTAATCATTTCTCCATTCATGTACTGTTTTTCTTTCACATCCTTGTACAGTTACAAGAACACACACAGCACAGAAAGTATCATTCATTATTGGTAATGGTCATCTGGTCTACAATTCTATTAGACATAGCTCTCTTTTCTTTTCCTTTTGACAGACTCTTAGTGAGTTGTAGTTACTGTGACATGTTTAGGCTACTAGCTGTCAGTCTTCCTTACAGGTGTCTGAGCAGCAACAGCAGGAGGCGTGGTCAGTCTGAGTGACCTGCCAGGTAAGTTAGGCTGAGCAATCACAATCAACTTGGATGTTTGGTATACGCACCAAGACTGATATTTCTGAGGATGACTGCAGCTAGCAGCCAAAACATGTCATGTTATCTCAACCCAATGTCTGCCTAAAAGGAAAAAAATAATAATAATAAAAAAAATAAAAAATAACCTCTGTCTGAGATTGAAGTGAGCAACTGAAATATCAATATTGTTATGAGAGTTTCTTTGAAGGTATGCAAAATTTGAATATTGAGAGTATATCATTTATAGTTAAATAAAATGCTACAAAAAGCTGATAAACTATATAAATGAAGTAATACCTGTAATTTGTTCGTAGTTTTAAAGTCATTTAACATGTTTTTTGTTTGAAGATGATTGAGATATTCCAAAAAAATCTATATGGTAGAGATATTTATTTTTGTCAGTATTGTCCACCTCTAGTTAAAGCAGCATTCAATGTTGCCTGATGCATCCATCTTACAGAGTTGTTTGAATGATGAAACGAATAACTGCCAGATGTGTACTTTGTACTTGTACCATGCATATGAAAATTGTATTACTGTAAGCTGTTCCTTTACCACTCTTTATCTTCTTTTGTATTCTGAATATCTACAAAAATGTGATTAAAAGTTTTTTTTGCATTTGAATGTTGGTTGCTGGCTCTAATTTCATCTTTCTTCAGATCCATAATTCATACTCACTAGCGTTATGTAGATAGGAACCATATTTCTTAACTGTTGCGTCACATCGGAGCACTAACAGTGTGACACAGATTGAGGCAGTCATGTCGGCGCTGAGGTTTATGTGCTCCCTGTTAGAATAGTAGTTGACTATCTGTTTCGGTTTATTTAACGTTTTATATTTTTGTATGTAGAACAGATCGGTTTAAAACTATGCGTTGAGGGAAGTGACGCAGACTTTAGTTTTGATTCAGTTTGAGGTAAATAAAGTTTAATGCTACTTCTCATCCAGGCTGTGCTATTCTTAACTGCAACGTTAGCTAATAGATGTCTGGTTTAGCGTAAACTTGTATTAAAAATCCAATACCAACCAAAGCCACTACGTGTCCCCCGAATTTTGAATTTTCTAACAAAGCTTTTTGTTGCATACTATTTATTCTTTCTTGTCCCAGTGTATTATTGGAATATCCGATAAATAATAGACAAGGATAATTGTATTGTTATTTTTTCATCGGAGTGCCATTGCTTTGAAAAAAAAAAAAAAAAAAGAAAGAAAAGAAAATTACCAGTCTGTATTGTCTCAGGTTTGCCATGGCTTCGCTGTCAGAGGAGGTTCTTCTTGTGGTGAAAAAAGTTCGTCAGAAGAAGCAGGATGGTACACTTTACCTGATGGCAGAGCGCGTGGCCTGGGGTCCAGAAGGTAAAGACCGCTTCACCGTCAGCCACCTTTATGCGGACATCCGTTGTGAGTACTCTATTCAGTTCTCTGCATATGATACGATTGTAAAATATATTCTATTCTGCAGAATTCATTGATTTATTATGTGTCAAATATTCATATACAGGTCAAAAGATTAGTCCAGATGGAAAAGCCAAAGTTCAGCTCCAGCTAGTCCTTCACACTGGAGAAAGTACCACATTCCATTTTTCCAATGAGAGTACTGCACTAAAAGACAGGGAAGCTGCCAAAGAACTGTTGCAGCAGCTCCTGCCCAAGTTCAAGAAAAAAGCAAATAAGGAACTGGAGGAGAAAAACAGGTCAGATTGTATGGATGATTGTATGGATAAACATGGCTACAATACATTCAACATATTGAGTATTGCTAATCTTTATACCTAATCATTAATGCTTTGTACCATACACTTGCTTCAATATCTTTGTAATATTTTTGTTACTGTCTTCACAGAATGCTTCAGGAAGATCCAGTGCTCTTCCAGCTATACAAAGACCTTGTTGTTAGCCAAGTAATTACTGCTGAAGAGTTTTGGGCCAATCGTTTAAGTGGGATCAACAGCACAGATTCTTCTGTGTCTAATAATAAACAAGAAGTTGGCATTTCTGGAGCCTTCCTGGTTAGATTTGACATCAAAATATCAACTCGGTGCTCAATGCATACACGACAAATAACCATTTATCTTTCAGGCTGATGTTAGACCTCAGACTGATGGCTGCAATGGGTTAATATATAATTTGACTGCTGATATTATTGAGTCCATCTTCAGAACATATCCAGCAGGTAAATGCAGGATTTTATTCTTTAAATCTGTTATGCATTTTTCTTGATAACTTTGTGAAACTAAATGCTGTAGTATTCCCTCTCAATCAGATGTAAATTGACCTTTTAAGCATGTCTATTCATCTCTTACAGTGAAACAGAAATACAATGAAAATGTGCCTCATAACTTAACAGAGAAGCTATTCTGGACCAGTTTTTTCCAGTCCCAATATTTTCACAGAGACCGTATTAACACAGGATCTCAGGATATCTTCTCAGAGTGTGCCAAGCAGGATGAAAAGGGTGTGTGGTTGAACCAAACAACCTTGGAAGTTTATGATTATCCACACACGCCAGATTGCTGTTTTAGATTTTTTACAATTGTGATTTATGGAATCTTTTTCAGGTTTGAAGTCTATGGTTGTTCAAGGAGTGAAGAATCCACTGGTAGACCTTTTGTCCTTAGAGGATAAATCATTAGATGAGGTAAGATTGGTCAGAAAATAATTTTTAACAGTTGAAAAATATCTACAAAAATCATGTTTTATACAGGGATATGGTCTTAACACACCAACTCCCTCAACCTCCAATTCCCACAAGTCGGTGAAAGACAGCAGTAACTCTGCCATTATAAAGAGGTTTAATCATCACAGTGCTATGGTGCTAGCAGCTGGCTCACGAAAGGGGTAAAGAAAAACTGAAAAAATTATTAGCTATGAATATAATACTATTCTTATTGAATGCATAGTGTTCTCATAAAAAAACTTGCTTTGAAGGGACACACATGCTGAGCAGGCCAGTGAGACGAGCAGTACTGATGGAAACTCCAGGGACTCTGATCTCTTTCAACCTCCTGTTAAAAAGGTATACAGCCAAAACAGCACATGAATTAAAATACAAAATTGGTTTCAAACTGTATGCTTTTTCATTTCAGGTTAAATTACAAGAAGCCATAGAATATGAGGATCTTCGAAGAGAAAATGGACCAAAAACTGTTGCATTAAATCTTAAAAAGTCTGACAGGTACATTCTATAATATATTAATAAATGTGCATCGGCGTTTTACATACATGTTTTTTCTTTTTTTTCTTTGTACCTAAAAGATATGCCCATGGTCCAGTTCCTCTTCAGTCCCAACAATACACAACAAGTCAGGATATTATCAGCTCTGTCAACTTCATACAGCATGAGATGGCCAACTACAAACCCAATCTTACTCAGGTTGATAAGAGTCATATCACAATTTTGCAGCTTTTGGTAGCTAATTTATTTACCAAGGAATAGTTAAAATAGTAGCTACTTTCATTCAATTTATTTTTGCAGGTATTGTCCAGCACATCTGCTAGTTCTGCTATTGCTGCACTTTCACCTGGTGGTGTCCTCATGCATGGAGGCACACAGCAAGCCATAAATCGTAAGTGACAAAATATTGACTTTATACATTATCCCTTTCTGTTAAATAAATAATGATTTGTTTTATGTTTATTTTAGAGATGATCCCTAGTGAAGTTCAAGGAGAGTTGAAACATTTGTATGCTGCTGCAGGAGAGTTATTAAGGCATTTTTGGTCATGTTTCCCAGTAAACACACCCTTTTTAGAAGAGAAGGTACAATAAGTTTTGACATATTTGAGTATCTACAACTAGTTTTGTTTTTCATGCTTGCATTCTTTATTAATATAGGTCATAAAAATGAAGTCAAATCTTGAAAAGTTTCAACTGACCAAGCTTCGACCATTTCAAGAGAAAATTCAACGTCAGTATTTAAGTGTTAATGTAAGTTCCTAGTTGGATAAGATTTTACACAGTCATTATTTGTATATTTCGCTATTTTTATTTGGGTTTTTCATCATGTACAGCTGACAGGACACTTGGAGGAGATGCTGCAGAAAGCTTATAGCAAGTTTCAAATCTGGCAAAACCGGCGAATGATGAGGAAAACTTGATGCCTCTCTGGGTCACAATAGATGACTAAAAAGATGAAGTATGGACTAATTCCCTGTTGGTCCCCAGAACTGCTCCAACCCATGCACTGTTGGTTAACTGGATTCACAGTGCTTTTGATGGGGACAGACAGATGCTGCAACATGCCTGAACGTTCATTAGAGACTAACTATAAGTCAATATTACAAGAAACTCTAATTTAGTTTTCTTGATATATTTTAAGTGGTTGATAGATTTACCAATGATGGAAAAAATAGGACGTTGGTACGTACATGGTGTAAGATGACCAAATTGGAGGTGGAATAAGGAGGGCACTCAGGACAACAAGATGATCTACAGGCAAGATGCCAGCAAAGGACTGCCAACAAGTGTTTTCTCTCTGCTTTTATGTGACATGAGGTTCTGGGCACAGAAAGCCCCTGAAAGCACTGTGTTGAATAGAGGAACTACAGAGGAAAGAGGAAGTGACTACAGCAATACAGTTATTTTACACTTTGAGTGCATTAGTTTGTGTGCTCTTCCAGTCACTTTGTTACTGGTTTATAATGCACATTCTGTCTACACTGAAGACAAAAACTTAAGCCTGAATTAAAATTAAGCATACGCTTTTGATTAATTTGTGGTCTTTAGTTTGTGTATTTCCACACTGTAATGATTCACTGAATTTCTTGGATGGCCAAGTGTGTTCATGATTTTTGTCTGAATAATTAATTTTTGACAAAAACGTGTTGCCTACATTAAACAACAGATTTAATATATAAAGAAATATAAATTTGTATTCCAACTCTTGTGCGTAAACTGTGGACAAAGCCAAAAGGGGAGGACTGTAGCCACCATCACCGGAAGTGTACACGGGAGAAACATCAGCTGAGCAGTGTCACAAGGGAAAGTGGGGCGTGAAAATCTGCCGTAATAGGACTGGGCTCCTACACACAGTTTATATGTTTAAAGAGACGTGTGAGCGGGTTCACGTGAAGATACAATGCTGTTGCTTTAATTCGGTGAGATTGTTAAACCGTGTCTTTTGAGTCGTAGCTACCATGCATGTGTTAACCTAGCTAAAGTCGTAGGACAAGTGACCGACCCAGTAAGAATTTCTCATGGTATTGAAAAAATGTATTTTTATACTCTTATAAATGTTTGCCTGTCTGTTTATGCTTTGTACCGATGTAAAGAAAGATATTGTTAATGACAGAAAAATGAGCTCGAGTGTCAGCAGTCTGTCTCGTGACTCAGGCGGTTCAGGCACCTCTGCAACTTAATCAATAAAAGAATTTTCGCCAAAAATGGCACTAAGCTAGTGGAATTCTTGTTATGGAAAGGTTGTATGGTATAATTTCTTACTTAATAATGGGGGCGACAGACTGTAGTTTATTTGCTGAACTTTTCGTCCTCTGATCCACAGATTGGCGGTTCGAATCTCGCTCCAACATAAACATCGTGGGTAGAGCGGTCAGATCACGGATCTGTTAAAATAGGGGTCATATTTACTGTCTGTCGCCACATGAATGCAATCTCCACACACTTTCCAACAGTTAGATTTTGTTTACTGAATCTTTTTTTTTTCTTGTAGTTTTGGATTGTTACCCTTCAAGATGCCCTGTGTGCCACTTGTTCCAGAGAACCACACTCATGTACTTGCAGAGTTTGACTGTCTGGACCCACTTCTTGCTGCATTGAGACTGGACTCTGGCAGGCTCAAGGTTTCCCTTTATGATATTTGGTTTAAAGTCAAGAAGTAAAACAATTTCAAAATAAATATTGTAACTGATGTTTGTTATTGTAGTGCAGCTGTTTGGCAGTATCTAGAAAATGGCTTGCTTTAGGTACATCTGCTGGAGGTTTGCACCTTATTCAGAGAGAAGGGTGGAAGCAAAGGCTCATTCTCACTCATAAGGTATTATTTTTATATCAGTTGTATACTTAACATTTCTGTCAGTGACCAACGTGAATAAATAAAATAAACAATATGTAAACTAAATGCTGGCAAATTAACAATTTAACATGCATTATATTTGGGAATTGAAAATTGACTATATGTCTATATGACATCAGGCATTAAACTGTAAAGCTGTTCTTGCAACCCTCAAGATTCCCGTAACTTAAATCACCTGATTCCCTAAATAGATCTCGCTAACACTGGATTATTGTGCAGTTAGATGCAGGTCAGTGGTTGTGGTGGTTAAATTTATATCCATCCATCCATCCATCCATTTTCGTCCGCTTATCCGGGGCCGGGTCGCGGGGGCAGCAGCCTAAGCAGGGACTCCCAGACTTCCTTCACCCCAGACACGTCCTCCAGCTCCTCCGGGGGGACCCCGAGGCGTTCCCAGGCCAGCCGAGAGACAGTCCCTCCAGCGTGTCCTGGGTCTTCCCCGTGGCCTCCTCCCGGTGGGACATGCCCGGAACACCTCCCGAGGGAGGCGCCCAGGAGGCATCCGGAACAGATGCCCGAGCCACCTCAACTGGCTCCTCTCGACGTGGAGGAGCAGCGGCTCTACTCCGAGCTCCTCCCGTGTGACTGAGCTCCTCACCCTATCTCTAAGGGAGCGCCCAGCCACCCTGCGGAGGAAACTCATTTCAAGCGCTTGTATCCGCGATCTCGTCCTTTCGGTCACTACCCAGAGCTCATGACCATAGGTGAGAGTAGGAACGAAGACTGACCGGTAAATTGAGAGCTTCGCCTTTCGACTCAGCTCCCTCTTCACCACAACGGTCCGATACAGCAACCGCATCACTGCCGAAGCTGCACCAATCCGCCTGTCAATCTCACGTTCCGTCCTTCCCTCACTCGTGAACAAGACCCCGAGATACTTGAACTCCTCCACTTGAGGCAAAGACTCTCCACCCACCCGGAGAGGGCAAGCCACCTTTTTCCGGTCGAGAACCATGGCCTCGGACTTGGAAGAGCTGATCTTCATCCCAGCCGCTTCACACTCGGCTGCAAACCGCCCCAGTGCACACTGCAGGTCCTGGCTCGATGGAGCCAACAGAACAACATCGTCCGCAAACAGCAGAGATGAAATCCTGTGGTCCCCAAACCGGACCCCCTCCGACCCCTGACTGCGCCTAGAAATTCTGTCCATAAACACAATGAACAGAACCGGTGACAAAGGGCAGCCCTGGCGGAGTCCGACATGCACCGGGAACAGGTCTGACTTACTGCCGGCAATGCGAACACAGCTCCTGCTCCGGTCATACAGGGACCGGACAGCCCTTAGCAAAGGGCCCCGGACCCCATACTCCCGGAGCACCCCCCACAGGACACCACGAGGGACACGGTCGAATGCCTTCTCCAGATCCACAAAACACATGTGGACTGGTTGGGCAAACTCCCATGAACCCTCGAGCACCCGATGGAGAGTATAGAGCTGGTCCACTGTTCCACGGCCAGGACGAAAACCACACTGCTCCCCCTGAATCCGAGGTTCGACTATCGGCCGAATTCTCCTCTCCAGTACCCTGGCATAGACCTTACCGGGAAGGCTGAGGAGTGTGATCCCCCTATAGTTGGAACACCCTCCGGTCCCCCTTCTTATACAGAGGGACCACCACCCCGGTTTGCCAGTCCAGAGGCACTGTCCCCGACCGCCACGCGATGTTGAAGAGGCATGTCAGCCAAGACAGCCCCACAACATCCAGAGACTTCAGGTACTCGGGGCGGATCTCATCCAACCCCGGAGCCTTGCCACCAAGGAGCTTGCCAACCATCTCAGTGACTTCGGCCAGGGTGATGGATGAGTCCGCCTCCGAGTCCCCAGCCTCGGCCTCCTCCTCGGAGGACGTGACGGTGGGATTGAGGAGATCCTCAAAGTATTCCTTCCACCACCGGACAACGTCCCCAGTCGAGGTCAGCAGCCCTCCCCCCGCGCTGTAAACAGTGTTGGTGAAGAACTGCTTTCCCCTCCTGAGGCGCCGGACGGTTTGCCAGAATGTCTTTGAGGCCGTCCGATAGTCCTTCTCCATGGCCTCCCCGAACTCCTCCCAGCTCCGAGTTTTTGCCTCCGCGACCACACGGGCTGCAGCACGCTTGGCCCGCCGGTACCCGTCAGCTGCCTCAGGAGTCCCCCGAGCCAGCAAGGCCCGATAGGACTCCTTCTTCAGCTTGACAGCATCCCTTACTTCCGGTGTCCACCACCGGGTTCGGGGATTGCCGCCGCGACAGGCACCACAGACCTTACGACCACAGCTACAAGCGGCCGCATTGACAATAGAGGCCGAGAATGAAGCCCACTCGGACTCCATATCTCCGGCCTCTCCCGGAATCCGGGAGAAGTCCTCCCGGAGGTGCGAGTTGAAGGTCCCTCTGACAGAGGGCTCCGCCAGACGTTCCCAACAGACCCTCACTACACGCTTGGGCCTGCCAGGTCTTTCCGGCTTCCTCCTCCGCCAGCGAACCCAACTCACAACCAGGTGGTGATCAGTTGACAGCTCAGCCCCTCTCTTCACCCGAGTGTCCAAGACACGCGGCGGGAGATCAGATGACACGACTACAAAGTCGATCATCGACCTCCGGCCTAGGGTGTCCTGGTGCCACGTGCACTTATGGACACCCTTGTGCTCGAACATGGTGTTCGTTATGGACAAACTGTGACTAGCACAGAAGTCCAATAACAAAACACCGCTCGGGTTCAGATCAGGGAGGCCGTTCCTCCCAATCACCCCTCTCCAAGTGTCACTGTCGTTGGCCACGTGGGCGTTGAAGTCCCCCAGGAGAACAACGGAGTCCCCGGTCGGTGCACTGTCTAGTACCCCTCCCAAGGACTCCAAGAAGGCCGGGTACTCTGCACTGCTGTTCGGCCCGTAGGCCGACACCACAGTGAGAGACCTGTCCCTGACCCGAAGGCGCAGGGACGCGACCCTCTTGTTCACCGGGGTGAACTCCAACACACAGCGACTGAGCTGTGGGGCAATGAGCAGGCCCACACCAGCCCACCGCCGCTCCCCACGGCCAACGCCAGAGAAATGGAGAGTCCAGCCCCTCTCAAGGAGTTGGGTTCCAGAGCCCAAACTGTGCGTGGAGGTGAGGCCAACTATATCTAGTCGGTAACGCTCAACCTCCCGCACAAGCTCAGGCTCCCTCCCCCCAGCGAGGTGACATTCCATGTCCCCAGAGCTAGTCTCCATGTCCGGAGATCTGGTCGCCGAGGCCCCCGCCGTCGACTGCCGCCCAGATCTCTCTGCACCGGCCCCATATGGATCCTCCCGCGGGTGGTGGGCCCACGTGAGGACGGCCCCACGTCGCTCCTTCGGGCTGAGCCCGGCCGAGCCCCGTGGGGGGAGGCTTGGCCACCAGGCGCTCGCTGGCGTGCACCCACCCCAGGCCTGGCTCCAGGGTGAGGCCCCGGTGACGCCAATCCGGGCGACGTAACTGGCCTTGCTGGTGTACTCATCATAGGGGCTTCTGAACCATTCTTCGTCTGACCCGTCCCCCCGGACCTGTTTGCCTTGGGTGACCCTACCAGGGGCATGAAGCCCCCGACAACATAGCTCCCGGGATCATTCGGGCACTCAAACCCCTCCACCACGATAAGGTGACGGTTCAAGGAGGGGGTTAAATTTATATGACCAGTAAAAATCAGATAATCCAGAAATCAGATCTGATTGTCAAATCTGATCATCAAAAAAAGCTGGGGACATAGCGTCAGATATTCGGTGAATTTTTCTAGTAATAGTTGTATTTGGACAAAATATGAAGTTTCAGATAACTAATTCTTTCATTTTTGTGTATGCCATATTAGTTTGGTGAAGAATGTGAACAATCAGAAACAAATCAGATTACTTGTGGATGCATCTGTTTATATAACATTTCAATAACGTGTTAACTCCAGAAATAAGATAATTGTCAAATTTTTGGTGTGCACTACTTTTACTAAGTACAGTATATAAGGATGGTCATAGGACATGTATGTTTCATAGTATTACTCACTGGGGTTTATAATTTTTGGCAGGAAGGATCTATCACTCAGGTGGCATGTTGTCCCCATGATGAGGACTTCATTGCTGTTGCAACAAGGTTTGTATATTTTTTGGGGGTTACTTTTTGATAATTTGAACATTTGATTGTGTCTTATTCAGTCAGGGACTGGTGGTGGTGTGGGAGCTGCAACTGGAGCGGCGTGGCCGTCCTGAGAGAGTGAGTGTGTCCTGGGAGCACAGGGGTCAGGCCATCACTGCACTGTGCTGGGACACAAGTGCCCTCAGAGTCTTTGTGGGGGATACTGTGGGAAAGGTGTCTTTTCTCAGGGCTGGATCCTCTAAAGCAGGCAAGGTATTGAATACTTAAACATAGTATATTTGCAATAAGAAGATACTAGTGAGCTTAAACAATACTAAAGACAAGTTATTGAGGCTTTTTATTACTTGAATAAAACATATTTATAAATGTGCATTTTATTTTTATATTTTTGTTTTAGGGATCAGCCTTTGTTATTTTTCCAGTTCAAACGGTGACCACTGTGGATTCCAAAGTGGTTCAACTCGGCTTCCAAGATGGGCGCCTACTTGTCTCTTCCTTGAGTCGGTGTTACATTTGTGACACGGAAAAGTACGACTTATTTTCTAGATATGTAATGCAAAAACATAATCATCACAATTTCAAGAAAGTCTATGCTTCCATGATGTTTTTATGCTGTCATGTTTGTCTGAAGGGAGAAGTTCTGGCGTGTTGGAAATAAAGAGCGTGATGGGGAATACGGAGCTTGTTTTTTCCCCCAAAACAGAGGTTTGTTACAGGGACAGCCTCCTCTGCTGTATTGTGCACGCCCTGGATCTCGTGTGTGGGAGGCTAATTTTAACGGTGAGGTTGTGAGCACTCATCAGTTCAAGCAGCTCCTTGCTTGCCCTCCTCTGCCTCTTATCACAAACAGGTAAAAATATGTTATTGTTTTGAAGCTTTTTCTTTTATTAAATATTTTATTCTATTTAGGCATGAGCCTCAATACCATGCTACACAGAGGAGCCCACAGTCAGTGGCCTTTGCGAGACTACTTTATATGGGGTCAGCGTTAAACCTTTTTGATAATATTTCATAATATATCAATTGTTTTTATTTCAAAAATGCACTTTCAGACATAAGATTTGATCATATTATTGTGTTCCTTTATATACACATACATATTTGATAGCTATTGTCAAATAATAAATTTCCTAGATTAACATAGTACTTCTTTATCTTATTATTAGTTATCCTCTATTTAAATCTGGCAATCTGGGGCGTGACTGACAGTAATAACATTTACTGACTTTTATTTTTATTTATAGTGACCAAAACCTACTGACATGGACAGACTCTGCAATTTTTATCTTTACTCCTCAGAATGGCCAAGTGCTCCTGTGGTCTGAAGTAACAGGTAAGTAAAACACTACATTTTGTGTTTTTGTGATTATTGGCAACATTTAGCTGTAAGCCCTTTGTTCATTTTCAGATATTGCTGAGATTGTGGTTTACCGCAGTGAGCTCTTCTGTCTACATGGCAGCGGGCGCCTGTCCCACTTCACACTTTTGTCGGCGGAGCGATGTGTGGAGCGTCTACTTCGCAGGGAACTATGGCTTTGGGCTGCTGTTGTCTGCTGTATGTTCCAGCATGCCATCACTACAAGCAGGGTGAATAATATTTAAATGAGTTAATAAATAATTAAATTGATAATTAACAGTCGGTCAATCAGTCTAATATTATCAGTACATTCTTGGACATAGTGATTTATGGTATGTATCGTAAGTAATAATTTTGTCCACAAAGCTAATTTGGTATAGGATAAATTGTCCTGGGACGTGCCCACTGAATGCATTGTCACAACTGCTGCTCTTTTAGAGTGGCCAGTAATTCTCAGAAGTGTTCCAAGGAAAAGGCAGGCAAGCAGCTACGCTTCTGGGGTGCACAAAAGGCCATTATTGAGGCTGTACCAGGGATATGGTTATAATGTTCTGTGTCATTATATGGCAGATTATCTGTACAGTGCCAATGTAATGCATTTATAAGGCATGTGTTTTTAGGCAAGGAAATGTATTCCCATGGATCGCCTTGAGCACCTGAAGTCCCAGCTGAACCCTTCTGCAGCTGCAGAGCTGATTGGACAATTGGAAGAAGTGATCAATAAACTAGAGCCTCTGGATTCTGCTTGCAGCAGCCGACGGAGCAGCATCTCTTCACATGTGAGCCAAGAATACTATAATAGTAGTTTTTATCATGTTTGTCACAATATATTTACATTTAGTATATCCAGTGTAGCTAAAAATGTATAACTTCATAGTTCAGGGATGAATTCTTCCATTCAACTTTTTTTCTTTCATTAATAATGCATAGTTTAAACCAGCCTCGTTAAGTAGTCTCAAAAAGGAGACAAAATCTAATGATGAATCCAACCTAATACTAATCCCTTTTGTATCTGCTTCAGGAGAGCTTTAACGTCCTGGACTGTGGTATCTATCGAGTGATCAGTCGTAGAGGAAGTCAGTCTGAAGAGGAAACTGGATCCCTCATAAACCAGTCTGCGTCTGAGGAGGAGCGTCTCAAAGACTTCAGCTTTGTTCAAGAAGAGGATAATGTTGATAATGGTAAGAACAGACAGGCTTATGAGCTGAGCACTGGCTTCCAGAGAGGACAAAGTATAAAAAATAATGTTCTCAAATACACTTTTTTGTTTTCTATTTCTATCTATTACACTTCTGTCTGTTATATGTGGCTTTGCTTCCTCCAAGTTATATGACAAAAGAAAATTATTACAAGTTTTTACTTTTGCTAATAAAACATGCTTTTTTTAAATTATGAGACTGCTATTATGACTCAAATGTCACTTAAATCTGCATATTATCTTTCATACTGTTCCTCCGTACCACATTTCACAATTTATTTTTTCATATTGTGCAGTATTTAATTTCTGTTTTCAATTTAGTCTTGTATTGCACCTCAGCTCCACCTGCTTCCCTTTTGTCCTATCATTCTTATTATTCATGTCCACTGCTCCATCCATCTGTGTTTTTCCACTGGCTTTGGCCTCCATCTTGATTCAGATCCTCAGAGCAGTGAGCGTTTGGAGGTGGAGAGGTCGGAGCAGGCATTACCTTTTAACCTTCCTCTGTCATTTCGGCCAAAGCCACCACGAATCGCCCTACAAGCTGTCAAAGAAAGGTAACTTCTTCTTTCTGCATATGTTTTTGATAAAACTAACCAAAGCATCAATTTTAGACAACTTCCCTTTTTTCAGTGAATACGGTTACATTTGGATTTATAAATAGTGGTAGTTTCACTTTCCCAATGTGCTTTACTCTCACTCACATAACACGCAAGTCCGGTCTTTAGCGTTTCCAGTTTTATGAAGAAGACGACAGAGAAGATCAACACCCTTCAGATGAATTCTGAACTTTGGCCACGTCCTGAATGCAAAGATGGTCCAGTAGTGGAGATGCAGGCTTCTACGGCAGGGGACCCAGAGAAAATGGAAAATGTGTAAGACAAATTGTTATAGTCAAAACAATTTTATCAGGAAGTGAGTGTGATTTATGTAAAAATAATGCTTTTGCGTTTACAGGGTTTATGATGAAATGTCAAGCACAGAAGCAGATTTGAATGAACTGCAAACTGTGACAGACCACGCCATGTAAGCCAGTTTTATCTTGACATTACCTCATGTACATGCCGTGCACATCTGTTCATAGGCCTCAGATTAGTAAGAAGGCTGTACTTAGTAATAGTAATAGTAGTACTGTTGTGGGACTTTTGAGAGCACTTTTAGTTGTAGTTGTAGTTGTAGATTGTAGCTTCCACTATAGTAGTAGTTTAAAGATGCATTATGCAACTTTTGCGCACTATGCAACTTGTCTCCAACATCTTGACTTGGAAAAACATGTATTTTTACTGTGAGTGGGGTTGTCTCTCCACAGATCTAACCTGTAACTTGACCTAGGGTGTCACCTGATTTTCTCCTTGAACATATGGTTTAATGCCATACTGTGTAAAACTATTTGGTAAAGTAATAACCTCTGCATGGAATTAAGCAGATGACGGAACCTTCATCAGAAAAGTTACATAGTTCACCATTGAATTTCATGTGTTTTTATTTGTCAGAGCCCAAATCCAGGACCCATACGTGCTCCTTGACCCAGACAGTCTTGAAGAAACTTTGCTGGAGTGGCTACCTGTTTTGGAGAAAGTGCTTGGTCGAGTGGTTGAGCTTGAGTTAACTGTATCTGGAACTGAGTCAAACAGCAGTATCCCAACAGATGACATTGACAATCGGAACCCCTTCATCGACCAGCCAGACCATTCAAAACTTTCAAATCAGTTACACAGCAGCAATGACCACGGAGAGGAGGTTTCACATTGTGAGAGTGAGCTGGCACCAGATCATGAAGAAAACATTACTGAGGTTTCTAATGGTTTTCTTGTGGAGCCTATTCGAGTCCGTCCACCCAAACCAGTCCCTTCAGAGCTGCTGGTGAATCTGAGCCATCTGGCCATGCTTTACACTGAGCACAGCTGCTTCAGGAGGCACCAGAGCAGATACACTGTGAGCTGTGGCACTTTCCTCCGGCGATATTTCTTCCTCCTGGACCCAGAGCGAGTGAGGAGGATGTGTCTACGGTGTCACAGAGATCAGCCCGAGGTTTACTGCTCCTTCATCGAGGCCATGCAAGGTAGGGATGGCACAATAAAAAATAATAAATAAACAATAATATCATGATTAAAAAAGATGGACAATAATCATTCATGGGATATTTTACATAATTGTGATAAGATAATCACCATTTTATCACCAAAATGTGCAGGGAAAAGCTCCTTATCCATAATGTTCCCTTGATGATTATTGTTGTTTTCATTTACAACAAAATACATTACTATTAAAGTTTAATTATTATCATTATTATTATTATTATTCATAGCCATAACATTTTTAAACTGTCAGCTACTTTAAAAAAATATTGTGATATAATCTTTAATTGCAATTATTTTGGCCATGATAATAGTAAACCCTAATCCTTCTCAGCATCTGACCAAAAACCCTCAAAGAAATCTCCCATCCAAATTACATGAGATGCCCATGAAAACAGACTTGGTTTGGTACTGTTATGTCCTTGTCTGATTGTTTATTAAGCTTCACCTGTATTGATACCTATACCAAAACATTCTCCAAATAGAACAAACTCAGTCCAGTAAAGTGGCAGATGTTATCCAGAGAGGGGATTTGCAGCGGTCCCTGCGCAGCCTCAGAGAACTGCAGCCCTGTAGTGCCTCTGCTCTCCTGCCTCACTTGTACAGGTCTGTAAACCATTTCTTCATTTTAGATGGACTTGTATGGACTTGGATCTAATGTGTAATCCTCTAGGTTGTATGAGAAACATGGAGAGGCTGCTGTCCGCTCCTTATCCCAATTTTATCCAACTATTACTCCATCTGATGTTATGGCTGTGGCTGATCCGAAACACTTTTTGGCATATTTGGATAATCTGGTTCGATCTCGGGCCGAAGATCACAAGTAAACTAAGAGTCCTATCTTTATGTGAAAACAATATTAAAATGATTTATTTAGCATATATGTTTTAACTAAATTTTCTTTGCTCAGGTTATCATTTCTTCAGTCTCTTTTGGACCCAGAGTCTTTGAGGCAGGATTGGCTAGAGCTTGCACTCTCCAATGATGCACCTCAGCGTTCTGATACGCTGACCCCTAGTGGAGATCCAAGGTCTGAAAATTGCTTTATAACATGACAATTTCACACCACGTCTGTGGCAGTCCATATTTATTTAAAATGACATCAATCAAATGATTATATAAAATTCTGTTTAGGTGGCATTCCCATTGTTTTAGATGGGGATATGGACATCTTCTCTCTCTGCTCATTCGTCTTCCTGCTGACCTCTCATCGAAACAGGCCATGGCAGACAGTTGTCGGAATCATGGGTATAAGAATTGTTATGTTATGTAGCGACAATTGCTTAATGTCTTGATTGAATTCCAGGTCATAAAAATTACTTCATTATATTACTTTATATTGAAGATATCACTCTATGTGTGGCAGATATTGGATGGGCTACCTCTATTTATGTAATCAGCTACAGCGAAGATCAGAAGCTTTTTCCACCATTTGTCAACTGGACGACATCAGTCTTTTGGAGGAACCTGAGGGTAAAATTTATACTGAAGTAATCACCAGAAAAGTCTGAAGAAATACGATTGTGTGTTTTGTATTTACACAAAAATATGAATATACCAAGTTGTACCTGACTGTCATTATTCACAAACAGTATATCATTTTGTATAGATCCAGTGAACATAGAATTAATTAATTTGAACAGTTATTATCCTTTTTCCTGCAGGAGTGGAACCTCAAACACTGGAAGAGTGGAAGCTCCTGATTCAACTGTCCCAGCAAATTGTTTCTTCTGAGCACTTCCCAGGGCAGAATGGAGGGATTCGGTCGGATGACTCTGGGGTGAGTGCAGGGAAGGTGAGCCCAGAGACCCTGACACTCATGCTGGCTCGCAGCGCGGGGCCTGATGTGGCTCTGGACGTCCTGGAGGACTGTGGGGTACAGTTGGTTCTGTCGCCTCACTCCCAGCTCATCTGTGAGCTCCTCAGGGTCACTGAGAAGAGACAGAGGTGGGTTGACACAACAAGAAGTATGTAATGTACTGCACGATAACATGAATGAGGAATTTGTCATTTGAGTGCAAACATGCATACACGCCTGGCTTCATTATATCTTTATGAAGATGATAAATAGAATTATATTGAGCAGTTTGTCTGCTACACTCTTATTAAGCCTTAATAAATTGGTTAATTGATAATGAACAAATAGTTTATTAATAGTTTATTAAGTCTCTCTTCATTGTTTATTAAGGCGTATTTTACTGTGATTAAGATATTATTTACTTTGTATTTCTTAGTGACAAGAATCCTCATCCATGTTTCTCTTTCACAAAACGTTTTCGGTCACACCTGCAAAACATGTGAAATGGAAATACACTTTGAATACACTGTATATTGTAAGAGTTTTCAGGAGCTAAACCTCTCTTCTCTCCACAGGGCAATAATTCAGACCATGCTGGAGCGCTGTGACCGCTTCCTTTGGTCTCAACATGCCTGACACAAAGACACTGCTCAAAGCCTCAAGTCTTCCACTACTGAAATACTACTGACAAAGTTATGCACTGTGATGATAGATTTCCACATTAAGGTACATAATAATTTGTGTTTAATAATTGTTTTCACATAAAGGATATCCATATTGACCTTGATACATATTATATTTATTATTGTTTATGATAGTGACAAAATATTTAACTAATTTTAACTATCAAGCTTTCAGTGTTAATTCAGTCTGTTTGTATAAATAAGGCAAACGTCTTAAACCAGTATTCTGTATGGCATGAATTTTAACATGTTTTGAAATAAATAAAAACATAAAACATTACATGATTTTGTTCAGATGTGTTCTCCACTGAAATGAATTAAAATGGGGGTCAATAATGTGACAGAAGCTAATGACAATGTAATGAAATGGGAGGATGACTTGCTGCTAACACACACCTGGAGCTTCAAAGGAAACGTTGACAAAATACTGAAGCTTCAAGTATGATTTGTGAAAATCTACCAACTTTTTGGCCCTGTTCATAACACACATTAATACAGAGGTACTGTCACACTGACCATTCTGTCCGAGCTTAGGCTTTCTCCTAGCAGCTTATAAAAAACTAATCCAGTTTCTTTACTACGTTGGTGTTTTTAGTTTTAATGTAAAATTAGAGATTAAATAATTATTGTTGAATATTGAATGTAATTATGTAAATATGCACAGTGTAAGTTTTTTGGTGGAGGGTCTGCCACCTGCCTGTCTCAAAACTTGATATAGCTTTGCCATGTTTCACGGTATAGCATTAAACTCCAGGCAGACAAGCAGGTGATGCTTGTTGCTTTGTTGTTGCTATGCTTTGTTTTTCAATACATTATGTATTTCTGAGCAATAATAAGTAATGTAATAAATGCACAGTCGAAAAGTTTAATGCCACAGTGGACGATTCTAGGCAAAGTAATGGCAATAGCTCCATGGGCAAAAGCAGAGAACAGACACGCACTTGAAAAGTTACACAGTGCACCATTAAATGCTACACGGAGCCTTTGATTATTTCTACTATTGAGACTAAAACCTGGGAGATTATTATTATTTTATTTTATTTTTTTGACACTGAGTTTTCATCATCGCTGAGAGACAAAGGTAGGTATTTGAGTTGTGGGGATTGAGGTTATTAGGCCAAATGAGAGAGGCCACTGTTTGAAGTTGGAGTGCTGTCATCAGAAATTCAGATTAGGGGATTCTGCACATACTTGCTGGTCCGGGGCCCGGGGTATAAAGGTTAAACCTGATGCTCAGAACACCTGCTGCCACTAAAGGAGAGCAATGAGTCTCCAGGGCTGAATACATTCATAGAAATACAAATGGAAGCAACACATTTTGTAAGTGTATTTTGTTTACTGAAATTTAAAATATTAGAGGGTTTTATTATGAATTTGTACATTTTCTTTAATATTGTTTCAGATCTCCTTTTCGTTGCTGCTTGTCATAATTTTAATGAAATATGTTTTACTGAAAAATGTTGACAACAATACAGGTATGAGCCTTTTTGTTTAACCATTTAATTAGTGACACTTTAATGTTATTGACCTGTGAACAAAGTTTTATTAAATGTGTAATTATAAATCTCTGCTCAATAGGAACTGTGTTGCCACTGCTCTAATTTGGATGTGGATATTTCTATTTCACAAAAATCTGTTTCATCTATGAAAATTAAACTTTGCTTACTGGATTGTATATTTCATAATATTTTCTGTAATTTTGTTGTTGTTGTTTATGTTTATTTAGACAAGTTATATTTAGGATCTGCATTTGTTGAGGAAGCTCTTCAAAAGGCGATTGAGCTGACAGATGCTGCTTATGCTCGCACAAGTGAGAGGTGAGCTGCTTGGGTAATGCATGGCCTAATTTAAAACCCGTAACACTTGAGCATAATTTATATTCTTTTCAGAGTGAAGACGTCCCTGTCTGAGGGCACCCTGAAGCCCAGTGACCTGCTGGCTCAGTTCAAACAGACAGAGACCTCCGTCCGGACACACATTTATGCAGCTGAATTGTTGGACAACACAGTGGAGCTGATCAGAGAGATGGTCTACACTCACAGCATGGAGCAGCCACAACCACATGGTCAGTCAGATACATCTAACACAATAACATGTTAACCCTGTATCTCATAACAAAATCTGTTCTTTAGTCATTGATATGACTCAAATGCAGTGTGTATGTATAGATGTGCGTATATTAATCTAAAATTTGACTACATAAGCCGATGGAACATTTTTGCAATTGTACCAGGGTTGTTGAGTGACAGAGATGTAGAGAATCTGCTACAGGTGACAGGCTGCTCCTCTGAGCTGCAGAGACCCAAGTGTCCCTCTGACTGTCTCTCTGAGCGCTACCGGACCATCACAGGAGACTGCAACAACAGGTCAGCAATGAAACCATCACCATATCAACCCTACACCAAAACCAGGACCAGGGTTTTTGGTTTAATAATCTTGTATATGACATCTGGGATTAACTCAAAGATAAATCTGAAAATAATATATTATGAATTTTATATACTTATACAAAGGATTTGTTTTGGCAAAGTGAATCAAAAATATAACTTGTACTGGAATAAAATGAAGGTCACAGACGACTTGGGTGTAGGGTTTACCAATTCACCTGTATTTCATCAAACAGGAAGTATCCCAGATGGGGTGCTGCTAACATCCCATACTCCCGCTGGCTCCCTCCTGAATATGAAGATGTGTGGGGGGCTCCAAGAGGCTGGGACCCAGATCACACTTATCACAACGCCAGCCTTCCTCCGGTAAGCCCCTCCTTCTACAGTTTTCAGCAGAGCATGTCATATTTCTTTTCACCTGTTAATCTCTTGGACTTTGATATTCTCCAGGTGCGGCTGGTGTCCCAAGAGGTGCTTTCCACCCAAAACAACAAAATTTCTCTGGACTCCACCTTATCCCATCTGCTGGTGGAGTGGGGGCAGTGGATTGACCATGATGTGGTGCTGACTCCTCAGAGTCCCAGTACAAGCGCCTTTAAGTCGGGAGCAGACTGTAGCCACTCCTGCAGCCAGGACACTCCCTGCTTCCCCATACAGGTGCACCCACTGTCTCCACTGAGCCCACAGAGCTATAAAGTTATCCAACATTTGCACTGTCTCAGGACTAATACTTTATGTTTAGATACAGTGACGGTAATTTCCACATGATAGTTAGGGACTAGAGATATGAAGATTTTCCAGTTAATCACAATATATCATATGAATTAAGAAAAAATATTCAGCCTTTTTCAATTCAATCTATTAGGTAGATAGATAAATACTTGATGCTGAAAGGAAAATCACTAATTTCCTTAATAATAACAAGAATATACTATTGTCCAAAAAAGTACACAAAAACATTTATCTCTCACTCTTGACTTGACAGAAAAATTAAGTATTTCACAGTTTGGTGTCAATAATTATGAATAATCTTGAAATCATGACATTTCTGCTTACAATAATTTTAAGACTAGAATTTTATTTCGTGACATCTCTATTAGGGACCCTGGACCAATCTTATTTCAACTTTTTTAGTGGAGGTACACCTACTTGTCTTCACTGATATATTATTGCTTTACCTAATGTCACATAATATTAATGCTTCTATTATACTAATTTAATCAATCACCTCATCATGGACAAGCTCAAAATAAGTTTGTTTTTTGATTCAATTTGAGGTACTTTTTTTAGTATTATTTTATACTGTAAAAGGGGAGAAATTTGTACTGTCACTAGATATAGTAACAGTGTTTTACAATTAAAGGTGTTTGTTCTCTTAACTATTAAAATCAGAAAATGTCCCGACATTTTTGTCCCAGATCCCTTTGTCGGACCCTCGCAGTGGCATCCAAACCTGTATGCCATTTTTCCGGTCCGCTCCTAGTTGCTCCGAGGGCGTCCTGCCTCATCGCCACCGGGAGCAGCTCAACGCCATCACCTCGTTTGTGGACGCCAGTATGGTCTATGGCAGCTCATCGAGTCTGGCCTCTGCCCTGAGGAACCAGTCCTCCCCTCATGGCTCTATGGCTCTGAACTCTCAGTACTGGGATGAGGACCTGGCCTATATGCCCTTTCTGCCCCGAATTCAGACCCACCTGGATCCCTGTGGCCCCAGAAACTCCAGTGCCCCTCCCAGATCTGCTCCTGTGGGGAATAGCACGTCCTGCTTTCAGGCTGGTGAGAATGTACTAAACGCTGTGTTTGTCTGTTGTTTGTTCAGTGCTCTGGCTTGACTTCACATTGAGGCATTGTATGTGAGTGAAACCATTTGTGTGACCTTTCTTTTGAAACAGGTATCAAGTTACACTCATATCTGATGAATTTTAACCTGAGAGTAATGTACACTTTGCTTTGTATGCTTGAGTAGAATATGTTCTGTGATTGCCTTGCCATTCTAAAAGTGATAGGGCCCATATATCTATGTTAAAATGTTAGTTTCTCATTAAAGTTTTTGTTTTGTTCTTTTTTCCAACAGAACACACTCTGTTCCACCTTGTGATATAATATGGTAATACAGGGAATGCTCCACTGGGTTTTAAAGCCCCATACACCTTTATTAAAGATGTATGTATGTAGGTATGTATGTAGAACATGTGTGACTGAAACTCCAGATATGTGTTTGATGATTTAAAAGCATTATAATATGGCTAAAAGCTCACAAGAATCCATTCCAACAGAAATATGCTGTATTTATACATATGTTGAAGTTGAGCTGGGAGTATCAAGTTCAGATAAATCAGTCTACAATACAGTGCCCCATCAGAGTATTTGTTGTGGTAACCCCATCAGAATGGGTGAATGGTGGAGGTAGCAAATGAATATTACACAGCATGGATTCTTGTAAGTTTTTTGCCATGTTATAATGTCCTCAAAACGTGGAGTTGTGTTTTGATTCATTCACACATATGGTGCTAGTTTTCAAGTTAACAGCTACTTTTTACGTTTTGTTCAGTAGAGATAGTCAATTCCAGGACTGAAATCAACCAAATTATTATACGTGTGATTATAGGTGTATGGAGCTGAAAAACACATTGGAGTGCTTCCGGTATTACCCCATGACATCACAAGGTAGAACAGAGTTTGAGAGAAAACATTTTTGCACGGTTTGTGTGTTGTATATGAATGAAACACAACACCAGGTATCTTTTGATGAGGAAGCAACATTACAACAGAGATCAGAAAATAGCGTAATATATGCCCTTTAATAAAATACTTTTGATGCTGATCAGGTGACTCAAGGGCCAATGAGCACCTGGGTATGGTTGTCCTCCACACCCTGTTTCTGAGGGAGCACAACCGGCTGGTCAAAGAGCTGCACCTGCTCAACCATCACTGGAGTCCTGACACTCTGTACCAGGAGGCCCGCAAAATCATGGGAGCAATACACCAGGTACACTAATAATACTCACTTTGAGCTACTGAAACAAAAAATGTGAAATATTATATTAATTGTGGTAAGTGGCCATACCTTAAGGGTGAGTGGTTAGGCAAAAAATGCATATTATGATTTTCTTGAAGCCAGACCATAATTTTAGTTTTATCACAATTCATGTAAAGATAGTCAGTAGCATCTTTATATTGCCTTGAAGAGGGAACTAAAGTCATCTGCTTCTTCTGAAGTTTCACACATTACAGTTGGTTAAATCCACCTGTCACTTACAGTGCATTTCTGAGGCTGACCAATAGGAGGAGTGGGTGGGAGCCAAAAGCTACATTCAAGAGTAAATTTGTGAAACATATTTTTTATCACCATATTGCCCAACCCTCTCTCACATCTCAGGCAGATGATCATAATATACATTTTTTCCACTTTTTCAGATATTAACGTGGGAACACTACCTTCCACGGATCCTTGGTGACAGTGCTGTAACTGATCAGATTCCCCCGTACAAAGGCTATGATGCTTCCGTGGACCCTACCATCGCTAATGTGTTTGCTACTGCTGCATTTCGCTTTGCTCATGTCACCGTTCAGCCAATGGTGACCAGGCTGGGACCTGGCTACTCTACAGACTCCCAGAATCCCCCACTACCTCTGCACCAGTCATTGTTTGCCTCGTGGAGAGTTGTACAGCAAGGTAAAGACACACTTAAATACTAACTGCCCCTCTGACCACCACACACCACATGCACGCAAAGACAAAACAACTGTCCTAGCCTGAGCTGAGACTGAACTGGGAACAGTTCTGTATTAGTTCTAAATGATCTACGTAGAGTTTTTCATTTTTAGGAGGAATTGACCCAGTGTTACGCGGCCTCTTGCTTTCACCGGCCAAACTGCAGACTCCGGGTCAGATGATGGTAGAGGAGCTGACAGAGCGGCTGTTTCAGGCTCAAGGAGGGATCCCTCTCGACCTCGCTGCCCTGAACCTCCAGAGAGGCAGGGACCACGGGCTGCCAGGTGAATTAATTGTAATTTATTCATTTGTCACATGAAAAATAATATCAATTGTCTGTGTAGGTTATGGTACATGGCGTCGCTACTGTGGCCTCACGGTTCCCAACACCACGTCTGAACTGGCTGATATTTTGGGAAACTCCACCTTGGCCCATAAATTTCAGCTGCTATATGGGACACCACACAACATTGATGTTTGGGTAGGGGCCATCTCTGAACCTGCTCTGCCTGGAGGTCGAGTGGGACCTCTGCTCTCTTGTCTGTTAGGAAGACAATTCAGGACCCTTAGAGATGGTGACAGGTAAATGAAATGCAACAAACATCAGATCTACTTTTCATTTTGACATATTGGTTACTTGGTTAGTTGTCAGGCTTTATAAACATTTTTTTTTAGGTTTTGGTGGGAGAGAAAAGGAGTGTTCAGTAGCTCCCAGAGGAAACAGCTCCACTCTGTGTCTCTGTCTCGCATCATCTGCGATAACAGCCACATCACCTCTGTGCCTTTAGACCCCTTCACACGCACTGAGAGCCCCAAGGACCTGTTGTCCTGCTCCCACCCTCTTATCCCCCATCTGGACCTCAGCCCCTGGAAAGAGCCAGACAGAGGTGAGAGATCTACATATTTTATTCCCTAGTCCCTATCTTTTACAGCAGTTTTGAATATAACTATTCCATTGAACAATATCATAATTTAATAGCATGTAATTTTTTGAACATTTATGTCTCTTTTGTTAGTCTCTTCTTGTACATACATTTTTTTTTGTCTAAGCTGATGACTTGGTTGGTTGAATGTCTTGAATACTTTGTAGGGCTGTGCAATTCATGGTGTGGTTCGGAGCAGAAATCAGACTATGGAAAATAAATTGTCTTTGTTATTTATGTTAAATGGTGCTAATTAAAAGTCAATTATTATTGAGAAAAAATAGTAAGAATATGAATATTCATATTTTATCATATTGCCCAGCACTAGTATGTTGTGATGTTGTGAGGTATTGTCCTGAAAAACTAAATTACTATAATACAACAGTATATTGTATGAAATTCTCTTGTCTGTAGATCCAATTTGTGGTCTCATACCCCGGATTAAAGCGGGATACTCTCTGCTCTGCCACTCCATGGTTTTGTATGAGTGCCAGTCTGGTTACAAGCTGCTTGGGTCCTCATCTATCACATGTGACCCAAATATGAGAAAGTGGAGGCCTGCCCCACCATCCTGCCATGGTACACTCACAGTCTGCTTTTCCAGCTCAAATACTTCCTAATACTTTGCTTATTTACAGATATCAATGAATGTGAAGAAGAAGTTTCACCTTGCCCCCAAGATGGAAACTGTTTAAATACACCAGGTTCATTTTTATGCACAGGTATGTCTCTTCTTTACGGCTATTGCATAATTGGTCCTAGGCCTGCCATGATAACACATTTTGAAGCATGATGTATTGTTACAGAGAAATACAATGATAATATTTAAAGGTGCACTATCTAACTTTTTAGTTGTCAGCTTGTTTCACCTGCTTGTTTCTATGGATGTCATTGCTCTGCCTGAAATTTTTCAAGGATGACATTCAACAAGTTTACCTTACATTTATTTAATTACAGATTGTTTTATAGCTCAGAAATGCCTAAAATGGGCATTCTGACTGTGAGCGGGGCTGCTTCTCCACAGATTTGACCTGTAGCTTGGTTTGGTTTGGTCTCCATGAAGATAGAAAGTTAATACCATACTGTGAAGCATTCCAGACAAAGCAATAATATCTCCATGGAGAAAAGCATTTGATGGGTCCTCCACCAAAAAAGTTACACAATACAATACAACTACTTTATGCCACTGACACAAAGCAGGATAATCCCAATAAACCATTTTTATATAAACAATATCATTTAAAGGCCCAAGTGGCAACAATTAAATAGCAGAATTTAAAAATAATTAAGTTATTTATTCAACCCTTAACAACTCAGATCTTATAATATAACAACTCAAATAACAAAAACTCCCCACTACTGCAAAGAAAATTTACACACAATAAATATTGACCCCCAAAAAACATTGTTCCAGCTTTCAAATATTGAGTAATAAGCCAATATAGTAATTATCGTGATTAATTTATCCATTTTAACCCAATATAACATTTACTTTTTCAGATTCAACCACACCAACTACATCTTCCATTATTACTGCTGTTATTGTTGTCATTGGTGGTGCAGCTCTTTTGGTTATGTCCATGATCTGGTATCGAAAGTAAGTTTGCAAAGCTTCAGTTGCAGTTTGGAATACCATACATTTTTTGGACAAATTTGAAATAATTATATTTCTATTCCCTTTCCAGATATTTCCCCAAGAGAGAATTTGCCAATGCAAAATGTTGTCCAGCAAAAAACTGAATTTAGATACTGTTAATAGAATGGTTTATTTAGTCTTTTTGTCTATTAAGATTATAGAGAGATGACAAGGCCCTAACTCTATTGTACAATAATAAAGATATATTTCCCAGAACTCAAACACTGACTTTCTCCAGTTCAGGAAGTGCAATTTGCATTGACACACAGACTTCACTTTTACATGCTGTAACTCAAAACTATGTCTGTGAGTGGGAGCATGTACTAAAGATATGATCATCAAAAACATTTATCAACTGTTGTATTTGGAAAACAAAATACAATGACTATTTCCAGTGGTCTCCCATCCAAGCACTAAGCCTCAAAATCAGTCGATCAGATTTTTGTTTATGCATGTAAACATGGCCAATATATATAGCCCATGTTAGCAAACGGTTATCAATATATTAACACTCTTCAAAGAGTGTTAATATATTGTGTAAATGTAAGAAATAAAAAATATATATATCTTTGAGTTGATTCCGTGAATGCTCTCTTGTATTATTACTGTTGTTGACTAAAGAAACCTGGCAATATTTCCCCAGGATTATATGACTTATTCTTCAGAACCAGTTTGATGACTGTGGGCGTGGAGCTGTGCTTTTGTGACAAGCTAGTTCTTGTCAAAGAGCTAAATATGAGAGCAGTTACAAGAATTACTCTTCCTGCTATCCACGTGTGAATTATTTATTGCCAGCATCCACCACACTTGGTATGATCATAAAGTGTTAATAAAACAGGGACAGTACAAAGGTCTGGCAGCACAGCTTGTTTTAATGGAGTGTTTAATCTACAATAATACAACATCTAACTAGTACACTGAGGCTAGAGAGCTCCAGATCTAATCCAGGCTAAGAAATGTCTATTGCACTTGACATAAAATACTTCATATTTACCATTTTATATTGACATTAATATGATACATTTATACTGTGAGGTACAAATAATAAACTTTCATGTATGGCTATAGGCCTATATTGCATTCTTGGATTGTCATGGCTTTTCATTATAATAAGTTAATTATCGCTTACTACATTTCAGTTGGATGAGTGACAATATTACATTTTTAACTTGTATTAATACACAATCATCTTTTGAAAACATTATGTGACAAATAGTTTCAGACCAAAGTAAAAAAAAAAAAAAAAAATGTGGCAGCTGGTGCTTCATTTGTTTTTATACAAAGAGCCTGGAAAGAAGGCAGTCAAACAATATCTAAAGTAAAACGTCCTGTGTGGTTCGCAGGTCAAAGTCAAAATGATCTCAAATCCATGACTTCTTTCAACACAAAATGTCACCTGTCAGATTTTTACCATGTTTCTTCTAAGTACTAGTATATCCACTGATGGCATATATTTCCCTTGATGTTTTTTGCTACAGCACTTGGCTACAGATCCAGGGCTCGTTACCACAGTTGTTTGGCTCAGGATGTCCTCACGTACAGGCCTTATGACAAAGGTACTTTACCCCTGGTCTGTCACAAAGAAACCCAATTTTGCCACAGTCATCTCTTTTCTAAGTCGCATCACCTCCCAAAACATTTGCTCCGCTGTAAAAAATAACATTAGACTTAGACAAACTTTATTAATCCACAAGGGAAATTATGTGGACACAGTAGCTCACCATTAGAATATATTATAATAAAGAGCAAAAATATAAATGGTAATAAATTAAAAATAAGAGCTACTATGACCTGTTGCCACGCTCTAAGGTGCTCACACTGTCAAACTAAACATATCAAACATGTATGAACACCTACTTCATTGGTCCTTATCTTATGTTCATTATAACCTGCGAATGTGCTCTCCAGTGTCTACAAACCGTAATCAACTGTATTTTCACTGTATTTTGATTCTGAGAAACTTCTGAGAACTTTCTTTTGTTTTGTGTGTTGCTGGTCTGTAGAGAATAAACAAGTGGCCTATAAAGTCTATGGAGGGTCAACAGGTACACATGGACAGCCTCACGGTAGAACCCAGGACAACCAGTATCCTACGAAAAGGTGCTGGTAATAGTCAATTGTGTACACTGTAGTATGACTTACCATTATGTCTAACCAGGCCCTGCTGGATGTAGCGGATGTAAGTGAAAAAGTTACAAACGGCTGTAATCTGAAAAATCAATTGGAACAAGGTTACGTAAACAATTAAGATTACTACAGCAGATAGTACTGGGCTGTTTGTTTGAAGGTTAGAGATAATAGTTACCCTTGCTCGACTTGAAGGAGAGATATAATAGTAGTTTTCTTTGTCACCAAGTTTGATGCGGTGTCTGCACATTCGGGGCATGCCACTTAATGCGCATTTCCTACAAGCAACAATGAGCATGTTTGGATCAAGAGATGCATCCAGGACAACATTTAAAAAAATGCAGGACAACAAATAAGGCATGCAGCGTGGGGTGTACAAGCAGGTTAGTGAAAATGCAGCATGGACAGATGATCAATTAAGAGATCATTTTATGTTACAGAAAACTTTTTAGGAAATGAAAAACTCCCAAAAGCACTTACGTCTCTATTGCTGCCCTAAAGCCACTGAAAGAGAGTTTAATCAAATAAGGATTAGAAATGTGCCCATTGATTAAGTCCATTGTAGATGTTGACAGTGTAATAAAGTAGAAAAAAAAGCCATAAAGATAAACCCAAAGAGTGATCACAACCGAATCATGTGAGAGGTGACTTTCCAGAAATGACTTGGCCATTGTTTAAAGTGAACAACAGCGATAGACCAGCTGCTTTATGGGCTAGACACTATAGGACATAACTCACTTAGGGCCTCCGCACTCCAGCGCAGAAGCCTTAACCATCGGTAATGCTGACATGGCAACTGGCTCAATAGTTAGAGAATTGTTTTCCACTGCACTTTGCACCATCTGAGACAACTGCATACAAAACAAAATAACAATCAGTACGTGCGAGTTAAAATGTTAAAGAATTGAAAGGAGACGCCTACCTCAGATCTTGTGAAGGAGAGACAGGGGCTAATGTCTTCTTTGTAAATCCGACTCAAAAATGCAGAAGACCGCTCCAAACTTGGATGCTCTTTCCACATCAAAAATTCAGCAAATAAAACTGAGTCCATCTGTAAAAGATTAAAAATCATCCATGAATTTATCAGATGTTTTTGCAGTTACAGATAATTCTGACAGTATTTCATATTGCCTATTAAGTTCTGCTTAGGCTTTGACATTACCCCAAGTGAAATAAAAGGGTATATCAAAATATAATTTAAAAGTCCTATTATATTCAAAATTGACTCTTGTGAGCATTAAGTCATGTTAGAATGTTATAATCTCCTAAAAACATATCCAGAGTTGTGATTCGTTTTATTCACATGTTTGAATACCATTTTATTATTAGGTCATCGAAGCGTGTGGTCGTTTTTAAGTTAATAGCTACCTTGGGCAATTCCAAGTCTGATGATTCTAGCGAAGGTGTACGGAGTTTAAAAACACAATGGTGTGCTTCCTGTTCTTACTACATGACATCACAAGGTAGACCAGAGTGTTTTCTGTTTGAGAGAAGAACTCAGACTAAATATTCGGGGTTTATGTGTTAATCATGTGTGAATAAAACAAAACACAACTCTAGGTATGTTTTTGATGAAGGAAGTGTTATAACACAGGCCTATATCAGAAAACCATGAAATGTGGGCCATCTAAGTTTATATAATCAGTAGTTTCTTATTGTATCAAGTTACCTGTCTTCTCTCTCCCTGCACTTGTATGTTAGGATCATAGTTCCCAGAGTGATAGTATCCAGGAACCAGGAAGAAAGTGAGAGAAAGGAAAGCAGTAAAGATTGATGACAGACACTGGAAGTTGTAAGTGGAATTAACACAGTAAAAGCCAAGAAAGTATAGAATGTAAAGGTGTTAAAGGTCCTATAATATGCAAAATTCTTAGGAGCTTTAAGCCATGTTAGAATGTTGTTACCTCATCAGAAATGTACCTGGAGTTGTGGTTTGTGTCATTCATACATGTATAAGTGATTCTTTATTATTAGTCTGTCTACATTTGCAAACCTCAAAATGCTCTGTCCCTCCTTGTGACATCCTCCCTGTGAACAGGTATGTTTCAAGTTTAACTTTTACCTTTTTTTAGTAGTGACTGGCAAATCCAGGGCTGAAATTATCCAAATGATTCTAGTGACAATGTATGGAGTGTACCACAACTCCAGGTATGTTTTGATGAGGTAACAACATGATGACATAGACCAGAAAATAGTATAATATTGGCCCTTTAAGAACATACAAACATTGCACATCTTTCCAATATTACCTCTCTGTCCTCTTTACTGGTGGGCTGAATAGAAACGGCTAGTGGGTCTGTTTTTCCATTTGTTTGTGGAAGGACACCACTCGCACTTTTGTTTCTACTGTGACCGATGTGTTTATTCGCTCCTCTGGTACCAGACGACTGCAACTGTGGGTGGAGCTGACGATTGGGTGAAGCTGGGGTCGAAGTCAACACCAGAGCTTTTAGAGCTGTGACTTCTGCCTGGAGGACATCAATCTAAGACACACACATCAAAAGACCTTACCACTAAAAAGAGGAATAATTCAGACTTGGACCGTAAATGTCAACATACCTTCCCCTGTGCCTCCTTTAACTGCTTCTCTGCAGCTGCTTGTTTCACATTGGCATCTCGGACCATTTTATGTGCTTCCTTATGGACAGAATGTGCCTTATTAGCATCAAGACATATCTGTAATTATGTAACTCTGTCTAACTCTTGTGACTGAAGATGCTGCATCCTCAGACTGTCAGAATAAACAGTGTTCTGGGCAGTATTTCAGAAGTGTACATCTTGCCTCAAACAGACTGGCTGTCAGCTCCTCCAGCTCCTGCTCCAGCTGATCCCTGACCTGAGACAAACGCTCACACTCCTCATCTTTGAGTTTCAGTTCCTAAGACAAAAAGCACAAACAGCACATTCAGTGAAGGAAATCCATTTTGCATTGTCAACATTTTTGCGTAATGCTTTATTGTGAGTGTAAAGTAGGTTACAACACCCTCTTCGCCGCATCCAGCTGCTCCCTGAGGATCTCGGAGCCCTTTTCTCGAATTTCTTTCTCTCTGATGTCCAACGAGGCACTTCGGAGACGGGACAGATCTGAGTCCCCATGGCCCCTGCCTCTTCTCTCCAGGTGGTGCTCAGATGGGGGATCCAGATTGACCAGTCTGTTTGACGCAAAATATGTTTGGATAAATACAAAATCAGCATTACTGAATAAAAACTGATTGACATTACCACATGGGACCAGTTCAGTAGTGGATGCAAGGCAATAGGGTTAATGGATCTACATAGACTTGATGTAGAGTAGTAGTAACCCTAACCCTAAACTAATGACAGGATTTTAATATAATTTTGGCCTATATATTGTTATTAAGGCCTAATCGTGCTTTTTACCAATTTATGAAAATCCACTAGCCCTATAGCCATTGGCACAGGTGGATTAAATGAAGTCTATTACTGTTTGTAGTCAGGCACATTTGTCTTCTCTGAAAGGAAGTGGCCCCATATGGACTCCAGACTGGACCCACTGCTCAAGAAATAACTAGTAATTACGTTTGCTTACCATAGAGGCGAATGAGCTATAGTTTAGGCCCAACAGATAATGTGAATAGTTGTTTATTACACACAACCTACCGTACAGCCTATGGTGGGGGTGAGCTGCTCTCAACTCTCTGCGTAAATTTCCCCCGGGTGACGCGCCCTTACCCTCGGTTAGTGTCCAGCAGCAGCAGCGTCCACCTCGGATCGGCTCTTGTCAGCTTGTCCCCTCCACTGTCTTGTTTTGCAGTTGTTTACGTGTTGTTATCCAATCTGACGTTATGTGAAACTTCTCTTCAAATCACGACCAGCAAAGGAATTTGGACGCGGGCGTAAACAAGTCACAATAGCAGTGATCGTCAGTAAAACAAACTGAGATGTGAGACCGCGAAAGTTACAATAACAAGACTTTTTATCATTGTATCCTTTGTATTATGAGCAAAACTCCGATATTCCCAGAAGAGAAAGTTTCTCCCGGAGCCCTGCCTCTTTCTCTCTATCTCGCAGATCACATGACCCACATCCACTCCCAGCGCCACCAACAAAAATGCGGTCCGGATCCAGGGCGCATACCGCTCGTATAGCGCACAGCCTATTTAATGAGGTGAGGGCATGTATTACAACCCCCATTTTTGTTCCTTTTCCAAATCAGTGACTTGACAGCGACGAAACGACATAAACGGCCATAGCCTACATGCATAAATCTAGGCTACATTACTGAGACAATAGGTAAAAAAATAAATAAATCAACCCATGCTGAAATGTTTTCTGACTCAGACTAAACAAGAATCAAAATGTCACAAGAAACATGTTAATTTCATCCTAATGCTACGGAATAAAACTAGAAAAATAATTTGTTAACACCAAAAGATAAAAATGTGTCTTATAGGTAAGTTCAGATTTGTTTCAACCCAGGAAAAGTCACCGTAACTTCACAAAGTATTTAGATAAGTAGCCCACCACTGAAAAGACAGGACTGGCCACTGATAATAGATAAAATGCCCAAAAAATCACAGTGACAAAGTGTTTCAAAAAGTAAAATTACTCAGGCTAAGATTGTCTTGACAGTGACCAAAACAGCAACTATACAGATGTAAAAATACATTTTCTGGTTTTAGTTTAGTTTAAATATTAAGGCATACCTGCTCTGGTTTCAGTCATCACTTTTGCTGGTTTAATTTTTGTCTAATATTAGTGTGAGAGTGTCCTCCAGTTCACCCACTGTATATTTTCCATTTCCCACTCTTGGCACTTACTCTCCAACAGCACAGACTTCCTCCTGCCTCCTGGCTGACGTATGTTTTGTGGATCCATGTGTCCCAAAGAAGACTGCAGAAGAATAAACAGCAATTCCTGATCTTCCAGCTCTCAAGACTTCATAACTGGGACCCGAGGAAACTGGAGACGGAGGTGACGAGGAAATCTGGACACTGTGAATCCCCTCAAAGGCATCCATGTCTCTGCCACTATGGAGAATCAAAATTAACTAATACACTTCATTGTTTTCAGATCAGACCATTGGACTGATTAGAGTAGACTAAGCTGTACACCGCAGTCAGTAAGCAAAGGAGTGACCTCCAGTAAACAAACTTTGATACACAATATCTCTTTTGATACGCCTAAACTGAAGGACAAAGCACTATTTCCAGTTATTATTTAAAGGAAAACACCAAGCACTTAACACTGGAGTATAAATATGGGTCTAGTACTGACACACATGTTACAGTGCACCAAGCATCACTCCAAGATAACCACTTGTGTACTCACAGTCATAGAAGCTGTTTACATCATAGAGCCATAAAACGATTGGAGCGCAGTTACAGTTGTAAGAATGCGTTTTGCAAGTTGAGCAGCGTCCGCACTTCGGCCCTCTGCTCCTGGTCTCCTGGTTAGAGAGGAAGGGTTAATCACTAACACCTTTTGGCACTTTACTGTAGTCGAACACATATTTGCCACTAGGAGGAGCCAACCACAGTTTCAGCTTAGAAAGACATGACTTAATACTGGATTCTGGTCATAAAAAATTAAAGCATAGAGAAATAATGCAAAATCAACCAGTCAGCCATTACATTTATGTTTTGGTGAATCAAAATACACTGTGTCTATAACGTGTCTATTAGTGGCAGTGCTGTCCTCACATCAGATTAGCAGGACCCAGCTCTTACAATGCAGCTTTGTCGCAGGAACAGATTACTACATCAAGTGACCGGAGGTGTAGAAGTCCCGTTGCTCAGCTTTTTACCCCAGATTTTCTTTGTACATTTTCTTCGGACCACTTCCACGCACCTCATCACTCTAATGTGAGTACACTGACATGCCATGCTTAGAAGGAATAGTTGTCAGTCTCTTTCTCTCTCTTTCCGTGGAACTTTACTTTTTATTCTCTGAAGATTTTGTTTTCCTTCTATCTTTTTGACATTTTAATAAGCTCATATATGGACAAATTACTTAATTTAATCTTTATTATGTATTTATTGGTTTAAATCTTACTACTTACACATTTATTGCACGTGCTTTTCAAATTCTTAAATTCTGTTTAATTTATTTTAAGGGATGTAGATATGAATAACTTAACTTTTCTCGTCAGGACACAGCTAGGACAGACCAAGCAGAAATGACAGTGACTTACTCCCGTAGAGTGGCTGATGCAGGTCTGGGCACGTTCTTCCACCTGCTCCTGCGCTGGAAGGGCAGCGTCTACAAACTACTGTACAGGGAGCTCATCATCTTCACCATCCTCTACTACTTCTTCAGTGTGGTTTACAGGTACTGGGAAAACACACAATGTCTGGATTTTTATTCTCAGAAAAGGTGGTTCTTAAAAATAAAATATTGTACTCATTTTTTTTCTTCAGAAATTTACTCAGTAAAGACCAAAAGAGGCAGTTTGAAAAGCTGTCAATATACTGTGACCGCTACGCAGAGCTCATCCCTGTGTCCTTTGTACTGGGTGAGTGGATGTGCTTTATATTCAATTCAGTGCAGTCAAATCTGCATTGTTGTATAGCCTAAACAATGTTTGTGTGCAGTACATCATTATAGTATAGTAAGTAATAATAGATCACACAAAGTGAGATACACTGTACTTGTACACTCAGGTTTTTATGTGACATTGGTGGTGTCCCGTTGGTGGGGTCAGTATGAGAGCATCCCATGGCCGGACAGATTGGCAGCATTAGTGGGGGCTCATGTGCGTGGCACAGATGAGATGTCCAAACTGACTCGTCGTACTCTGATGAGATATGCCAACCTGTCCGGTGTACTGACCTACCGCTCTGTCAGCACTGCTGTTTACAAGAGGTTTCCCACCATGGAGCACCTCGTTCAGGCAGGTAGGAGCCCTATGTGTGTGTAAGTTCATTTAAATGTGTGTATTACTGTATTAAATCTTTTTGAAACAAATAAAATTTTTAACACTGTTTTTCAGGTTTGATGACCTCAGAGGAGCTGAGGCATTTGGACGGCCTACCATCGCCTCATAACAAGTTCTGGGTTCCCTGTATGTGGTTTGTTAATCTGGCTCTGAGAGCTCGAACTGAAGGACGAATAAACAATGACGTTGCACTCACAGCCATTCTCACAGTATGTTTATAGTCCAGTATTTTTCTCTGAGAAAACACTAGACAATGGCATGTGCTGAAATGTTCCCATTTTCAGGAGTTGAATAGTTTGCGAGGAAAGTGCATGAAGCTGTATGGTTACGACTGGATCAGCCTGCCTCTTGTCTATACACAGGTCTTACATGCTGTGACTTAATCTAATTTAAAATTAGCAATAGAACTACTTAGTGTTAAATGGTAAACAAATGTTCAAATAATCAAACTAACCCAAATAACCCAATAAAAAGAAATAATCCCATATAAAAATAAAGAATACAATAAATAAATGATAATTATTTAAATTTAATCAAGAGATTTGCTGATAAACATGATAAAGTTGTGTTTATTTGTAGGTTGCAACAGTTGCAGTCTACAGTTTCTTTCTGGCGTGTCTCATTGGTCGTCAATTTTTGGATCCAGCTCAAGGCTATCCTGGACACGATATTGACTTTTACCTGCCCATCTTCACTCTACTGCAGTTTTTCTTCTATGTTGGTTGGCTCAAGGTGCAAACCAGTGGTGTTGCTAATAGGTACTTATTGATTTAGAAATGTAAATCTAATTGCATATTTTATCACAGGTGGCAGAGCAGCTCATAAACCCTTTTGGTGAGGATGATGATGACTTTGAAACCAATTGGGTGGTAGATCGAAATTTGCAGGTCAGTCTTTCATGCTATTGAATTTTAGTTTCATTTTGTTTGACATGTAGCTCTTTTGTATGTCTCCACCAGGTGTCCTTGTTGTCCGTAGATGAGATGTATGACAGTCTCCCATTGGTTGAGAAAGACATGTACTGGAATGAAACAGAACCACAGCCTCCGTACACAGCTGCCAGCGCTGAACACCGCAAACCCTCTTTCATGGGCTCAGCTTTGGATATTAGGTGAATGGGATTTTTTTTTTTTGACGACCCCTGTTGGTACCCCATAAACTGTTGTTTGACTCCTTATTCCTCTCTCAGTGTTCCAAAGGAGGAGATGGAATTTCAGTCCAACCTTGAGCAGATTAAGGAAAATGAAGAGGCTAACTACTCCACTCCACTGTTGGGGGGGTTGGGTCGGCTGCTCGGAGTCCAGTCTCCCAATTTCCCTCGCTCTTCTCGAGTGTCTCTTCTGCGCAGACGTCCTGGAGCTCCTTTGAGTCGCTTCCCCCTGTATCTGCCCCCAGAGGCCCCTTCTATCCCAGGCCAAGGTCGCCACCTCCTCAACCCAGAGTCTGACTTTGCCCTTTCTGCTTTGCCCCCATTTGACAGAGCTGGTTTTTACAGCTGTCCTCAGACACCTATCCACTGTGTACCCCCTGCTGTTCCCCGCCCTAGACCTACCAGAAGGGCTCAGAATGAATGGGATCGTAGTTGTAGCTCTCTTGCACCTCCTGTATTTGGCTCACAGCAAGTACCTCCAGACACACCAAACCATGCTTTACAACCTCCTTCTTCTGCTTTTCCCTGGCTTGGAGGGGACGGTGAAGTACCAAGTGGTCCAGCCTTCTCCTTCCCCGATCCTGCCCCAGAACTTAGCCCTATATCCAAAATTAGACATGGCTTATTGTCTCGCAGACCACCGGCGAGATTAACCTTAGACACTGCCACACCTGTGGATATCCAGACAGCCCCCTCCAGCGCCCGCACCACTGGTAGTGAAAGGGTGTTCTCATTCACCCCTCCTTCACGCAGCACAAATCCAAATAATCCAAGCAGTAGCACCACCAGCATTAATACAGCCATCACCAACAGCGCGGGGACAACAGGGAGTCTCTGTAATGGCACAAATCACAGTAGTTTTAATAACAGCTTTAACGGCAACATGAGGGCAAGCAATGGGGGTGCCAGTGGTGGCTTAAGTAATATTGTGAACACAGTTTCCAGTACACAGCAAGAAGCCAACCAACAAAACTCACCAAATGATTCAGGGATCTCATTGGCTGAGGGGGACTTGTTGGGAGTTTTAGTGGACAATGAGTTGAGCAAAGCTGGGGCAAAGGAACAGGAATAAGAGGCAGAGGCAGACTGTTCTTGTTTCAGATAAAGTTTTCAAAATATCACAAACTTTCTGAGACGGCTGAAACAAAAGGCAGACATGAGAAGTGTTTAACTAGAGTTAATCACTTCCTGATTAACTTGTCAAAAAGCACCTTACAAGGATAAACCAGAGACATGGAAACCATTCTCCACAAAGTGTGCTGTGGCAGAAGGAAAATGTACATTTGATACAAATATTTGCATAATTGATGTAAATGCCAAATAACAGAGCTCTAGGTATTTTTTGTGTAATATAAACATAATTGTGTACAGATTAAAACATGTCTTGTTGACTGTTTCTTGGTCTTTCTCTGTACAGTGGTTTGTATCCTTCCATTTTATAGGGAATATTGGATATACACTTGAAGCTCTCTAGTCAACCAAAGAAATTATTGTGTCTAAGCCAGGGTGAAACTAAATTGTGCATTACCATAGCAGAGCATATTGTCTTTTTTAAATTTTAGGTTTTGAGGATGACCATTATCCAAGGGACAAATATGGACCTTCATCAAGGTGGTAGTTTTAGACAAAAGAACTAGCCCGTTAGAGCTGCTTGACTTGTTATACTGGTATTTTAGAGAACATAATAGACAGTATATACCCAAGACAGGTCAAAGTCCTAGTAACTATATTAGCCTTCAGATATGAAGACACCCTAATCCTTTCGATTTGGACCTTTCTGTCCAATTTAAGTTACACATGACATAACGTAAATGGAGCAAATAAACCACTCATCTGAAAATGTAATTAATTTATTCAACTGCTTTTCTGTGTCTTATTTTTCCAAGAAACTAAAACCAGTCAAAATCACGCTTATTGTAGATGCAGTGTCATTTTTACAACGCACTCTCCCATAACTTGTCACATCACCCCTTGTGATTCAAGAAAGATTCTGATGGTTCACAAAAAGCAGCTAACCCTTCTCCATAAGTCCATGATATTATCATACATAGGTTACAATATTTCAAACTGTCATTACAACTACAAAGAACAAACAAGACTTTATTGGACATAAAAATCAACTTTATACAGCAGTAAAAGTCTATCACCATACAGACGCTATTTGCCCCCAACTGGAGGTGAGTGCCACACAGCAGAACTGGTGCGTTTCATATAGCGGGGCTTGTTCTTGTAAAAGATGTTTTCAAGATTTGGTGGTTCAATTTTTCCAAAGAAGGCATCCAAATTTGGAGGGTTGAAATATTGCTTCTTGATAAAAATCTGAAGGTTATGTCCTTAAAAAACAACAAAAAAAAAAAACATCTTCTCAGATATGTTCTTTCATAACATTTATTTTTACAACTTAAATAATTTTTTTGTTAAACAGTACTACCTTCAGCCCAGGATGGAATAGGTTTTCTTGGTGCAGATTCATCATCTGTGGAGTCGTCACTGTTTTGGTCCATGCCATAATCCTCGGGGTTTTTGGATGGAATCTTGTTCCCACCCTTTGGAGTGATAGAGTATGACTGAGGAGATCTCTGTAATGAGGAATAAAACATAAAAGGACTTCAGACACAGAAAAGCTCATATATTAAAAAAAAAAAAGCATTGCATCACATTCACAAACCTCAATATCCACAGTCACATTGAGTCTATCCCCTCCTGCCCCTTTGCCAACAGGTGTGCTCATTACAGAACGCTGAGGGGAAAAAACAAACAAAACATTATTATAATTTTTGTGTTGACAGAAACAATCCAAAGTGAAATATACAGTGCTAAGCTTTAAAAGGAACACATCAAAATTTGCATTATTAAACTTCTGGGATATTGCATTCAAACAAAGGACTAAATCTAATTGGATATACACAAACACACTACTACTCAGTCTTCTTTCAGCTTTGAGATTTGATAAGTGCTCTTCTACTTCTTTTGGGAAGTAAAATTTATGTATCATCACCAAGTGTTAGATAGTGATAGAGCTTTACAGCAGCGAAAGCCTTTTAAACCCCAGAAATGCTTCCTTGTGACACCAGATTTTCTGGAAATATCTCAAACACTTACATCAATATCTAAAGTTTGATTGAGTGCTCCTCCTCCTTTGTCTACAGATCTCTGACAAGAAAAGTAGTTACAGATCATGTCACTTTCAGGAATTACAAAACATGGGGTCATACAATTAAACCTCACAACGTCATCTGGGCTTTGAACCAGCACACAAAGAGGCTCCAGAGAAGAGAAATACAGTAGCTACAGCTAAATGCTTGGCTAATTGCTGGCCAACAAAGGTATGAACATTTTCAATGATGTAGTGTATAAACAAATCAAAGGGCAAGCTTGAAAAACAGATGGATCATTTCTGTTCCTGGTCCTGCATTGATTGAATAGTTTCAAAGTGGGATTTAAAAAAAAAAAAAAAAAAAACAAAAAAAAACTCAGAAAACAGATTCAGAAATGTGGCATGTTCATTACGGGGTATTTAGGCAAATTAATATGTAGGACATACTCTATTCACTACCTCACAGGATCATGTATGCCCACCAGATATCAAAACTTTATGAAGGAGCATCTAGCAAGTATATACACCTATAAAGTCTGATGCATTGCCAGGCTACGAAAAAGATATACAGCAAAGTTGTGCCTGCTAAAGAAACACTAAAAAAAATCAAAATACTATGTCCTACCTCAATATCCACTGTGACATTAAGAGCAGCTGCAGCCTGGACATAGCAAAGGAGAGGAGTGTGTTTTAGTCAGTGAAAGAAAAAACAACGTAACATTCATATAGAATATACTTTTCACAAACCTGCTTTTCAGCAGCTTGTTTTTCTTTAGCAGCTTTCTCTTCAGCTGCTAACCTCAGTTGCTGCTCCTGCTATAGGAAAAATATTTTACAAAATGAGTACAACTTCAACTAAATCTTCAAGTGAATTGTCTTAATGTTTTACCAGTTTCCGTTTTTCCTCAAGTGCCTTCCTCTTCTCCTCTAGCTCTCTCCTCTCTTTTTCTCTCGCAGCCCGCTCCAGCTCACGTTGCAGTGCAAGAGCCTTCTCTCTCTCAAGTCTTTCCCTAAAGACAATTATCGTTATACAAAAGATGATCTGGTTCAGATCCACGTACAAGCGTAGCCCAAATAGTCCTCTGACTACGCACCTTTCAATAGCAGCCAGTCTTTCTCGCTCCTTCTCCAGCTCTCTCTCTCGCTCCTGCTCTCGCTTTAGCTCCAGAGCTCGACGGGCTTCGGCCAGTTTCTGAGCCTTCTCCTCCTCCTCAGCTTTCTTTTTGGCCACCAATTCTTGCTGCCGCTTCTCTTCTTCCTACAGACAAAATCAGAACATAGACTGTATGTAAAATCTGTCAATTACAGTTAGAAAATAAAATCGGCACCACCCATCAGGCTTAGCAACTGTTAACACAATTCACCATTTTGGATTTCCTTACCTGCTGAAGCTTCTTCTTTCTAGCCTCCTCCTCCAGTTTTTTTTTAAGCTCCAACTCCTCTTGGCGTTTCAGGGCCACCCTTTTCTTCTTTTCATCTGCCACACGCTACACACCCCAAAAATTTATGTTAATTTCTTGTAGTAAATTTGGCCACTCTCAGTTGATGATTGACACTTCTTTTATTCACCTTCTCATCAATCTGAGCCATCTTTTGCTCAATCTTCTTTTTCTTCTCCTCCTCTTTTTGCTCTTCTTTGACTTTAGCTTCAAAAACTCGCTTCAGTCGTTCATCCCTCTTTCTGTAATTATGAACACATTAGCTACCACTAGCACTGAAATTAAATATATCTTTGAACCATGACCACTCAGTACAAACTTTTTGAGTTCCTCCTGTTTTTTCTTTTTCTCCTCCTCCATCTTCTTCATTCTTTCAATTTCTTGCTCCTGTTTCTTTTTAAGGGCTTCCAGTTTGTAGCGTTCCTTCGTCTGTAAGAAAATTAAAGGGTGCAAATGAATGAATCAAAAATCTTACCTGCTTGTGTTGTGACAAAAATGCTTCAAAATTATGGATGGGATGAAGGATTTGTGTTGTCTAAGTGACATCAGTGCACAACCAAGAGTAAAGAAAACAAAGCCCACACATTTATAGGGTTACATAACAGAAGTTGTAATCTAGTGCAATGCGTGTATAAGAGAACCAAACCCACACTATTAGACTATTAGGTGCAGATCATTAGTGATTTGGATAAAGCCATATTGTTTTTTTTGTTTTTGGTCGGACATGCTATAGACATGTTAGGACATTTGTTATAACCCTACAGACAAGGAGAGACTGAACTATCACTTACCACTATACTACTGCTCGTCTAAGAGAGGAGACAAAGAAAAGACGGATGTGCATATTAATAAGCACCATCACTTCATACATTTCAGGTTGTCTTTCACTGGATAAATTGTCTGAGTTTAAAACATCAAGCTATTCGTATATCAGTGTTATTTAACAGGCTGATGTAACATGTGCTCATCAATAAAGCCAACAGGAAAATATAGTTCATTAGTTCAAATTGATCACCTAACACACAGCTTTCAAAATAAAAGTTTAAATCACCTTTTGATCCATTCTTAGAGGAGTGGTATGTTTAATGAAGGACTTGAGAACAGTCGACCGCCCAAGAGAAGTTGGTGTCATCATTAACATCTGATTCTTCTGAACAGTGTGGAGGAAGGATTTCATGTGTGGCCTGATTGCCTACAAAGACAAGTTACAACAGTATTACACATGTGTATTTGCAAATGTGTAATTACAGTGTTGTTACACAAAGATGGCGTGCTTTTCTTACACTTTGGCTCTTCTTGGGAGGGGAGGCTCTCTTTGATGGACTTTCTTCCACATCTGGAGCTTTCCTTTTAATACTCGAGCTAGAAAATAAACAAGGCTTTTCACATTTTAATGTTTAAATTGGGATTTTCATTTCAAGTATTGATCACTTACCGGCGACCTGATTGAGAGGTTTGCTTCTCTGCAGTAACTGAAACAAAAAGTTTAGTAGGCACAAATTAAGCCCACTACTTCACTACTTTATATTTTTTGCCAAGAAATGTGTTTATACCTGGATGCTTGTCTGGAGTATTTATTTTAACTGCAAATAGTGGTTGAGGTGCCAGTTTAGGAGAATGGGCAGCAACGGAGCGAGTAACACGTCCAACAGGATTAACTGGAGGGAGTACAGTCTCGTTCACACAAGCCTGTATTTGAATAAAGGATCAGAGCTTTAGGAAAAAGCTGGTAAAAAATATAAAAAAAACAAGCAATTAAAATACAAACCGTTTCTTCCTCAGAGATTTCTTCTGGTTGTTCAGGTACAGAATCAGCAGCATGCTCTATGGGTGCAGATGTTGCCAGTCTGTACCATAGCAAAAAATAGGGAAAGAGTTATTCTTTTTTTTTTTTTTAAATCAGATACAAACCAGTCATTAAGGAAATGTTACTTACGCCTCAGCCTCTTCATCAACTGAATCCATACAGGAGTCATCTACAAATTGTGAAAGATTTAACACATTTTTTTGTTTGTTTTTTACACCAGTATGGAAATATGGACTTACCAACATTGCTGCCACATGCAGAATTGCCCATGCGAGACACTTTTCTTTTAAGCATGGATCTTCGTGAAGCGCGCCTGACAGATTCCTGGGTCATACTGTGTCTCAGTCCAGCCAAAGAGTGACGGAGTTTGAGCGAATGCCGCACTGAACTTCTGCGGGATTTGTTGTTTGCATTTTGCTCTGTCACTTCTGTTTCTGCAGCTGTATGTCCAGGAGAGGTCACTGCTTTCACAGCCAACTCAGCGGACCGGCGCTCAGCTGGAGAAATGGAAACAACTAACGCTGGAGAAGGAATACTTTTGGGAGATTCTGTGTTGCTGGGTTTCTCCTCTTTGACACCTGCACTTTTCTGATCCTGAACTTCATCCTCATCCAGGATTTCTATCACCTCTGCTTTCACACTGACAATCTCCTCAGATTTAGGGCTGCTATGACAACTCTGGCTTCCTTCCTCTTCATCGACCTTTGTTTGCTTTTTGCGAGTAGCCCGTTTTGGACGAGTATTTTCTGTCTTTAAGGTAGAAGCCTGAGAAGCCGTTTCCTCCTCAGAAATACAGTTCAAAGCACTTGATGAGGATCCACGGAGATTGCTGCGTCGACCTTTCGAAAACCTTCTTCTGGCTTGGCCATCTTCCTGTCGCCCTAAAGATACACGTTTCCTGCGCGTATTCTTTTTCTGTGAGGGCGTTTTTGGCATGAGCTCTGGCTCGGCATTAAAATCTCTGTAAAAAACAACAAAAAACATTGGTAATAGAAGCAAAGGTATATAACAGACAAAATCCTCCACAGAATAAAGCTAACCTTGTGAACATACGATTGGCCTCTTGTTGAATCTCTTCAAGCCATACAATATGAACATTGTCAATTTCATTGATAAAAGCTTGGGCTTTGCCCTCAAACATCTGCATCAAAGACTGAACAGGAGAAACCACTGAGTTCATGGTCACAGCCTGGAAACAAAACAAAAATCACTGTTAAAGGGGCATTGAATAATATTAGATGATCAGCAGTCCAAATGTGAATCTCAAAGTTGCAACTAATGTTTAGTGTTAGTTTAAAACACAAGACATTGATAGAAGTTTCATACTACAACTAGTGTTTGAGATAAATGTATTAATGCTATTTTACTGAAATGAATTTAAATAAAATCAACACTTGCATGCAATCACATGTGAAATCTATTAACAAGTGGAATAGTGAATGAATCACTATGAATGAAGGAGTTCTAGGCTTTTAATACAGCAGCTTGTACAGTTCAGGACAGGAAAGTGAACACGGCATAAAAAAAACGTTGTGTCCGATTTACGTTTCATACTCCAGACTTGCACATTACGATCTTGCTGTCAAAACTGAGTAAAACTCTACATTAAACGGGTCTTATTCGTAAGAATAAGAATTGAATCCCTATGAAGGGCTTGTATCTCCCAGGAAACAAATGGCTTTCATCCCAACGGTATCATAAAATCAAATATTAGCTTAGCTTTAACTCGATGCAACGAGAAAACAACTATGTGCATGTTGTCATATAGTTGTGGTATATCCTCAATTTGTCACTACTAACATTGCAATGTTTATGTTATAACTCAACGAAGCGATGGCTTTGAGACTAGCTTAGAGCTAATACTGCAAGACAATATAAAAAGATTTACCATGGTTAGTCGACTTCCAAATATTTCCAAGTAAACGTTCCTCTGTCAATTAAAACAGCTTACGTCGCATCCTGACATAAAAACGATCTCAATAAAAACGTCCTTTCAGATCATGTGTAAATACTTAAAAAAAAAAGCGTGCCAGACAACAGCACAACCTAGAACCTAGAACCCAAAACCCAGGACCCAGGACACAGGACACAGGACACAGCACACAGCTCAGTGCCCGCGGAAACCGTTTGACGCGTTTAAAACTCACACAGCCAATCCAGAGCGGTCGCCCGCTGACGTTACGTAGTGTGCTCGATTTACTGATAACTTATTCTGAGGAGGCGGTGCTTTATCCTGCTCTTCATTGACACGATACAAACGGAACACCAAAATGAATGAATGAAACACACCCGGGAACGGCTGGGTTAGGCTTGAATGCTACGCAAGTTTAAATAAACCAACCATTCGCTGGTAGGATATTCACTGACCCGCCCATTTTCATCAGGAACATGGCTAGACTTGTTTTGGTTCTGAAAATGGTAAACTTATAAGACAAAAACAGACACTTCAGTAACATAAACGTTTTAACCATAGCCATAATTTCGGCAATAAACAAAGTACAAAAGTCTAGCCACACTTGACAAAAACCCTTGTTTTTTATTGTTATTGTTCAAGGAAATCACTCAGATAGCATTAGGAAGAAATTTGAATCGCTCAAGCCAACAGTTTTCAGAAAGGCCAACATGACAAATTTGATTCTAATTTACAAATGTAACCAGGCTCCCTTGAAAATGTCACAGGCTGACCTACACAAACAAACAAACAAACAAACAAACAAAAAAGTTATTTCCAACAGAACAATAAACTGATAAAAAATAAAAGAAATAGTGCAAAACCTGGTGTGAGGGGGATTTTAGACCCTGAACTCTTCAGAATAACCTGTAGATTGTAGCTTTTAGCTGCATTATCTTCAGAGCACTGGCTTCCTCTTAAAATTATGGAAATTTCTTCTTTCCTCAGCATCCAATCAAGCTGATTGCCAAGGTAGTTCACACCACGGATGCACAACTCAGAAATCTCATTTGGTAGAAGGGGATTGAAGCAAAGATATTCCTTTTGAACTCTAAATACAACATGGTTTAGTTGTACAGTATGAAATCATTCTCATTCAGTTTACACAAGTAACTAACAGAGATACTAACCTAAAACCAGTATAACCAAATAGCACAGCCTGAAGAAAGCCTCCCATGCCGGTGAGAAAATTGACGGCACCAGAGCCATCCGATGATTCACTCCAGACCTATAGGGAGAGTGAAGAATACCATATATATCTGGGATTTTGATTTGGGATATGTTAGTCATGAACCTAAATTAACCTGGAATGGACCCTGGATGTTGTTGAAGCACTTTGTAAGCAAATTTTGAGCTCTTTCTGCCTCTCCAAGTTCCAACCAGCCTATTGCAAACATACTCTGCAAGACATAACAAAATGTAATGTGTACAAAGATGTACACAGCTGCTTTCGATATGGACAATAATCAGTATATCTGCAATTATACATTATACACTGAATATGTTACTATTATGTTTATTTACCCATGTCATGGCTGGACCGTGTGGGTCTGTAACGGGTTCATATGCCAGAAGGTCATTTTTTCTGATCTCTGTAGACATAGCGAATCCAAGAGGATAACCTAACATAACTGTATCTGCCTGCTTTACTGGAGCACCTGTGGAAAAGTACTATCATGAATCATAGATAAATAAATTTAGCCATTTATAATGTCAAAGATAATACCTCTGACATAGCCATCATACTCAGGGTGGTAGTTAAATTCTTCATCAAAAGGTATTTTTAAGTTTTCCGACACTTCTTTCCATTCCTTTGGTGCAGGTTTATCAAGAAGGTCTGCTAGTTCAGTCGCAAATTCCAGACTACCCAATGAAGCAATTAACATTAGTAATATACACCTACAGACATTGTTTTGGTTTTCTTAATCCATCACCTTAGTTTGGCCACTATATTTGTGTACACTGAGTTGTTAACATTGTAGTAATACTCATCTGGAGGCATAACACCTGGAAATGAAAAAGTGTGTAAAGTGTGTGTACAATAATAATATGTATAGTACAAAATTGCGTCAGCCACAGAGGCATGTACAGTCTTTTCAGCTTACCTAAAATGTGATACTTGTGATCCTGTGGGCTCATTGTAACTCTAGACACCCAATAATCGGCCACGCCCCAAACAACCTGGCTGCCCTGACCTTCTGTGAACATGGATATATCCTGGGACAAAGGGTTGAGTTAACACATGGCCACACACTTGGAAAGAATATCAGATGCCTATTTTTTTGAAAGCTAAATAGTCCTCGGAAAAAAAACAACAACTTGTGAATATATGAAACCATTTATACCTCAGTCAGATAAAGATAATGCTGAAAAGCCAGGGTGACGTCTCCATTGATATGAATCTCCTGCTGTCCATAAATATCTTCAGGACAGACCTCTCTGCCAGACACAGCACTCTCCCATGGAAACTTTAGTCCCTGTACAAGAGTTAGATTTTTATTAAGATAAAGATATGTATGTGCTCAAAAAATGGTTTTGAAGGCGTAAAATGCATGAAATATAAAATAACAATGCATTTGCTCTGTCACACGTTTGCAAGAATAGTGCACCACAAACCACTACCAATTAATCAATGAATTAAGTTTAGAAATTTGAGTTACAAACAATATAAATAACAGATTTAGTCTACTAGTACAAAATAAAGACTGCCCAAACTAGCTTACTACATAATACAAGCAATTATTACTGTGTTACATGATGGTAGTTTACTCCTAGATGTATAATGTAATTTTCAGGCTTTAGCTTTGTCAGGTGATCATACCTTGTAGCCTTGTCTTTGCGCATTGTCTCTTGCACCATCTATTGTTCTCACTCTGTACTCAAGCACAGATCTGGCTAGTGTGGGGTAGAAGAGGGCAATACCAGGATACATCCAAATGTCCTGTTTCAAGAAGACAGTGTAAGTTGCATACATAATTACCTCCACCAAGGAGGTTATGTTTTTGCCGGCATTTGTCTGTTTGTTTGTTTGTTTGTCTGTCTGTTAGCAACATAACTCAAAAAGTTATGGACCGATCTTGATGAAATTTTCAGGATTCGTTGGAAATGTGAAAAGGCAGAATTTCATTTTGGGGGTGATCCAGAAGAAATCCTGGATTCTGGATCACTTTGAAATTTTAGTTAACATTGTAGTAAATGGGGCCAAAAATTTTGTTTCTCAATATCTCGGTTAATTATTGACCAAACCCCATGAAATTTGACTCAGGGATGGACAATGGGATCCTCTTTCATATTCCAAAGGCTGATCCGGATCTGATCCAGAAGACTGATTTTATCGCAATTTATATAAAAAATGGGGGTAGTCCTTGACGGAGGTCTGCGCTCTCTGAGTGCTTTTCTAGTTATAATTATATTGGACACTAACTAACTAATGTCTAATCAGAGTGGTTAACTATTCATAACACAATAACAAAAAATCCTTGCTTGGGTTATATGCTATATCTTACCAAAGGCCCATAGATGGTAAAAGCTCTTTCTCCTAGCAACTCTAGGCTAAATAGATAAGGAAATGCTTAACACTGCTGAATTACTTTATAGAGTCCCCTCAAAAGCTGTACTTTCAGCAATATTCCCCAACAGCCTTCCCTAGCTTTATTTTTGTATGATAATAAAATAACAGATGTCGTCACTAAGACGATCATGGGCATTTTATTTGAAGTGCTAAAAAAACAAAACTAACGGTCAGTACATGCAAGTAGAGCACTGTTATGAAGGTAATAAAAACAGGGCAATATCCTACATTTCAGTTCCCTTCTAAGAACAGAACAGAAATAAGATGTGATCAATATCTTACCTGATCCCAGAAAACATGGCCCCAGTAGTCCTGCCCATCGCCCCCGTTGGACAGACCACCAGGACTGACTCCCCCGAAGGAGCTGGTTGTATCATGAATGGATGGAAAGGCACTGAGTAGGTAGAACATACAGCCAATTAGGGCTTTGCACAGGATCTCTGAACCCACTACATCTATCTTGCTTTGCAGCCACAGTTCCTTCCAGGCCTGTTCATGTGATGAGCGTAAACTTCCACCCGCCATTAGAGAGAGGCCCTTATCATAGTTGGATTCAGCACTTTGCTGACTGTCAGCCACAATTAGGATGAATCCCCAGCGAGCCTGGCTTTGTCCTGCATTAAGTGTCAGAGTTACAGGTATATCTGTCCAGATAAGGTGCACAGTAGGACAGGACCCTCCGGGATACTCTGCTGCAGTTGTATGTCCGAAGATGTGCCTAAGAGAAATAAATGACACACAGTTTAATAATCAGGAGATGGTTTTCTGTTCCTTACAAGAAACACTAATCAGTCAGAACGTTATGAATATTATGAAGGTAATGAGTGGAGTGTGCAATATTTTAGTGTCTGGCCCCCTGTGACCCTAGCCCTTTGGGACAACAGATGGAAATTAGTCTTAGGCTACAATCCGGTGTGTTTACATTCATGTCCATTAACATGCTCTGTCCCAGTCAAATAAATAAAGAAAGAAAGAAAGAAATAAAACTATGAGAAGTAAAGCAATTAACACAGACAATTTTGCAAGCAAAGCAGATTATCAAGTAAACTTTCTTTTTTATCGAAATTGCAAATTTATAGTAGGAGAAGTTTCTTTTTTAAAGTTATATAAAAGCTAAATTGTGACATCTAAGTTCTTGAGTCAATCCATCTTCAAAACTCTTGGTCACTCTGTTCTCTCGGTCTCCAGAGGGCAGTATCTATCAATAAATAGTGATTCTGTAGGAAGTCTAGAGAAGGAAGCTCAGCGAATGAGAGATTTCATTGGCAGCTTATTGCATTTGGAGCTGCATTTTAGGTGAATGATCATGAAGTTTCCCCAGTTTGGTGTGCTTCATACTTACTTGCCACTTTTATAATCTGGGCCAGTCTCAAAAACAATGTCTTTGCTCAGAGGTTTAAAGTTTGTGAGCAGATCCACTGTGACTGGTTCCTCATTTGTACCTTGTCGTACCAGCATGATCTCCATTACCATCAGTTTACTGTAGTATCGGTGTGAGTACAGTGACTGAGAGGCTATCACTCTGGCTGTGCTCAGAGTGTGTGTAAAAATACCTAGAACAGAAACATACAGAAGTCAAAATGGCAGTTCACAATAATGGTTTAATAATCATAATAGTGGTATTGCAATTGATTCGTGAACTGGACTAAATCAGTTGTACGAGCGTAAAACAAATACGACCCAAACATGTCTACATGCCAAGATTAAAGGTGCACTATGCAACGTTTTGGTTGGGGATCCATCACCTACTTGTTGCTATGGATGTCATTGCTCTGCCTGGAATGTTCCACAGAATGACATTAAACAGCTTTACCCTACATTTATTTAATTACAGATGGTTTTATAGCTCAAAAATACCTAGAAAAACAGGCATCCACAGATCTGACTTGGTCTGAGTAAAAGGGGTCTAAACAAACTACAGACTAATTTACCTGTGTTTGTGTTCAGGCAGTAGGAGTGATTCCCAGGCTCCACAGTGTCCATCTTGACAGCCAGAGGACAGGGTATGTCTGCTCTGTGACAGCGCCCACCTTCGCCATTGTAAATGCCACCCATATGCATGACATTATTATACACCTTCCACCCCAAGAGTCCATTGGCCAAAGGGGGAAGGTAGCGGGCATCACTGGGTAAAGTGTCAGTGCAGAAAATGTATGGATCATCGGCCTCTGAAGATTCAGTTGCCATGTCTTAGACCTGTTTAAAAAAAAGTTAAAAACAGCTGGTTGCTTTCTTTGTACTGAACTCCTATATACATGCTCACTTCGCATAGATGCACAGAAATACCAGCCTTGTACTTGGAATATAAGTGTCACAAGACAAGTATCAAGTTACTCAACATCAAAACTTGCTCACAGTTCAAAAACTTATTTTCTTATTAACTTATACCAACTCTAAAATCATAGGCATTACTAGCTATTTACTACACTTAAATTGCACTTATAACTACAACTATTTAAAATTACTTCAACTACCAAATAAATTGTATAGTCTTAATGTTTTACTTTTGCGTAAAGAGGGAGGAGCATCAAAGGAATGCAGATAGAAAATACAAAACTCCTCAAAGTTCAAAGTGTTAAATCCATAAAGCTTTTTAGGTCATCTGACATCTTTGCATTTACATTATGCCACGGTAAATGCTGTTTACTGAAGCAAAAAGCGGACAAAACATACCCAACTAAGAGAATGGTGGCAGGAGTCCGAGGAAGGAGGAGACCAGAACGTATACTACGAGCTGCATGGAAAATCTGGACTGACTTTTGTGGTCTTTGGGAAAATATGACATGGATAACGCGTAGGAGTTTACTTGCACTTGGATCTAAATCTAGATAAGCTTAAGTGGCCCCACAAAGGTAAGATATTATCTACAATATGATATCTAATAGCCTATTACACCAATACAAACAAGGTAAAACAGGGAACAATGTGTCAATGGCAATTTGTCCACATGCTGTCCAAACCCTTTTAGGTCAATACAAGATTTGTTTCTCTCAAAGCTAATGCCCTCTCTCTAAATTAACTAAATAACATCCAATCGCACTTACTTATTTGTACCGCATGGTGGTGCAAAGGAGCTATTTGTGTCCATTCTGGCGTCATGCCGGGGGTCAGAGCCACAAACCCTGGGAAAAGCAGTGCTTTGTCCATATAAGGCTGCAATCCATCCGCTTCCCTCTTCCTCCCCAGCTCCATGCCTCTGTCTTTCTCAGACCTAAGAGATATTTACAGAGAGAGCCTCCGCCAGCCGGCCCTTCCTTATTAGGAGCTCTGCTTGTTGTCAGCGCTTCTGCAGTGGTCCATCTCCACACTCACACAAGACACATAGATGTCCACTGTTAATAAGAGTTCAAACTGTAAAGACCCCCTGTTTTCTTTTAGAAAAGTGTTGGCTGTAATACTGTCTACTGGTTGGCCAATTCTTGCATGATGTAGCATCCACTGGGGAGTAGCAGTAGATTACTTCAACAGTCCAAACAAATGGTAAATACATCTGTGGAGCTGTTTCCTCCACTCACAAGCACTGAAAGCACTGCAGCTGTTCAGTTTCTCCTGATAGAATACATATGGGCAGCCGTCGACAGAACATCCCACCAACCAGTCCGTAAAAGGATCAAGACATTTAAAATATCACTAATATAAGCTCAATAATGTATGCCCTCAGGTGGCAAACCTCTGCTGAGAAGAAACAGACAGGGGCTACAAACACACTTTTTTTTATTATGGTGCTGACATTCATTAAATATATTAGAAAACAAACGTGAAGAAGGCTATGTTTTTTATTTTTATTTCTGAAGGGTATTATTCAAGACTAATATTTTAAGACATTCAATATACAAGACCTCGCTCATTTGTGAGAAAGAGCAATTGTCCATGAAAACTATGAAAATATTTTTGTCCATGGCAAATATTAAAACCATTTGTTGCATTTGTAACAGCAATGTGTAGAAATGTGCAATAACCTTTGACCTTCAAACATGCCATAACCTTTCCTCTGTTAAAAAGGAAAACGGTGCTCCAAAATAATAATTTAACTGGTGAACTTGCAAAACCTCACAGATCTTGTATTACTTTGCAGAGTAAAGTGCTATATTCCAATGACTTGGTTCTGCTGTCTTTTTAAGAACATGGAGTGTGTCACAGAACTAATAATAATAAAAAAAAAATAGGTGGGGAAGTGCTTAGGTGGAGAGGTAGGTGGGTTCAAAAACACTTGAATGTGGAAACGACAAACTTCCGCCGGATGTTTCTGAGTCGTCAGACCTGAAGTGTTGTAGCTTTTCGAAGAATGACAAAACGTTAACTGCTTGACAACACATTTTAAGGGGGCTTAACACAGTGAGCAATAAACTTGTGAAGGTGACAGTGTTCAAAAACGTAAATATTAAGTGGGAGCTATAAAGACCGTGGGGCCTTGTGTGCTCATGGAATGTGCATCGAGGAAATCCTGATGCACTTATAGGAATGTAGTGCATGTTAGTGTTCCCCAGACACACAGATGCTTAATGTTGTGATCTGTGTTGCACCAGCCATGGGAGTTTGGCTGTCGTCTTCATGCTATTGTGAGGGCTTAAGCTATAGCCACAAATCTTCTGTGACAAACAACATTAAGGCACACAGAGCCCTCCAGCTGTTTGGGACTATGGTGATGGGGCATAACAATCTGCTGGTGCTATGGTCAGGACAGTTGTGCGATCTTCTTCCCTCGGTCTGTCTTTGGCATTGGGAGGAATGTGTGGATGGGAAGGGGAGGGGGGGCGGGAGTCCCTGCTCTTTATGTCTCGCTCTCTCTCTCTGGAAGTCTATTTGGAGAGTTTGCTGATGACACGGATCAGTGCTCCATTTTCATCCTTAAGACGCTGGTTGTCTGCTCTCAGATCAACAAGAACCTGAAGGAAAAAAGGTAAACTTTGAAACACACTTCAGCACCACCTCAAAAAAATATTTGAGGCAGTGAATTATAATGATACATTGGATTACATTCTGAGATTGCACAAACAGAATGTGAATGACATCAGATATGTAAACTTCAGTCTGTTTAGAATCTTTACAAGGTACCTCTAACCTTTAAATTAAATAAACAATGTTGAAAATATAAACATGATGCAAATTGAACATATTTTATACACTAATTACCCAAGAGAATAAACTATAAAAACAAAAATACACAGTATATGAGTCAGTGAAATTAATAACTAAAACTTGGAATTTTTTAATATCTTCTTCAAAATAGTCCAGAGGTGATAATATATGGTGAAATATTGTATTAGAACTGCAATAAAATTATGTTTGTATTTGTTTTTCTGATCAGATTTCTGACAAATAAAAATCTTATTTTTGTAGTGTAGAGAAGCCACCAAATGTTTGAAGCACTTATTCACTAGTCAAAGATGTTTTATACCTTAGTCTATACATAAGTAATGACACACCACTCACCTATGCATAAGTCAAAGCAAAGCAGTTCAGGCAGAGAACATGCAATGTGTGCTTACCTTTAGCTCCTCCTCCAACTCCGCCATCCTCCTCTCCAGCATCCTCCGATCCTTAGGGCGTTAAAAGGCAGGCAGGAAGACAAAGTGTTGGGAACAGAGATCAAAACAGTGAAGTGGAATCAGTGAGTGAAGAAAAGACATTCAAAACAGCACAGGTGGCAATAGTGAAGCAAAGCAGCTACAACACGTGACTATCACAAAATCATCTCTTGATCATTACCTTTCTCTCCATCTCCAGCAGGGCTGAGCAGTCTGTGAAGCGCTCCTGCCTCTGTGAGACAAGAAGGGGTAAAGCAAATATTATTACAGACAAAACTGATCAAAGATGTTTTCATTAATTCATTATTCATCATTCATTAAGTGAACATTTGTATTAAGTGTAAATATTTGGTTAATGGTACCTGCGTCGCTTTTTCCAAGTCCAACCGAGTCTGATTAACAATCCTCTGAGTGTCCTGCAGTTGTGATTGTAGTTGACTATTTTCTCTGGACAATTCTTCAAATAACTGTCAAAATGAAATCAGTGTTAACAATTCTTTCAATATTCTTGAAACCTTGGTTTACAGCTACAGTTTGTTTGCCTTAATGAACCTGCTAATAAATGTCTAATAAGTCTAAATAGGTCTTTATCAGTCAAGTGGACAATGCTAAGCTACAGGTGCGGATTGAGATCACCATCTGGATGGCAATTTATTATTATATGTGTTTTCAACCAAAGAAAAGGGTAGATTTCATGTTTACTTTACTTTTCAGAAAATGGAAGATCTACAACGACTAAATTAAACCTAAAACTTTCAGTGCTCACCTTTTTATAATCTTTAGTCTCTGAATTTCCTCCTGTGTCATTACAGGACACATTTGACCTAAGAATAAAGATAAGAAAACTTCACTATCACAAAGACTGAAGCAGTTATTTGAATGATTAATCACAGTGGTCAAAGACTACAGTCATACCTGGAGCTCAAGTGTTGGCCGGCCTTTTAAAAAAAAAGAGACAAAAACAAGTAAGATGACCATCTCTAGAACACATATTGCTGAAGTTCAAATCACAGCATTATAGCATTATAGGGACCAATGAACTAGTTTTTGCAGATTTTATGTTGTTGGATAAATATGCCAAGATAAAATTACTTGGTCACATCAAGTTCAAGATTGATTAATTTCAAACAGAAAAATAAATCCATAATAGATTAAAGACCCCCCACCCCCATCTGAGATCATTACATTTGAGACTCCAAAAACAATCAACCTGTGGATCCAGCCCACTGCCTGTTAACTCCTCCTCTCCACTTGGCTCGTTGTCATCACTCTATTCACAATAAAAGGGAAATAATTGTATAGGTAAAAGCTTTTATAATAGCAACAATAATCTCCCTATAATTAAAGCTCTTGTTTCACTCACCTCTCCGGTCCTCTGTGCCTTCCTTCTGGCCCGGGCTTGTCGTCTCTCCCTTCGCTCTCTCGCCCATCGCTCTGTCTCACTCTCTCCCCCTATACTGGCCTCAACATCTGGAAGAGAGCCAGAAAGCAGTCATTTAAGGATATCATTTAAACTCCGGTGTTTAAAAGGGGAAGTTATGCCATGTACCTCTCCTGTCCGTAGCCTGAGTCCGCGCTGTACCGGCAGGCTGTGTGAGGCCCAGGAGGTCGGACTTCTGTAGACTGGCAATACGAGACCTCCAACTCACTTCCTATAAAAATCCAATAACACCCATTCAGTGACATCCCTGACTTCACGCAAAAGAGCAGCCAAAATCCAAATCGCTTGTAACTTTAAAATACAGCTCTCACCCCTTCATCTCCCTTCTTCAGTTTAGTGTCCTTCTCTTTCTCTTTCTCTTTCTCCTTCTCTTTCTCATCTTCCTCCTTCTTCTCCCTCACTTTATTTTCAGTTTTGGTCTTCATGGTCTTTTCTGCTTCTTGTAGATCTGTAAGTGTTACACCCTGCAGACAAAGTGTTAAACACTTGAAATAATAAAACAATAAAATAATTGATGGTGATTCATTTTGGATTAAGGAAATAATATTAACCTGAGTGGAGCGGCGGGACTGCCTTGCGTGTCGGGATCGGGCCTTTCTTTGAGCCTCTGCCTCTTCATCCCGCACAGGAGTCAGATAGGACCTACACAGTTAAAATATAGAATTCTTCAGCATAAAACAGAGGCTCTCAAACTTTTCACACCAAGTAACACCAAAGAAATTTTGGCTCTCTAAATACCACCAGGTCTAAATAAGATCTATAACAGGACTATTCCAGGTCTAAAACTTGGCTACATCATTTCTACTGTTGTTCTAAACGAGAAATTATCCAGAGGAGGACAAAAAAAGTGCTTCAGTTTAGGCAAACCCACAAAGTGAAGAGCAGTCCAAATACCACCTCACATACCACCAGTCTGAGAAAGAATCTGCTATAATCTACATCTCTTACACTTTAACCAAAACTATTTTCAAATGTATCAATCAAATTTCCAATAACATATGACAAATCATAGCAGTCAATACATTTTTAAATATGGTGGTTAATAAGTAGTTTTTAAGTAGTTTAATAAGTTAATAAGTATGTAATTAAATATGTAACTGCTATTACACATAAAAAAGTTTCCATCCTCTAAACATATTTAAGATAATAAAAGAAGCATACACCCAAATCAAGGTACTAGTTGGAAATTCTTATAATTATAGACTGCAATGATTTTTTTTTTTTAAACCAATTTAAGGTTTACTCTCAGAGAAACCCTTAAATCTCTCTGAGCGTGCAAAAATATAAACATAATAATATAAGGTAAGCAATACAGTACTTAACTTTTCAAGCAAGACTAGTACTACATAGTATATTTACTATTTGTAGCAGTGCAGTTATTTTCTAAACTCTGACAACAGTCAATGCACATATGAATTACTGACTTGCGCCTTTGCTTGGCTTCGGGTTCGCCTGTGATCATGATGCCAGAATTAGTTGTTGTGACTGCAGCAGGCTGATCCTTCTTTTCTGACTGTTCCTGAGGAAGTCTAATGAGAAACAAAAGATAAAACAGAATAATATCAGATTTGTTTATTTAAGCAAAAACAGGAACTATAATTCAAAATTACCTCTGGGCTAAAACACTATTGGGTCGACTGAGACCAGAAGAGCTTGTCCCTAAACTGGCTGAGGTTACAGTGGATTCGTCCAGTCTCTTTCCGTAAGATGCACTACAAACAAGACACATGGACTCTGACATTTCTGTCTTTTTCTATTGCCACAAAGACATAAGTAGTTAGTAATCACTCATGTGGGGAATGTGCAGAGTGAAGCCGAAGAAAAAAATCACACAAACACACAAGCAAACAAACAGAAGGCTGGGAGTGGGCAGCGTGACTGACCTGTGAGGCAAGGAAGGGTTGGAACTACTGAGCTCACTGCCAGACTGACTGTGAAGGCGCCGGGTGTAAGAAGAGCTACGACTGAGCCAGCTGAGAGAGAGAGAGAGAGAGAGAGAGAGAGAGAGGCAGGGTGACAACACATCGGCAGAGAGTCAGAAAAAAACAGATCCTGGTTTCACAGCAGTAGCATTCAGAGCATAAGCCCACCTGTTGGAGTTGTCAGGACTGCTGTCAGGTATACTGAAGAGCCTCCGCGTTGTAATGGGTGGTACGCGGGCCAGCCTCGGCTCCTGCAAGGCAGATCATCAGCAATTGGGACACTAAAAGAAACCTTTATCCACTACTGAAACGGTGGTTTCATGGTTGCATGCTTTCTTGAATCATGTGAGCGTTTGCACCTTGTTGTCAGCTTCAGAGCTGAGGCGGGGGCTGGACGCAGAGCGGGTCATTCCTAATGCAGTCTCTGTGGGGCGCTCCTGGCTGGACTCTGACAGACCGGCTGAACCAAGGGTCACTGAGCTGCCCGCCTTTCTTAGGGAGGTCCTCCAGGAGCCTGGGGCCTCAGTGGATGGTGCCTTACTGGTTTCCTGTTTCACACAGTAGAGAAATGAAATAATACACTTTTATTTAAACAGTTCACTTCCTTAATTTGGCTATTACCTTCTTAACAGCAGCACTTGTTGAGGTAGAAAGCAGTCCTGTGGTATTACGCTTGTTGTTCAAGTTGTTGATGATTTCACGATTCTTAGCTTTCTCTGCAAATGTGAGAAGAACAGAAATTGTTGAACATGACTAAAACCATAAAAACCAGTACGTTGACTCCAGAATAATGAAAAATATTTTAGTCACCTGACTCCGCATCACTCTCAGATTCACTCTCCTCTTCGGAGCTAGAGCTGCTGGAGGCTTTGGTTTGGCTCTGAGTTTGACCCTGTCCCGTTTGGCCCTCCTCTTCCTCTTCCTCAGCTGGGCTGCTCTGTAACGCAGGAGGGGGGTGCTTCTCACGCTCGTGGAGACAGATCTTCTCCTTACTGCTCATACGGGAGATAGAGGTCCTGCAGGGTGGGGCCAGGGTGGAGCAGGACGACAGGTGCATGCAGGGGGTTGATCAGTCAGGGTGCTCAGCCAATTACAGCAAGCAGCAATAAACCAATCAGTGCATGGGACAATATGTCACTTGCTATGATGCCATGTACTGTAACCTATTCTTTCTCAACTTCATTGGAAAGAAACAAACATATTGATCTAAACAGATTAAACTACAGCAATTTTAACTATAATAATTGATTTGCAGAGCAATTTAAAAAGATATGGCTACCTAAAATAAAGTAATCTATGTTTTAAACAGCATTTGGGATGAATACACATCCGGATCTTTAGCTTTTGCCTTATACAGTAGTCATGGCAAATCACTGAGAGACATCATATCCACACACAGTGACATGGACTACAGGGACTACAGAGAACACAGACAAATACAAGCCTGTAAACACACGCTGGCACTAACCTTCGAGTTCGGTTTGGTACCATGGCGATCTGAGGACTGGTCTCTATAACTGGAGTTTGTTTCTCTTTCTCACTGCGTAACTGCACAAGAATATAAACATAGCATAAAGCCAGTGAACGGTTACAGTCACAACACTATCAGTCAGATCAGGTTATTCAACAGAGGAGAATTGAGCAGTGTCAAGGCACCCGTACCGCATTTTGCTTTTTCTGAAGCTCCTCCAAAGTGTCTACAAGGTTCTCATCAGCAACATCTAGAGCAGTTTGGCCCTATAAGGAGTTTTATAAGCAATTACTCAACTTGTTTTCATATGCAGTCTTTTATTGCTGTAAGGTTATTCTTATCTCCTCACCACATTGTTGACGGCTCCCATATCACACATGTGATCAGCGAGCAAAGTGCACACCTCCTCCTGTCCCCAGTGCGCGGCTGCATGGAGAGGTGTCCATCCGTCTATGTCACGGCAGTCCACATCCACACCACACTGAAGCAGCACTCTGAGAGAAACATAAAATAAAAGCTCATTAAAATATATACTTGTTATAGTACAACTTGATGTCATAACTCTGGAATAACAAAATGTTGTAACAACATTTTTGTGTTTTCCTTCCTGGGTCATTTTTTATTAAAGGTCCAATATTACACAAAATTTACTCATGTGAACTTTTAGTCACATTCTAATGTTGGTACCTCCTCAGAAACATACCCGAAGTTGTGTTTTGTTTCATTCACACGTTTGTACAACCTTTTATTATAAGTCTGTCTCTGAAGCTCAAAATGCTCTGTTTCGCATTGTGATGTCATGACTCAAGAGATACCCTTTATGTTTTGTTCAGCTGAGACTGGCAATTCCAGGACTGAAGTTATCCAAATGATTTTAGTGAAGGTGTAGTGAGGTTAAAAACCCAGTGGAGCACTTCCTGTATTACCACAAGTCATCACAAGGTGGAACAGAATGTTTTCTGTTTGAGATGAGCCTAAATATGCAGGGTTTGTGTGTTAAACGTGTAAATGAAATAAAACACTCCAGGTATGTTTTTGATGAACAATGTAAACACTTCTGAAATAGACAAGTAGCGCAAAGAAAATACTGAATACTACAATGTTGAATCTGCACAGCTACTCATGATGGAATTTAATGCTTACTTGAGAACTTCAATGTATCCTTTAGCTGCTGCAACATGCAAAGCAGTAGCCCTGGTGTTGTGGTGTGGTGTGAGCGTGCCTCCACCAGACATCACAGCCATGGCATCTTGAAGCATGATTCTTTCCTCTTGTTTTCGAGCTTGATCTACATCTACCCCTGTAAAGTAATACATTTTTTTTTTAGTTTAGGTTATTTAAGTGTAATTTGATTTGTTTCACCAGGTCACACTGCAGAGAGCATGGTTAAAGTGCAGCTCTAATGGCTATTCTGTATATAGAAGATTTACAGCTTTCTTGATATGGTTACGCTTAATATGTTTATTTTCTGCTTGTTTTATGTGGAGTCACAGCAGACTCTTTGCAAATTTTAATTAAGTGGCTGATACTTGTCTTGCTGATGGAACCCTGTGAATTTATTTAGATTTGAGGAAACACAAAAATATAACCAGTATGAGGCAATGAAAGGGGTGTGTTATAATAGTAGATACAGTTTGCAAATATCTAACCTTGTTTCTTGATTTCAGATTTGAGGAGTCTCTCCATAGCATCTTCAGTAGCTACATCCAGTGGAAGCTCCCCTTCACTGTTCACTGCACCGACATTAGCCCCATGCTCTATTAGATATCTAATAAAAAACAAGTTTAATAACTTACAATGCAGTGTTCCCAAAATCCTCAAATCTGGTACTGAGGCAATGGTTCCCACTCACTTGACGATCTGGACAAAGCCGCACGAGGCTGCAGCATGTAGAGGAGTCCAACCCTCGTTGTCCCCTCGGTTCACGTCACTGCCGCTCTCAACCAGGAACTGCACCATCTCTGCATTTTCATCTATGCAGGCCTAGTGAAGTATACAACACAAGACAGTGAGCAAGAGCTGTTATTTTTTTCTAGAAATAACATCAAACAACACACAACAAAAGAACCAACTCCTTTTCTAAATTAAAAAAAATGTAAACGTTGTTGCTCTTTAAGAAGTTGTTTGAAGAACAGCTATAAAAAAATACAGACGGACCCGTAAACAGTGATTTCTGTGTATGCATGTAATCACTTATTCAAAAGCAACAAAACCATAATAAGCACTTTCCTAAACTATTATTTGCTGCACAAGTGAAACAGTGCGTCTTTCTAGCTGCATTTCCTGAGGCATGGTGAATCTTGATTCTCAATGTGATCCAGCACAAGACCAAGATAAATCTCATGAGGACCTCATGGTGTGATCTGAGGGTTTGGTTCATATTTCACTGAACTTTAGGTGATTGATGTGACTATCCTAATATAGTCTCAACTCGAGTATGCAGTCTTGTACAGTATAATAGTCTGCATCCTAAAGTGATCTTTGTTCGTGATGAAATATAACATTATCCTTATCTACTATGATAAGACTGATATTAATTTTACAACATTAGCACTTCTAATTAGGCTTCCATTTTTACCACCACCATTTTGACTGACTAATAAGTATGAAATAAATGGAACATTTTCAGATACTGTAATCTAAAAAGGAGTCTTCCTGGAATCTGGTAACACTACAAAGCACTGCAATGGTAGGCGTGATAAGAACCAATTCCTGTAAGAATCAACATTTAAATAATTAATAGTGACTGGTGTGTGTAGCATGACAAAATATTATCTTGTTTTATAAACCCTAACCCCGTTAATGTTATAGTTCTTGTGTACTGATACAACACAGGAAAAGCCATCGGTGACAGTCAGTAGTAGATGGCCATCATGCGCCTCTTAAGCCACCTCTTAAGAGGCTTTGCTTTTGGGTTAAATAGTAACAAAGCTGCTCCAAGTCTCCACCTCCTCCGTAAAATCAGATCACTGGACAGGTAGTCTGACACGCAGTACACCTCAACAGCACACTGTTTTAGGGTGAAAAGTGGAATGAAAACCTGCGCACAAGTCCAAAGTGACATTGACCACCAACAAGTGGTGCTCCACAGTGAATGAATGGGGCACACAGCCACCCAGCAGAGCACTCCAGTCGCAACACTCAAGTGAGTCATTGTCGAAATCAACAACAGAAGCTTGTGTTGTTCGAGGAATTTTTCCATTTTTTCATCCCCAAATCCCAAATGTCCGAGTGCTGGCAAAATGATAGAGAGGGGGCAAGAGTGAGTGGAAGTCATACACAAGACAGAAAAGGCTTTGGATGGAGAGGATGGAAAGTTTTTAAGAGTGTGCGCCTATATTTAATTTGGTTGCCTGGAGACCGGTGAGCAACAGGAGAGAATTGATGGAGGACAGGAGAGGGACCACAGTGGGTGATGGTGTGATACATGCACTGACCAAATCTAGGCACATCAAGTGGATTTAATGAGTTGACTAACCTCGTAAATCACAAGAATAGAACAGTTAATATACAATGAATAAATACATACATATTATTCAACAAGCAACTTCACTATAAGAAAACAGCAAAACTAGAAGTGCAAGAACGTAAATAACGTAGTGTCATAATTGCTGGAGAAAATAGTTATATTATGATCCAAATAACAGCAGTAAACACTAATACTGCTCCAGTTAATGCAATTTTTTTCAGAATTTCTTGAGCATGAATAGCTGTAGAGAACCACAACCTGTTGATCATATATGGTGATGTCTTTAAGCATGCACTGAGCAGAGTGAGGGGGTCTTCTGTCTGGAGTAAAAGAGGCTGCAGTCCTCCTCTCTGAAGTGAACCATTGTGTGCCTTTTGTTGGATAATTTAGAGTGACTCATGATGCTTAAATTACTAGTTTGACGGTGTCACCAAAACACTGCCCAGAAAGATACAAAAGCGTATGTGGAAAATAAAACTCAAATTCTCTTCTTAGGTGGACTTTAGACTACCAATAGTGTTATTATTCTTTGCAGTAAGTTGAAGCTGCATCTCCACTCCTTTATATGGTCTAGTCGTGGCATCAACTAGTTTTGACAAACTTCAAGAACTGTGGGGAGAAATCAAAACACCGTGGCAACTTGTGGGAAAATTACTTTTTATGATTACCTGATGAAGCGCAGTCAGACCGTCTATATTCGCGTGGTTTATGTCAGCTCCCTGCCTCAGAAGAGCTGCCACCTCCTCCCGATCTCCGGCGGAACACGCAGCCATGAACACGGCTCCTTGGGCGAAGCGGACTTTCCGTGGACCCGAGCCGCCTGCGAGTTCTCGGGCCTCGGTTTTCGTACAGTCCGTCTCCGAGCCCTGCCATCTCTGCAGCTGGTCCTGCCGTCGCTGTTTGGCTGCTTCGGACCGGGAATGGTCAGTGGCAGCCATCTTCCCTGGTCTGTCCCGGACCGATTGAGCTCATGGTACGAGGAGGAGACTGGAGAGTTTGGATTGGGGCTTCCCCGGGATGTGCCCTCTGGTGGACGGACCCAACCAGGCACGCACCAAGCGTCGACCTGAGCGCAACTTGAGTGAGGCAGTGCTGTGCTCTGGTGCCTTCACGGGGTCATCGGAAATGTGTTTGTGATTGTGGAAGCAAACAAAGCAAAAGCATTTCATTTAGGATAAACGTGCTGAGAGCATGAAGACAAATGATTTGATGTTGATATGAGTGTTTAATTGTAACACATTATTACATTCATATGTAGCCAAACTTTATACTGTAACACTGTACACTGAAGTATATTCATTCAGTTGTCTGAGAACAGAGAGGAGATTTAATGAGTTGCAATTTGCAAACATGATGGCAAAATGTATTCAAAGTAAACAAACTTGAGCAATTGCAGACTAACAAAACCAATTTTATTGGATTTTTTTTTTTTTTTTAACTCAATAAGTTTGCACTCAAGATTTGAGCATTTTAATAAGCCTACTACTCAAGCAGGCACACAAATTAAAACATGTAGAGTAGACTATCTGGGTAATAAGTGAATTATAATAGCATACTGTACATAAACAGTGAAAACAATGAAAACTGCAGTGCTTTTCTTTTGCAGCAGAGTCAGTTGTTAAATACTGGTGTGTCTACATTCCCCAAAAAACAGAAACAGTCAGCTATTTTAACTGTGTCATTGCAAGTGTGCATTTTTGTGTGCTTCAACATGTAATTCAAGTCTTTGCATGGCTCTAAGTATATGTGACCTGTTAAAAACAACTCTCTATCACTAAAACACAATTCTGATTCTAAATATGTATGTTTTTATATTACACACTCATATTTTAAGTACTATCATCATGGTCTCTTTTTGAGCAACACATATTAAGTTTTTGTCAATATCTTGAGAGCAGGTTGTCTGTCTTCTGGGCAGTAAAACCCTCTGAGAACAGTGCAGGGCACGACACTGTCCTGTGTTGGAAGAGACCAGTTTTGAAAGAGCCTTGCAGGTCCATGTTGATCCTCAGCACTCCGGACAGCAACTGCCGCTTGTAGTGGTCCAGTCGCATGAAGACATCGAGCACTGAAGAGCTTCCGTCATTTACCCAGGTGGGCAGCAGGCCGGAGGAGACCATCTGAACTGAAGACTGGTGGTGGTACAGCCGCAGTTCACAGGAAAACCTATAGGAGGCAGTATCAGCATGCAGAGGTGTGAAGGAGGGAGCAGTAGAAACACTTACAGTTCTTGTGATCAACCAGGCTGAAACACACCAATTATTACAAGCTGTGAGTGTAAAATAGTATAAAATTATGGTATTGAGCACTCAAAGGGGCATGCCCTTATTTAAGACAAATGCTTTTTGTTGTCTGCTCCATAGCTACAAAAGGCAACTACTGACAGTATAACTTTGTGTGATAATATGGGGCTTCACACCTACCGGGCAGAAACACGCTGAGAAAAGCTCTGTGAGGCCTGACGCAGAATGTGCTGTATTATCATCAATATCTGCTCCTGCATCCAGCTCACATCTTCATGCACATCTGGAAGCCACTCCAGCAGTCTACAAACATGATGCAATTTTACTGACAAAATTGACAATTAAGATGACTATTTTGAGATGGAAAAAAGACAGTGGCAAGAATAGGTTTGTAATGCAAGTGATTGACTCTGAAAACATTACTAATAGTTGTATGAATAGAGTAACTTGCAGCAGGCTTAAGTATTCTTATTCAAAAACATTAAAGAGGAGCAAAATATTATATGGACAAGATGATTTCATTCTGATATTAAGATAAAACTGTAGATAAAAAAAAAAAAGAAGAAGTAAATCAGCAAATTAAATAGTATTTAGTACCTGAGACTTATAGATAGGGCAGACTCCAATGGGAGAGTATAAGGGAGCATCAGCGCAGAGGCCATTCTGACTGGGAGCAGGTTTCTGATGGATTGTACCAAACTCCTGTGCTCAGTGCATGCCTCCATCAGAGCTGCAGAGGATGACAAAAAAAGGAATCACACACACATATATATTATATATATTATATATTTTATATATATATATATATATATATATATATATATATATATATAGAGATAGAGAGAGAGAGAGAGAGAGAGAGAGAGAGAGAGAGAGAGAGAGAGAGAGAGAGAGAGAGAGAGAGAGAATATTTACCTTTGTGCAGAATAGGTGGGAGATTTTCAAGAATATGGTCCTCTATCTCTGAAGTGTTGTCCTCTTCTAACCTCTCTGTCACAGCATCTTCACGATCTTCTTCTTCATTGTAACCCATTATCAGTGAGTCTCGGTTAAGATGATTTAGATTAAGCAGGCCTGAAAAAAGTTCCTGAAATGAATGTCAGCTTTCTTTCGTAAAGCAAAACATGTTTTTGCACATGGTAACTGTGATGAAATATATGGCATTGTGGTCACAAAAAGATTGCTCTTTAACATCCTTACGATATCTGCTCACAAAGCGCTGTATTGATTAGGTGATATGGGGTAACAGGAAGCTGCTCTGATAGCATATCAGGACACACATTCATATTTTCTCCCTCAATTATCAAATCAATTTTTCTTTTCAATAGTGACCTTCTTTTGAAGCCAAATATGAATTAACAATAGGCCATAGACCTACTTATACAAAACCTAATAATGGTTTGCTTGTTGATTACTTACCATTTCTCTTTAAAAAGTGCAGTGCATCTTTATACCCCTGTTTACACATGGCTTTCATTACCTGCATTGATAAATAACATTGTCATTACTGTGATTACTGTCTCCAGTTAATATGATGTTAGTCAATGGGAATGTGGCTAACCTTTGGATCTGGAGGGAAAAGTGCTTTTGAGACCCGGTACAGGTTTCCTAGGGTGAACTGAATACTGGTGTTTGTGAATCGGAGCTCGTGAATGTTGGCTGAACTGTCTCGTGGGCAGATGTCACTTTCTCCACAAAAAGGTGAGACGGTTATAGTATTTTTCAGATCATACTGCGGCAGGTTGTCAGAGATGCCCCCATCAACATATCGCTAAATAATAAAAACAAAAACATAAGAATTCTAGCTAGTGTTATGTCATATCATTGACTTTTTCATTGCTACACTTTTTAAAGTTTACTTAAGACCTTACATAAGAGTAGTATGATGTCAGAGCTGTTGGCGTGGCAACTTTAATCTGTGCCAGCGTGGAAACAATTTAAAAGACATCAACAAACCCGGACGAGTGGGCATAGCTCATTGACATTCTAGGAAAGTCCAAAGTTTGAAAAAAACTAAATAGGTTCTTGTGCCAAAATACATGTTTTGAGAGAGGGAGGTCCCTGTAAGTCATAACAATAATACAATAAAAGGAAGCAGGCTACATAACAAATCAGCAAAAGCAAATGACAAGTCTTGGCTAAGCTAAAAGTTTACAGAACTATTAACATGCAGTTGTTAGTAAAGACTGATCTCTTCTAAAAATATTAATAAATGATTCTATTTTAGTTCAAATAGCTCACCACTCCTCGCAGTGACGGGGGAATCAGACCGCTGTACACAGGGATGTAAGCGCTACAAACTACTGCCTGTAAGGAATAAGATAAAACATAATTACAATTTCAGTCACTGGGGCAGTAAGTATTGCATTACATATTTAAATATATATATATTTTTGTATTTATATTTATATTTTCTAAGATACTGATGAAGTGTGTCACAATAAAAAATAGTGAGGCTAACAGAATTACTGGGTTGCATAATTTAACATTTAAGAGCTACAGTGCTTATTTACTGTACATAATGCACAAATCAACATGGGCACCACAGAATTACCAACCATATTACTTTCAAAAATCTGTTCACCTGCACCAGCTCCTCCTTTGTGTTGAACTGCGTCACCAGGACATTTTCACCATCAGTCACTCGGGTCAGTGAGATCCCCAGACGTCCAGTCGCCCACAGGTGTCCTTCTGCTGGCAGTGTTCGACGCAACATGTGACGCATAATTTTCACCAGGTTAAATGAAGGATGCATGGGTCCCAGAAATCGCTTTCTGGCTTCTTTTGCAACACCAATGATACTTGCACCAGTCTCCCCTATACAAAAGCAAAATCAATGTTTTAACAGGTCAGAGTGATCATTTCCTCAAACAGCCCACACACTCTGGCCCAATTTATGTGTTTTGTCAGGGCAAAGCATCATGTTTACACTAGTCAAGTGACTCAAATTTGAAGTGATGATTTATTTAGCTCAAACTCATGGAGGTATATCTGACTCCTATAGATCCATTCTCAAACAAACTGACCAGATGGACAGAGGAGGCAAATCAAGTCTCATGGTGCTTTCATAGTACCTAGCTCTTTCTCAATTTAGAAATAAGCCAAGGTACTTTGATAGGTAGTTATAGTGTAATATGTTACTTTAAACATACAGATAAGTAATCTCTGTTTTCTTTTTTAATGTTTGCTTGCCCATGTAGCTTAAAGGGCAAGTTAAAAGGAAATAAGAATTGATTTGGAAAAAGGACAAAGTCTCAGGTCTACTTAAGATTAGATTAGTGTATTTGAGTTGCAGTAAAAAATACAGAAAGGTATTTTTTTTTCTCTGTGGTAGTAATTAAACTGTAGTTGTATAATTAAAATATGAGTGTACACATCTGACTGATTCTAATCTCTTCCCTGAATCATTATGTTGGAATATATTATGAATGACATGATATTTTCTTACCAAGACACACCCCAGTGACCAGGGTTGTGGCAGTGAGAGCTCCTGCGGATGCCCCATAGATGTGCCGTGCGTTTTGGACGAGGAAAGGCGCGTGTTCCTGTAAACAGCTGGCAACACCAACGTGGTAGATCCCGAGGAATCCGCAGCCAGCGAAGGAGATATTCCAGGGCGAGTCCAGAGGAAACATGCCGGCTTTGATTTTTGTCCTATGACCCCGTTGAATTCAAACAGCCCTTTTTTTTTTTAAACTTTGTGTAGGCTTTAATTTGATCTTAATTAATAAATAATAGGGAGATTCCTACTATCTCAGCACACAAACGTATTGTCGTTTACAATTAAGTAGGCCTATCTTACTTTAGAAGCAACTTTGACATTCAATCTGATGAGTTTGGTTGTTTGTTTTGACATTAACACTATTTAATAAAGTAGGGGGGCTACCGTAAAACCCTTGACCAATCAGAAATAAGAATCCTCTGAAACTGGGCCAATCAGAGCACGCTGGCCTTATCGTTTGACCAGTCACAAACCACCCCCCTGAAACACCCTCGTATAACAAAATTTTCTATTATGATCATAACAAGCATGCCCCAGTATTTTAGGCTTTGCTTTCTTTTAAGTTATATTTTATCATATATGCAAAAACCCATAGTTTCATTTTGGACAAGTGTATTTATTTATTTTAATTTGGTCAAGTAAAATATGAGCCATAACAATTGCCCTAATCCTAAACATGCCCTGATAATAAAATTTAAATATTGTGATTTTTTTTTGCATGTAAATTTGGGTTTGTCCACGCTTGAGGCGAAATTACAAGTTGGTAAACAGCACAACCCAGTGGCAGAATATGAGAATAATTTACATCCCGCCCTGAACCGGAGCTTTGGCGGCGCTTGAACGAGAGCGTTAGATTTAATGTGACAGCCCTACCAGAGAGGCGGTGTTTCTTTGGACAACGATAATCCGAACACAAGATGGCACTTCTCGTTCACCGGTAGAAGCTGAAAATATAAAGGAACACACAAATGTGACGCGGAGCTTTTCTTTCAAAAACAAGGAAGTAGGAAAGTACTGCCAGATGTGTTAGTACTATGGATCTATATAGTTCTGTCCTTAGTACCATGGTTAGTATTATATTGCTTTGATTATCATGTTGCCTATATTTTTTGACTTTTTATTTTTTTAAGTAGCGTTTCAATATGTCACCTTTCAACCAACAAATCATTGCATGCATTATGGTGAGTTTTTGTTTTGCTTTGCAAACCTTGTCCACAGTTCATTATTGCACTGTAACAGTGTAAATGTGAAATTTACATAGTGCAACGCGTGTTATAGAGTTTGGGCCCACTGTGGTAATATAAAAATCATTTGACCACATGTTTCACAGTCCAAATGGAAGGTGAAAAGGCAAATGTTTTGGATGAAGAGGATAAAGACCAAGCCGCCAGCTGTTCAGAACAACAAATGAGACGGACAAGGCCAAAACCTGCATTTAAAGCAGTTAAAAAGACTGCCATGGTTTAGTCATTCTCTGACACATTGTCTTTGTGCTTGTCATCGTCAATAAATATGGACTCAGCCTCCAAATCATTAAATGCGGATGACCAAGAGGAGCTTGAGGAGTCTGAGAGAGACGAGACCTCGGCCACTCTGCCCCCATCTCCCTGTAGCTCTATGGACTGTTCTTTCATCTCCTCAGACCTTCAGGTTAAACCCTCCTCACCCTCCTCCTCTGGCTCTTCTAGCTCTGTCCCATCTCTCTCTCCTCCTTTGCCTCCATCAGTGGACATCACTGATGTGATGAGTGAAACCAGACTAACCCTGGATGTATACAGAGGGGGGGCAGCAGCACTACCGCTGCTCTGGAGTTCTGTCCCACATCAACTTAAAACTCTCCAATATCTGAGACTGGGCTCTGAGGAGAGGTCAGGAACAGAGGCTGCACTGGAAGTTCTACCTCATCTGACAGAACTGCGCTCACTGGCCATCAGAGGTAACTGCAGCAAGACAATGTTCGCATGGTTGTTTGATTATTGTCCTAACTATTCATAATCATCATACCGTTAAAGCAGAAAGTGCTTTGGGGTAACCAAGACTGAAAATACAGCATGGATTTTATTATACTTTTCAACAACACTTTTGCGATAAAGTGACTTCATATTCTTCTTAACCAACTATAGCTAAGCTATAATCTTATGTCTTAAAACATTGCATAAATCAGTCACCACTGAAAATCAAATCAGTGTATACCTGATCCAATATTAGTATTTGATATTGGTGCAAATCCAGAAAAACTATATGGATTGGGTATCACCTTTTTACCAGTTGTAGTTGGCTCAAAAATCTTATAAAATAGTGTAATAATAATAATAATAATAATAATAATAATAATAATAATAATAATTTGTATTTGTACAAAGCTGTTCAGTGGCTACTTGTGGGATAAAAAAAAACTACACAACACATTTGTATCAGTTTTGTTTTATATTAGTCTTGTTTTAATTTTCAGTCTCTAAACTGATATTGGTTGATAAAAGACACCCACAGATACTGAAAGTCATAGTATTGGAATAGTTTTGAAACTGAAAAAGCTGGATTGTTGCATCCCTATTACAAAAAACACATTCAGCATTTAAAGTTAATTCAACTGCCTTGCCCTATTACTGTGGTCATAATAATGATTTCGTTTTGTAATTAGATTGTACCAGTCACAAATAAAATGGGGCCCCATTAATAAATCAAGTAAAAATGCTTACAAGCAGAATGTAACCCTCAGTGCTTTGCGATTTACTTTGGTTCTGTTTTTCTAGGCCGCCGTTTTTATGATGCTCAGGGTGACCCACTGCCAGGCATGCTCACTACTTTACCTGAATCCATGTCCACTCTCTCTTTCCTCACACACCTGGATCTCTCCTTCAACCAGCTCTCTGCTCTGCCATCTTGCCTTTTCCACCTCCCTGCACTGTCCTCTTTGTTGTTGTGCCACAACCACCTCTCTGCTTTGCCCCCTGACATGGACCAGCTGTCTTCGCTCACTTTTCTCTCTCTCATGGGGAACCAGCTGGTCTCCCTGCCACAAAGTCTGGGTCAGCTAAAAGTACTGCAGACACTGGATGTTTCATATAACCTTCTCCAGCAACTACCTGATGAAACGGGTTCTCTTGAGAGCCTGGTCAAGCTTGAGTTATCACACAACAAACTAAAGGAGCTACCAGAGACTATGGGTACGAATAGTGTCCGGTATTTCATTAGTAATAGAATACTAATTCATCAGTGTGATTTATGAATATCTGTTGCCCTAAAAAATCTAAATCTAAATATACTGTGTCTTCTCTGTTGCCCAGGCTTGCTACTTTCCCTCAGGGAGCTTGTCATCAATAGCAATGACTTGCGTGTGATTCCACAGTCACTGAACAAACTGCCTCAGCTTAAAATAGATAGCGACAACAATCCATTAGGACGACCTTTAACACCTCCTGCCCTCCCTCCCTCACCTGGTAATCAATTTAGATGAGAGTTTTTTATTATTATTTGCAATTAGTTAAACTTATTTAAACTTAACTTCATATTTTTGATTTGTGTTACCTGTAAACAGAACACAAAGAAACAAAACTCAAAGAGCTACATCTTGGCTATAATCAGCACAGGTAAGCCATCACTTCTTTTGTTCTTTGATTATATTTTCCATCAGTGAACTTCTTCCTTATTGGCTTTTGCTCCCCAGCTTCTTTGTTTCATCTGCTGGATGTCATGTGTTTCTTCCTGGAGGAGCAGAGTTGCTTTTTCCCCCTGGGTGCTTGCACACAACCGCACGATTAGAGTGGGTGTGGAAAAGGCCAGAAAGAAAATGGGTCCATCTGGAAGACCATGAAATCCTACTTAGTCGACCACTGGAACTAAGACCCCATGGAATTTCTTTTTTAAAGGCAACAGAAAAATAATATCTGCATTATTAATAATAAATATTGGCTATAGTATATTATTTTTTTTGCTATAATTGTTTGTGCTTAAACAGCCCGTTGAAGTGTGCGTGCCATATCACCGTTCCAGAAGAAAAGAGATAGTGGTTCGAAAGTTTGATGGGCAGTCATGGACCATTCAGACCACACTTTTAAAGAGGGGAAGCCCAAACAACAGCTGTCACCCTGGTGGCCGCCCCGCCCGTGTATGACATAAAATCTCTATTCTTTGATTATCATGTGTTCATTATAATGATTATGATGGTCTTTTTTTGACCCGTCTATAGCTGGCTTGTTGCTCCGTTCAGCAATTCTCCTGGTTCATGGTAGTGTCTCGTCTAGTTAAGGATACTTGCTCTCTCACACCGGATGGAGCACTGCTGGTGTCCACCTCAGATCCTGCTGTTAAGCTCACGTTTCCTCAACACTCCACTTTGGAAATACGCACCATAACATTACAGGTACATTTAACTGTAAAATATAGTTATGTAAACAGCACTCTGAAAATGATTGTAAAAAGTGTGTTTTTCCTTGAGGTACTGCCAGCTGCCTCCTCTGAAGTTCAGACTCTTTGTGGTGATCCTCAGGCAACTGTCAGCCCTCTGCTTTGCCTCTCCCAGACCCCCAACATAAACTTTCTTCAGCCTGTAAAAGTCCAAATCCCTCTACCAACTGGAGTTACTGGTATGAAAGAGAATAATGTTACAAATAGCATAATTTTAACATCAAGATTATAAATTACAATCTGTAGGTCATAGTGTTGATCGATCCTGCTTGCATCTGCTCCACGGAGACCCCACAGCCCAAACCTGGACTGATATCACATCTCAAGTGTATTTAGAAATCACTCATCTCTATGCCATATTCTATATCACGCACTTCTCCTGGTACAATTTTTTAACTTCATATTCACTCATTTTGACCTTTAACAATGATAATTTCTAATATGTGGGTCTATTGCAGGTACTGGCTTTGGTACACCACTCAGCAGTGTGTTAGTGGAGTTGTCAGAAAAGTTTATCAGCGACTTAAACAGTTTAAAGTACAGTTTCTTGTTATGCAGAAAAAAACAGACCCACCCCAAGTGCTTCTACAGTGTTTGCCAGCAGATAAGGTGTGAAGTCTGATCTGAAGACGCATTATTCTTCCCTTTTAGATTCATTACTAGTTTGAAACAATGGCATATTTCCCCAGGTGGACAGCAGAGTGCAGGCTTTGTTGCCGCAGTATGATGGACCACATCCTTCTGATCTGTGTGACCTGCTGGAGGGAGAGCAGTTTTTTGCAGGCTTTGAAAGAGGCTTAGACATCAGTACAGGTCTTGTATTTTTTAAATAATATACACTATAAACATATTGTTGTGTTTTATGATATCATCATGTATGTTTATTTCCAGATAGTCCAGATTGTGTGGAAGGAAGACTCCGTTTTGTGTTTTACTCCAGCCTGAAAAATCTTAAAGAGGTCTACATTGCCCCTGCAACAGGGCAGAAAGTACCAGTGAGGGGGCAGGTAAGCAATATTACATCAGAAATTACTTTGTATAGCTAAAATTCTGCAGGAAACCTGCTAATGCCAAGCAGCTTCTCTTTATCTTTATGAAGTCCACATATTACTGTATTGCCGTATAAGTAATGGGCTTTGCCCACTAGAGGGAACTAGAGGGAAGATTTTTCCGGCCAAGAAATATCTGGTATATATGTAACAAATGATTTTATAGAATCTGGTTTATCATATTGATATTATTGTTATAGTTTTGTGTGTAATTTGTTAGTAATTTGACTCCTCATTTTGGGCAATATCAAGTGTACTCAGTTCTGTATATACATTGTATGTAGATATATTTGATTTACAGTATAGATGTTATAGACTTTTTACATTTCATGTACTAATTTATCTTTAAGTGTGTTTGTTTATTTGTTTTGCCACAGGTATCTTTCTACAGAGGGGATATTCCAGAGAATCTGCCAGAGGAAGTGGCGAGGAAAAGGAAAGGCCTGGACAGTCAATGGTTGGCCACCTTGCCACTGAGACTTCCAGTAATTTCTTGTTTTTGGTTATTGCAATGTTAAATGTTTTATGAATTCAATCACATTGGTTATAATCATATAATTTATTGTAGGCACTAAACTCTGAAAATAATTACATAATTGAAGAGCCTCAGTATCCCCCTCTAAATCTGGGTGACCCTGAGAGTGGATACCTGACTGAGACCAACCTCCTGAATCTCTCTTCGCATCGGTAAAGACTGGCAAAGGATTGGTATAAATCTTGGCCTGACCAAAGAAGAGTTGGAGCATATTCAGTACAAAAACAAGTATGTGATGGCTTATGTATGCTACTAAATACCTAAATATGTTATATTTAATATGAGTGTACTTGTGTGATTGAGGGACGTAATGAGGATAATGACTTGACTGTAGCAAATACAATCAAACAGCTGAAGCCTCTTAGGAGATAAGAGAGATGTGTGAAGTGAATGAAGTAGTGCTGCACAGGGAGAGACAAATGTAGAGAATTTTGATTGTTTTAATCTGCACTGTCAGCCATCACTAAGCCATCTGGGACACTGCAGGAGATTACACACAGACTGATGCTCCACCCCCAACTCTTCAGAAAGCCCATCACGACAACGTCCAGAGGGAACATGTAGGCATACAACTATATAGATGTGAGACAACCCTGTAACTAAATAAATAATAACCCTCTGACTAAATAAACAATACATTCTATCTTCAACAGTTTAAATAAGGCAAAACCAAAATCTAACTTTTGCACTTAAAATCAGTTACTTATCCATACATCGTGTTTCCATAGGGATAATCTGAATGGCTTGGTGCTGGATATGTTGTTTCGCTGGGCTAGAGGACAGAAGGCTGCAGGCTCTGGGTCTGTGTCAAAGCTTGTGGCGGCGATGATGGCGAGTGGCAGAACAGACCTGGCAGAGGAAATCGAGGACATTGTCAGCATTGGAAAGAAAAAGTACTCGGAGTCATTGAGGAGAGTGGGCCTGGAGACAGGGAGCCCCTCTCAGTGAAGCACAGCAGTAGCTCTGTACACGCTGAGTGCAGATGGCTCTCTTACACATCACTGACTTGTTTTTTCATCATGGCCCCACCATCCCATCCTGCTGTCTAAACATCTCACCTGCTGTCTCGCACAAGAAAACATGCACTTTTCCAGTATTTGTTTTCCAACTAAGTGCCAATGACTTTAAATGACCTGCACAAGAACAAAACTGTGGGTACACATATGTGGGTATTTTGTTACTATCACATGGAGACCAATTCTTGGAAGCCTGTTGAGTCTTCTTTTTTGCCCTCTTTGATCCATGGGTTCTGCATCTCATTCAATGCCCCCCACATAACCTTTGCCAGGGGAGTGAGTTAAAAAAAAATTGCGCTGACAGAGCAGTTTTACCTTTTAATAACACTTGGAATATTTTATTGTATTGAATATTAATTTTAGATCTGTACCACAATGAAGTGTGAGTAAAAGTAAAAGTAATTACCTTTAGTCATTTGGGTCAATTCAGGAGACCTAATGGCCAACATAAATTGGTCTTAGGAACACATTTAGCTCCTGGGCTGTGCATTATTGTACATATCAGTTTTTACATTTCACAATTCCTGCGGCTGCAGGAATCATGAAAAAATATGAATATTTGCATCACATCAAAAATGTAAAAAGTTCCTTTGTGTTTCATTTCACTGAAGTGTATTGAGGATCACTCTGTGAGAGATCTGTAGCCTATTTGTTGCAGACTTTATTTTAATATATTTTCCAACAATTCTGTGAAGGCCTGCAATATAACTGTCATTATGATTGTAGTCTGTAGACTACCAAAATCGTTGTATTTGTATTTGTATAGGTTTCTTTAAATACATTTATTTGTGCATTTTGTTCTATGTTTGGTGTATTTTAAGATTTCAGAGTGTCTGAATGTTACTGGGCAAACACTTGAAATGTCTGTGTGCATCCATGTGTAGCCTGTATTGGCCTGTAGTGTTTGCTTGCCCCTGTTCTATTTCCTCCTCTTTGCAGAGTACCTTTATTGTCTCCTACGTTGGTGTGCTCAAGGTCATCACGATGCAAAGAGTCGTCAGTGTGACGCATCCCAGATACATCACAGCCTCCCTCGGCAAGTGCTGCTGTTGCAAATAAACTCACCTGCACTACCACTACGCGCCGCTAGAGGACCCAACATCAATCCCCGTGTGTGTTGGTTGTATATCAGCCCCTCTGCTCCATCTCCTGCCTCCCTCCTCCTGCTCACTTCACTCTCACCTCTTCTACCTCTGCACCGGACTCAAATGCTAGTTACACCGGTAGGTTAGCCTTAGTACGTCTGTCAGTCAGCATTTCAGAAAATATCCGGGCTTTGATTTGAATCCTGTGTTCACAAGAAACCACGGAAGCGCCTTGGTGAGGTATGTGCATAACGGAATATACAGTACATGATTGTCCATTGACCGGTGAATCACTTCTCCATCTGATTAATACACCAGTGCATTGTATTCACCATTTATATTGAATCACAGTCCCGTTAACATGAATGGATTGAGCGTTATATCTGGACGTGAGCGCCTCCTTATCATTTCCCGTTATGTGCCATTAAGCTTTGCGTTTATGATTACGGCTTAAGATGTAGCATATTTAAGGCCCAACGCTTAAACATGTTCATATCTTGTTACCTTGTATGTAATCATATAGTTGCACGTAAGGATTTTGATTGTGCATCGAAAGGGCTAGCCATTGTGAAAGGTGTAACCGTGTATTATTTGTCATAGCGAGACTTGTGTCCTCCGCCGTGCTACGCTCCAGGATGCTAGTAGCTTATGGATGTGTTTACTGTCACGTTTTTTTTTTCCCCCGAAAGTACACTGGGGTCACAGAGGTTGCTTTATGCCGGCTTCATCCCCGTAGTGAGCGTGTAATTAACGTGTCGTGGGCATGGAGGGATGCGGAGTGGAGGCAAAACCCACTTAAAACGAGCCCACCCTCGCTTTTCATTGGTAGCTGCTCGCCTCTGTCAAGCTGCCATAACTCAGCAGTGCCAATGACAGTAACAGGACCAGACAGTCAAGTTGTTTCTCTTTAATGTCAGATATAGGTTAACCGGACGTCTCTATTTACCCGGAACAGTCCCAGCTTTAAGCCCTGTATCCCCTGTTTCATCAGATTTATCCAATACCAGTGATTTGTCCCAGTTTTATACAAGAAATGTCCAAGGTGTCCGTATTTTTGACCAATTTGATACCTGTCAACAGTGAAGCATACATTGACATTTGTTTAGGTAAAATACAGAAAAGCTGCTTAAAAATGACCAAAATACTAAGAAAATTTGACTATACTGACTGACTCATATTAGTGCTGAGTGCAAACAAATTTCCTTAATCAAGCACTCGTTTCATAATTTTATTATTACCAACCAACCCAAAAGAGGGACATTTCAATTTTTTTAATTTTGAAAATCTGGTCACCCTAGTCAGGTATCAAGGGCCACATAAATATGAGCTTCATTTTGATAATTATCTGTCAAAATCTGATGTTATTATTTCCAATGTAGTTAGATTAACATAATGTTTTATAGATGTGCAAACGTGACTCACCCCACCTTTTGTTTTGCCTCAAGATAACAACAAAAACAGTGCAATACTAAAGGATCTTAACATCTGGATGTAATTTATTCAAGTATTTAAACTGACACTGGGCTTTTATAGGGGCATACTTTCCTCATAAGAATACTCCATGTTTTTGGGAAGCTATTCGTAGGGTTCAGCCAGGACCCATTCCCCATTCAAAAGATATAACATTTTCTTTCAAATGATTAATCACCATGGCGACAATCTTAATTTTCCATCATTCTGAAACCCATGGATAGACTGTTTTAAAACAGTTACGCAGTCTTGGTAAAGCTATGACCAGCCTTTTGAATGATTCATGAACTCTTTGGTTTAAGGTGACCCCCAGTGCTTTCTGGTGGATGTTGCTGCAGACAGTGGTTGTGCGAAAATTCTCTGTAGTGAGTTTTTTTTAGATTAATATCATTATAATGTTTATTACTGTTAAATGATGGATTTTATTTCAAATCCCCTCGTACACAGTTGTTGGAAAGATGCCATGTTCTGTGCAAAAGGTGGAAACTCTTGCCTAACTCTAATGTCTTATATGTAACCAGATGCTTGAATGAGACAATGTTCTTCTTTTTGATCCAAAAGTCCACTCACAGAGCTATCATTATTTTCCCATGCAGGCCTAGGAAAGCTGAGAGGCAGGCACACAGTCAGATCCAGAATGAGTGTGTAGAAACTGGGTAGTTAGAGATAAACTTTATACCTGCTCTGAGCCAGCACTGGGACCATTTGTTCTGCCTGAAATTGAAACTCTGTGTCCTGCTGGATCCTCATTTCATGCACATTTGTGTATTTTAAGCAGTTACAAGCTAGTCTTTCCCAGCTGAATGGGTGTACTTAGATTATGACACCACCAGTAGAAAATAGAGATGGCAGTAGAGATTTCATAAGTGGGTATTATGGGTTTATAAGCCTGATGCAGATGGGAAGAAGCAATAATCTGATTTATCAGTGGCATGCTTGCTTTATTTCCACAGTGGCCAAAAATAACCCTTTCCTCTATTCAAAATTGTATGACAGAGTATGCAGCCTAGTCACTATTAGGGTTGTAACAATAACTGAAATATTGTGATATTGTATCATCAAAACAAAACTCTCACAATAATATCGTGGGATGTCACAGTATATCAAATTATAAACCTCTTTGCTTAAATGCATTGTTTTATTGTAATTATCAATGATAAATTTCAGTGCAGGCAACATTAAGAAATATCTTTATTTCTTAATAATTGTTATAAGAGTTATTATGGTAATCATTTGCACCAAAGTCTTGTCAAGGTATTTTAAAAGCAAAAAGTAACTTATCTACAATTCTGTAAGCCTCTCCAAAAGATAAATATGTATGTATGAATGTATGAATATATGTAAATATATATATATATAAATAAATATATAAATAAATAAATAAATATATATATATATATATATATATATGTATATGTGTATAGAGGACCAACATTCAAACCAACTACAGCATGCTCTTGGTCATCAAACCTCTTTGTTGTGAAATGTTTGGCCTTGGACCTACTGTGTCAATCAATGTTTAAACCTGGTGCTAAATGAGGTATGCCATTAGTCCCCATAGGAAGTCTCATCTTTACATTGATCACTGTTTTTTTTTCTCTTTTATGTTCTCATAATAACAATAAAATTTAAAAATAAAATAATAAATATTTAATAAATAAATATTTTGATCAAAAGATGACACTTCTGTTCTGATATATTGCTATAGAGATATACTACAATAAACAATAATATTGAAACAGTTTTATGCCACTGAAACAAATAAACTAAAGATAAATCCTAATAAAACATTTTTAACATACAATATCATTAAAAGGCATGAGCTGCACCAAATAAATAAGCGAATAAAGCAATTAATAGCGAGAAAAATTACTTATTCATCTCTCTACAGCTTAAATCTTATTGTATTACAACTAAAATAAACAGAAAATTGCAAAGACAATAAAATATTGATCCAGCTTTCACATATTAAATGATAAGTCAATATAGTAATTATTGTGACAGACCAAGTTCTCACACCACCAAACTTTCTCAAACTATATATTTATTTATAGTTATCTTATCATTGTTGTAGCATTGAACTAGTTCCAGTGCTGATACCAAAGATTATAATTCACTATGCAACAAACCCTTCACACAATAGTATCAGCCAGCCTTTTAACTGATCCCAGGACTATATGTAGTGCACTGGTGTCTGCTTACAATTGGGCGTGTAGGGTATGAATTGGTGAATAGTGAATTGTGAAACTTGCCTGTCCTCCTGTGTATAATGGCATGTCATGGCCTTTAATACGTCCACCGTGTAGATGTATTGAACTCAGCAGAAACTACATGTGATTTCCACTTCTTCCACTGTTGGAGGTGGTCACGTGACAGAAGACATCCACTGTGCTGTGACAATAGCCAGGCACTTCCCCTCCTCTCATTCAAACTGTTACTCAGCAAGACCTTTAGTCAGGATAGCACTCAAGGACAGAGATGCAACTTTGATTGTTAAGGTAAAAATGTTCTGTTTTGAATGAGTGAAGTGTGATTTGCATTGGAAAAGGTGTGCCTGTAGTTTTGTAATCTGAGACATTCGCTTTTTTCGTACAAAAGAATAGTGCAGTCAGTGTTTTTTTTTTTTTTGTGATTATCAGTTAAGTTGTTTGGTGAAAATATTTTGCTTTTGTGGTCTAAAAAGAGATTACAATTATGCATGTGGTAGTTGTTTGATTTTAATTAAATCACATTAGACCACATTATACATTCAGTGTGAGTTCTACGGACTTTGATTTAGTTGAATCTGCATTGCTGTACTAGATAATGTGTCTGGTACTTTAAATTATCTAAAGAAAATCCACATAAGTATAGATTGTGGTCCATGCACAACAGTGTAGTTTGTATCGTGGTGCTGACTGTCCTTTGAAGTTGGACTTAGGGACAAGGGTCGTCTGGTGGACTGCTCGTGCTATCTTTGACTATTTCTTTAACTATATAGTGTGCATTATTGCAGCTATTGGTGTTATGATGGGACTGAGTCCAAGGTTTTTCATGCATTACACAACCTCCTTCCCATTGTTTACTCATCAGTGCTTATCTATCTACTTCAAAGCTACTCTCACATACAAAAATATGACCTTTTGTGGATCAGGAGCATGCGTACAGCAACACATTTTCAGCTAATTTAGTTTTGCTTTGGAGGTTGAGGCATTCTGCTCTTTTTGTAGTTATTTATCAACCTGATTTATTTGGGTCACTAATATTGCTACACAAGAAATAGTTCTAACAACATTTTTTCCAGAGGATTTGGGTAATAAATGATCGTCCACTATAGTCTGAACACTGCACACTCAAGATCATGTTTTCAACACAGTGTCCAATTGTCATGACAGACAGAGGGACTTCGCCTCTGGTCACACTGGTGGGAAGTGTAGACAAACCAAATGAACTAAGCAGATGCAGCTTCTCAGACTAGGGGTGTGCAAAAATATTGAAATATTGATATGTCATATTGTTTAATTTGATGATACAATATTAATATTGTGGGCTGCTTTATCGATGCATTGCCAAGAGGATTTTTTTTTTTGTATGTTTTACTAATTTATTTTGTGAAAGAGCTACATTTGTGTTGTTTGTTTGGAGAAAGGAAACTTGCAATACATTTGACATTGTCACTGTTTTGATGAGTAAAATGGGTGTTTTTCATATAAACTTTGCATTAACTTAGTGGTTTTGTGAAGACTTTTAGTATCAGACATGATTTAGCCTTTGTTTTTTTACTGACCCATATCAAATCTTTTAAAAATATATTGTATCGAATCGCATTGATTTGAAAGTGCACTATATGGAAAAGCATATCAAGTCATGGCCTGTGTATCGAGGTATTGGCATCATCTCAGTGATACCCAGCCCTATTTAGAGCAGTAAGAGGTGTGAGAAATTATGATAAAATGTTTTAAATAAACATATAAACAGATGCATTTAAATTGAAAATTAATGATTTGTGAGTTCGGTCTTTTTCAGAGGGCTTGTATGGAAAGGGTTCTGAACTCACATGTTGGTCATTGTGTATGTCTCTGTCTAAGAATATGTCCAGAAAAACAAAGACTGAATTATGAATAATGATGTATTTATATAATGATGTGTGCAAACAACATGTATTATTCCATAGTCTAATCAGTGGCTATAAGTATGTTTGTTATTTATGCCCAATTATACTTTATAGCTCAATTGCAAAGCCAACAGTTGTTCTGGGGTGTTGACTTCTCAGTAGAACGTGTCACTTATCAGTCTGAATGAGAGAGTGGCGGTTTAGTGGTTACGAGGAGAACAGGTGAACAAGTCTGTTTCCTAACTGAATAATCGGGCCAACAAATGAATTCAGCTCGAAGTTATTTAAGTAAGTAATTATTTATTTATATTGACAGCCTGCGAAATTGAATGAACCGCTGTTATCATTCATTTGTTTCATCTGTAAAATATTAAACCTTCTCTGAATGATACAAGCGTTTATGAGAATAGCACCTCCTCTGTCGCTACCTGTCAGACAGTCTCAATGAAAGGGAATGCATGCCACGTTGAATCAGATAAAGCATCATAATGTGAGTATATAGGGCAGGCTCTTTGCTATCGGTGCATAAGGTACAGTACAGAGTGCACTTCTCAAAAAGCTGGCAAAGTCAGCAAAGATTTAAGTGCGAAAGCTGCATCGTGACTCGTGACTGTGGATAGCAGATGGGGGGAGGGCCGGTGTGGAGGAGAGAACCGTGCTGTGATTGGTCCGTGTCGGGGGTGGAGGAAAAGCAAAGGGGAAATGGAAAGCATCTTTTTCACTGTGGAGCCATTCTGTACCAAAAATAGACATGTTTTTGACCACAACAGATATTTTTCACTGCTTTGCTCCCAATTACACCTCCTTTATAAAGAGACTGATGAGCCAAATGGTGTATTCATTCAGAGAAAAAGCCATTACTGTGAAAACATGTGTTCAAGGACAAACGTGACACGCAGATGTTCAGCTACTATTGATTTGTACAACAGACTTGTCACACGGCATTCATGGGGTTTATTTACTCATCTGTGGACATCAACATTCAAGTTTTAGAATCAATTTCTGTGTTCTTTATTTTGACCTAGAAGGTAGATTGACGTATTGAAATTTGAGTGATAATAAAAAAATTGTGATGAGCGTGTGAAGAGGGTGTAGCTTGGGAGGGTTTTATAATAATAATAATAATAATAATAATAATAATAATAATAATAATAATAATAATAAGAAGAAGAAGAAGAAGAAGAAGAAGAAGAAGAAGAAGAAGAAGAAGAAGAAGAAGAAGAAGAAGAAGAAGAAGAAGAAGTAGTAGTAGTAGTAGTAGTAGTAGTAGTAGTAGTAGTAGTAGTAGTAGTAGTAGTATATTTTTTGTCTATTTTTGTTTTTGTAAAAAAAAAAAAATTTTCATGTGTGATGACAATGAAATAACCCTGAATATTTTCTTTTTTGCAGGTTTATTCACATTTGTGCCGAAGAGAATAGTAACTGTAATCAAATAAAAAAAAAACCTTACCACACTGAGCAGTCTGGGCAATAGATAAATGGCGGACAAGCAGATCAGGTAACACCATACTTACAGATACAATAGTGCTATTTAATGTCTATATTTGTTGTAAGCCTGTTTGTAATCACCATATTCTCTGCTGTTCAGTTTGCCTGCCAAATTGATCAATGGGGGTATCGCTGGCCTAATTGGCGTGACCTGTGTGTTTCCCATTGACTTGGCCAAGACTCGTCTACAAAACCAGCAGAATGGACAGCGCCTTTATACCAGCATGTAAGAAAATCTATTCATTTCACTACAGTGGAAGAGCAGTACACAACAACATGAATCAACCATTATGATCAGTAATATCAGATCAATACGATGATGGCAGCTCAGAGGGTACTCAGCATCAGAGAACTCAGTCACATAATAGCAGAAGATAAATTTGGAAAACTACAACATGTTTATTTGTCATCATCAAAAATGTATTTAATGTTCTCCACCTCTATCATTCACAAATATTTTACTTGGTAATGAAATATGTACTATATTATAATATAATGTGTATGTATTAATTCAGTATCAAGGCTCAAGTAACTCAAAGTGATTGCTAAAATTAGGGAAGGATGCTGAGGCTTACAGGAAGAGAGAAGATTTATGGGTGTGGCGAAAGAGGACATTAACTTAATGGGTGTAAGAGTCTAGAATGCAGATCATAGGGTTGAATGTAATCAGGCAGTTTTCTGTGGTCACACTGAAAAGAACAGCAGAAGATTATGGCACAAATAAAACTGGCTATGAATTTTGTAACTTCACTCAATGCTGTTGCTTTTTCAGGTCAGACTGCCTTATTAAGACCATCAGGTCTGAGGGATACTTTGGGATGTACAGAGGTCAGTAATGCCCTTTATGTTTATGTATTATCTATAGACATATAGTAGCAATGACAGGGTCTGTAACTTTCACATCCAAATTCAAATGTGTGTGTACTGATCTGCGTCCAACTGCAGCCAATTATCTGGAAAAACCTTTGTGTGCAGGCAGACTCTTATATTGATTTCTGTTCATTTTTATCTTTGTTCCTCTCTTCTCACTTCTTCTTCTCACTGTTGATCCTATTAAATCTCCAAGGAGCCGCGGTGAACTTAACTCTAGTAACGCCAGAAAAAGCCATTAAACTGGCCGCCAATGACTTCTTCAGGCACCACCTCTCCAAAGATGGGTAAGGCATGGTGCTGCTGTCAGGCTGAGTGACAGTCATCCACACTGTAATCAACTCCTCTCTTTACTCACATGTAATCTGACACATGAGCCAATTGTGTTTTGTACTGGGCTCTAGCTAGTCCTGCATTCTTCTCCTGTCAGCCACTTTATGATACAGCTAATTGTTTAATTGACAGTATGCTTAGAACAATAGTACCACTGTAGTAACATTGGTGCATTCTATAGGTTTTAAAAACTTACCTTGCTATTTCTTATTTTATTTCAAATTTTAGGAATTTTAGGCTGGTATCAGAATGATGACAAATTAGCACCACTGCCATGGCAATTAACAATTCAAAACAAAATATATATTTTTAATAGTGAAAAGTGCTCAAATAGCACTTATAAACAAAAAGATAAAATCTATAAATAAACAAATTTTCAAGAAAAAAGAGACTAATAGGCTTAACTAGTGTAACAATGTTATTATATTTTTTGTATTTCGAATGTTATATATTTTTTGTATTTGGAAGATTGATGTCAATTTATTAAATTATCTTTTTTTTTTTTTTTAATCCACCTGGAAGGCTATGAGAGTATACTGACCCTGTCCAAATCGAACATTAGCCATGATAGTCAAAGTAATGAAAAATTAGCACCGGTACCATTACAATTAACAATTCAAAACCAAACATTGCATTTTTTATGGTCATAAGCCCTCAAAATGTTACCTATTAACAGAAAACAAAATATCTTGAAAAGTTTTTCAGACACCTCACTGTCTCCATAGATAAACATGAAGGTTTGTGGGTCGTCTAGCTCCATCGCTATGGCTACACACTACAGACTGATGAATGATTGACTCGTGAGGCTCAGCTGCTCGCCCTGTGAATTATTAATCTGCCCTTGTGGCTGACATGTTGATATGCAAGACAAAGATTAGCATCTCCAGTGCAGGTGGTGACAACACGATTTTTCCCCAAGGACTGTCCAAATAAAGTTATCCTCCCGCTCATACACTGCTTTCATCTGACCTTTTTTTTGCAGGAAGCTCACTCTGGCCAAAGAGATGCTGGCAGGGTGTGGGGCAGGTACATGCCAGGTGAGTAAGAGAGTGGGAGAGGGGAAGGAAGGGGGGGAAGAGAAAGGGGAGGGGGCTCTGATTGGTTTCTCCATTTCACCATGAAAGAACGCTCCATTATTTAGCCCTGCCAAACCTACAAACACAAAACTCAGCTTTCATTTGTCTCTGTCTTCAACTGGAATCTCCAGGAAGTAAAAAGAATCCTGTACTGTACTATACAAGTAATCTAGTAGTACAGTTTTTTTTCAATCGCATTGACACACCTCTCTATTGGAAACTGATATTTGAGAAAAACAGTTCACACAGAATCCCTTACAAGGTTACGGTTTTCCTAAACAAACATCTCAGCAATTACAGTTTTACATTCAAAACTGGTAGATCACCCTCCAAAAGCAAATTTGATCATCATCATCATTATCATCTCTCTAACTTTGGTCATGTGTTTTCACATCATCACTGTTTTGTGTAACTGAAAGAAAATTGAGAGATGTCAGATTAGCAAATACACCAACACTTGCTATATATTCTGGAAACTCAAACAAGACATTTACACTAACAGTACACTGGATATATGGCCTACGTAGGCCACTGGTTAGTTGTTAGGTTGTCTATTTCCTCTGACTTATGAGTGAAATCTTTTGTTGATCTATACTGAAAGTGACAGTGTTTGGGACAATGTCCTTTACCACATAAGAGCAGACCTGTAGTATTGAAAAACCAAGGAGAATTCAGTGATCATGTGTGTTTCTGAATGAGAGCTGTGTCAAGTGTTTTGAGAAAGAGCCTGAGAAAAACAAATAAACTGTGTGAACTGTTGAGAAATGGTCCTACCAAGTTTCAAAAAATGTGCTAAAATGATGAAAAAAGATGTAAGTATACTCTAGTAAAAGATTATACTGATTAATGCTAACAATACACAATAAATAAGTTTAATAGTGGAGGACTGTTAAATTGTTACAGTAGTTTCAAACAAAGTCAAAGGAGGAAAGAAGAATAAGCAGATGTGTTCATTCATTCATTTATTGTGTTTACATGTTTGTCTTTGGGTGTGACCTGTGATCACTATGTACAGTCGCTCAATATATAATTAACTGGTTTTAATAAATTGAATAATGCATGTGGAAATTGAATATTTTAATATTTTAACACTGTGCTATTGCCTTCAGACTGCACAGTGTCTTATAGATTGTTTAAATCAATGCATTTTAACCTGGTTAAACAACATACAATGCACAGCAGCCATATACTAAATAGGTGGTGATTGCTGCTCATGTAGCCTGGCAGACACACTTCTGGAGGTTTGAGTGATCAACTGAGACACTGAAGCACTGATTAGCTCTGTGCTGTGTCAGAGGGAAAAAGCCTGTTGTCAATGAGGCCAAAGACTTCAAACCCAACAAACGTGATTAGATTAAATTGAGCAGACTTTGGATTAATATTGTGGCCATCTCACCCCTAATCCAGTTAACCAGTGACTACCCTGTGTATTACATAAGAAAATGAGAGCAGACATTTAGGTAATGGATACCAAGACTCACAACACTGTTAAGCAAACATTCAAAGTAAAATCCTGTCTTGTGTTTTTTTCTAGGTTATTGTCACAACTCCTATGGAGATGTTGAAAATTCAGCTCCAAGATGCTGGGCGTATTGGTAAGAGGAAATTAACAGCAGATGGTGCAGAGTAAAAATAAGAAACAGTACAGAATGAAATAGAAATACAGTGGCCTCAAGTGTTCATTTCAGAAATCACAAAATCTGCCATATTGTTTCCTTCCTTTCTTCCATTGTTGTCATACCTCAGACTTATTATTCTTTATCTAAATGTTACTCCAAACATCAGCACAATATGCTGTGCTTTATCTTTTCAATTCTATACTTGCTTTTTTGTGATGACACTGGACTGAAAGAGCTATAACTACGGTTTTACAAACTAATGTAATGCACTTCATTGAATCCATTCAATAAATGAAATATTATTTTTATAGCTGCTCAGAGGAAACTGATGCCGGAGACAGTAGCAGCGGGCACAGTGGAGACCAAGTCCCCCACTGCCATGCAGATCACCCGACAGCTGCTAAAGGAAAAGGGCATTGCAGGACTGTACAAGGGCCTTGGTGCCACACTGCTGAGGTAAGTGGGTCAGGTTATTATTGTACTATTCCATCAACATGATTGTCTCATTTTGTTCGCAATATGATTCTTCTAGAGACGTGCCCTTCTCCATCATCTATTTCCCACTTTTTGCTAACCTTAATAATCTGGGCAAGAGGGGCGTCGAGGGACCCGCTCCTTTCTACGTGTCATTTATATCTGGCTGTGTGGCAGGGAGCACAGCTGCCGTGGCTGTAAACCCCGTAGATGGTAAGCCCTGTTAACATTGACTGGACTTGTGTACCACTGTCTGAGGCTGTGCTCAGCTGAGATCTGTGTTTCAGTGATAAAAACACGTCTGCAGTCTCTGACCCGAGGCAGTACAGAGGACACATACACCGGAGTGGGGGACTGCATCAGGTGAGGTCATTATGTCCTCTCTCACACACGCATACACGCACACAGACACACGCACACACACACACACACACACACACACACACACTGTCTTTGTGCTTATTTTTAATATTTGTCTTTCAGTAAAATAATGCGAAACGAGGGTCCAACAGCCTTCCTGAAGGGAGCCTACTGCCGAGCCTTGGTCATTGCGCCTCTGTTTGGCATTGCCCAGGTGGTCTACTTCCTGGGTATGGGTGAATATATCCTCAGCTTCTTGCCCCATAAAGACAAATAAGAAGCAGCTCTTTCTGCCTTCCCCTCCCATAATGCATTGTGGTCAGCTGCACAAGGAGGAGTCATCTCAGTTTACTACAAGTAAATGGGTCAAGGAGTGACCATTAAGTCCATTTTATTTTGTTATGTTGAATGTGGAAATGTTTTAGGAGGGAGCTTTTGTTTGCCAAGCTGCCTGTGTGGTGGCACACAACATTCCAGAAGGCGGGCACAGCTAACTCTCTGGAAATTAAGCCACAATTTTTGATTTTAAAGGAAGTTTGCTATATGAAGATGTTATTTGTGTTGTGAAGAATTTTAAATATGATTGTCACTATCACAGTAGCCCTTGGTTGCTGCAGTACTGCACACTTAACCTATTTTTTATCAAAGAGCATTAGGCTTAATGAGAAAAGATGATCTAGATATTATTCATTGTATCTATCATAAATGTACAAACCAGACTGGAATAATATATTTAAATTTTAAAGTTTATGAGATTAAACATATCTATTTATTAAGTCCCCCTGACCTTAAAGTCCTATAAAGCAAAGTATGTCTTATGACAAAGTACTGGGGATGTGTTATGATGCTCGCGTTCCCTCTGATGTTTCCTGACAAGCCACAGCTCTTCCTGTAAGACTGAAGGGGCGCAGCCATTCAGCACTCAGTAGACTTTAATGCCCGGGCTTTTAACTAGATCAGGTTTCATCTGAAATTAAGCAGTACCATAATAGTTGTCTACAAGAAGCCCATGTATTTCAAAAGACAATACATAAAATTGGGCATTACAACATTCATTCAAAGATTCTCAAATGTGTCACCAAATGGTACATGACTGAATATAAAAGTTTTAAAATGATGATAATATAGTTTTAGTCACGCCCCATTCGGTGACATCGCAGCAGGGTTGTGTCGTTTGATGCCTGATAGAAAAGTCCTGCTGTGATGTGACCGATTGAATCAAGGCCAAAAGACAGTTTATGTTCAAAAGCACTGTCAGTTTTGTGGTTAGGGCTGGGTGGTTGAAAGCATCTGCTGCCATTTTGATTTTGATCAAAGTGAAGGTAGAATTTTAGTGACAAACTTTCTTGGGCTTCAGTGCAGTCAAACATTGTGGAGCAACACGGATCAGGCATAACACTGTGACTATGGCACCTTGATAGTAGATCAGGTAAAGTATCAGTGAGATCCTCCCCAAATTTACAGCTCTTGGTAAACCCGATAAAGGAACAATTGTGAACCAAATTCTGTAGCTCAAATTGGCGAATCTAAACTAGTCCTGATAGACGAGTGCATCACATTTTCAGTGTTTCCTTCTGGTTTATACTCAGACTATGGGTGGCACAAGCGATCCATGTATGAATCTGTTTTATTTCATGCAATATGGGACATTTGTATACCTGCAAAATTGTCTGTCCTGTCAAAAAAACAGTGATGCAGATTAGATATAGTTACTTCTATATGTTTATGACAATACTACAACCAAAAAGTATCACAGTTTGTATTTAATACATATTTTTTTAGCTTGTTTTTCGGGGGGGGGGGCAAAAATTAGACTATAGGAGGCAACCATTGTCTCCTCTATTAATGAATGCATTTTGTATACAAGAAAGCCTGCGATAATGCTATACCTGATCCGTGCACGGCATCCAACTTTCCCTTCCTTCTACATCCTACGTTTATTGTTTACAGTTAACATACTTTAATTCTCTACATGTGCAAACTTGAATTCAGTGGTGTGACCCAAAGAGCTAATGACCTTTTGTTTTTATCACAATATGGAACCAATGTGATGTGAAGTGTTTTATGAAATGACCAGTCGTCTTTTGTGCTGAGGTTTTGTTTGTGTACAGCTTTCTGTCGTATCTCGTTTATGCATTTACTTTACTAAAGCCCTGCCATTGTCGGAGATCAAGGTGACTTTGAAGTGCACTGTCCAATCACATTCCTCCCTCACTCCCACAGTTTAACATTAGTGTTGTAAATGTTCAATGCAACCCTTGTTTTATCATTCCTGGGAGTGAGACCTATTCAATATTCATTTATAGATAGGCATATGGCATTATATATTATATTGTGTTGTTTTTCTGTGTCAAAGTGTCCACTTTAACTATATTGTACATATGCAGACATTATGAAAGCTGTATTTACTTTTGAAGTTTTTGTTTTTGATGGCTTTTTTGCACACCTACTGTACCTCTTCCGTCTCCCATCCCTTTCCATAAAGTTAGCTACATGTTAACATATCTGGGGAAACAGTTAAATCGGGCGTAGTTTCTATTTGCTATACTAAAAGAAACACTAACTGTAATAGCTGATTGGAGGTGCCATTTCTTCAAAGCTGTTAACTCAATCCATCTGCCCATTTGTTGGTTTTAGGACCAAGGACCAAATGAAGCAAGATTGAATGGGCAAATTCTTTTTATATACTTTAGCTCTACTCACCACCCCCAGTCAAGCTAACAGGCAGTGTAAATTTAACATCTGTCACTTCGAATGGTGCTCTTTTATGAGGTAGCTGCAATATGGTGACCAAGGATCTAATGTGCAAATCTCAGCATTTTATTGTATGTCGTGAGTGAAAGCCATAGGCCAAGAGGGACATTCAAACTTGCTAAACATTGACGGACACAGAACCACTGAGCCATAAGAAAATGGCAAGAGTCCTGTCTGTAGTATATAACTGATTTACTTACGCATATTTTCTGATTTTGTAATTGCCAGTTCATCTCATTTATGCGGTTATTGTGATCACATTGCCTATTTTCTGTGAGATTATTGCTATGATTTTGTGAATTTGATTTTCTTGTTCTCAGATTTGTTCTGTATTTTGGTTGAATCTTGAAAAGTGCTGTGAACGATATTTTGGTCGCTGTTTCTGCTGACCTGGTATATGTGGTTTTGTGTGTGCGTGTGTTCGTGTTGTAGTTGGTGTGTGTTTTTTGTGCACAGACGTATTTTTCTCTGATTGTCAGTACAATGCTCTTTTCTCTCTTCCCTTCCATCTCTCGCAGAGGGACACCAAATGACTGACTTTAGAGTATATACAATCAAAGAAAGCACAAAAGGGTTTTAGGCACAAGCGGCACACTCAGCCCCCTCCTTTCGTCCTGTAATGGTCCAGAGGTGGGAATCGTGACTGGGCCCAGCTCTTAGATTGTGGCACTTACTTCAAAGCTGAGTGAGTTGGGCATCAGAAGGTTTATCTGTGAAAAGGGCTGAGACAACAGGTCATTGGTAGTGTCTGTCTGCAGTAATCACAACATGTATATTGCCTACATATTCTAAATGAATCAGATATAAGAATGTACTTAGATATAAGATGTATTATAATTATAGTGAAGAGTTTATTACATTTAAGTGAAGGATTTGTGCTTTACACTCACTAAAAAGATGAACCAGCTCACAGATATGCAATAAGCCCTAGATACATAGACACACAACACTTGGACATACAAATTGTTGAACAGCACCTGTTGATTACTGCTACATTTCATGAAAAATGCAAATGGGGAGCTACAGGCTTGTTGGGGAAAAGTTTTCTTACCACCTTGTGTTCTCTTCCTCCAAGAGGAACTGTGCATTTTTGCACTTTAAACAAGTGTCCCACCATGATGTCCATAAGACAAGGGTTTCTATATTATAAGCAGACAATTTGTGGTGGGTGTCACAGCTAAGACATTGTTTACAATGTAATGGGAGAAAATATTGTGTACTCTGTCACAGTTTGCTGTTCAATAAACTCACAGTCCTCATCCTGGCTCCTGTGGTTCTTCTCTTGTCGAGTGTTACACACAAAGCAGCTATGCTTTCAAGGTCTAGTAGTCTTGTGACAAAGTACAAAAGAACTGCCATGGCTCCTTTCATCTTTAACGTGCAGTGAATGGTGAGTTTGGGTTGTGAGCAAGACTGCAGCTCTTCCGGGCACAGACAGTAGTAGTGCTGAACTACCACAAGGCGTCACTGTCGAGCCGCAGAAGACTGCGATCGCGCGCAGAAGAGGGAACTGAGTGAGTGCGCCCTATGACAGGTGAGCTGTGCTCGAGCCGTGAGGCTGGCACTAAATCCTGCGCGTAGTGATTACCTGTTTACCTCACGGTAGTGCATGTGCTGCAGATCACACTCAGCTCCATTGTGCCGTCAGAGTCACAGCTGATGGACACATTATTTATACGTGCATGATAAGCATATGTAAATGTGGCTAAGGGGATTTGCCCCTGAGCCCAGGCTCTGTAAATCCTGGATGGTCTTGCATGTTTCAGCAGAAATGCTGTTGTGACAGAGCTTTATTTATTATTAATCTGTGGCTGTTTGTTGAGTTCAGCATTAGTCTTAATAGCATTAGGTTCTTGGTACTATTTTACAGTCCCTGCAGCATAATTGCACCAGCACCTTAACCCTGCTCTATTCATAAAGACTCTGATCCATACATCTGTGTTTGTTTTGATATGATTTCAGTTGGCCTTACATTTCACATTCTGTGTCTCAGTCTCCAAGAGCCTCTTTTGAGCAGACAATCTACTCCAGTGTTTACACACTGCAGCATGGCCCAGGGCTCAGTTTACCACAATGACAACACTTTGAAGGATGGAGGACCACTGTTCTCATTTCAAAGCTTTTTTCATGTGCTGTGACTTCAGCAGGAACTATACTTAGCCTTTGTGTTTTTAGTGTGAGGCTCGAGAGGTGGAGGAGAGCTGGTGTAAATTGTGCAGATGATGCAGGCAGAACAAATGAAGAGGTGGAGACTGTGAGGACCATCGACAGAAGGAGAAAGGGCTGCTCATCTGTATGTAGGTCACTAAATCAATGTGAATCAGGTTTTTGAAGGGGAGAGACTGGTATTTATAGATACCATTGGAGACAGATGCATCAGTGACAGGCACAAGGATGCTGGGGGCACAGGAGGGGCAAATCTGGGAATACGCACCTGGTAAATTAGTCTTTGGAGAATTCTGCAAACAAATGGCCAAAGATTCTAAATAGTTAATGAAATAGCATGGAGATGAGAGCAAAACAAAATATAATCAAATGGAAATTACAGGACGGTGCTTTGAGCAAATGACCTTCTCAGCTCTACTGACAAAATGCAGTCACACTATTGTTGATTTCACAAATGCACAGAGCATTTGCATCTACAGTGCAGCTCCGCAGTTCCCATTGAATTGTGTTCTGTGATATCAGACCTGCACATAATTGAAAAGACTATTAGCTTTCCATTTTGCAGACTTTGCTAGGTGAGCATGCACATTTGTTATTATGAAGTGCCATGAGAGCCTCTAGAAACACGATAATATCTGATAAAACATGGCAGAGGTGAGAGTGAACCCAAAAGGTCAAAGGTCATTGTCAATAACAGCTTTCCAGCATTGTTGTTTATATGTTTTGTGTTGTAATTTCATTTAGAAATACCCTTGAAATGGCCTCACAGCAATGATCACCTGTGTTTAAAAATGAGAACAGTTGCCCCCTTACGCCTTGTTCCATTAATTTTACAACCTCCACGTCTGAGTCTACCAGAAAAAAGTACTTTGAACATAAATCCCAATTTCACTCCAACATGAAGTAAAATAATTGAAGAAATTGTTTTAAATTGGCTTTCTACGTCTGTGTCTAGGACTAAGTCAAGGTCATGGACAAATTGTTCCTTTTCCACTTTCAGGGGGGCTCTGGCTGCGTTCACAGAGACAGCCTGAATACCGAGTGTTGCTAAAATAATCAACATCTCCTCTGTGCATGTAATTTGGGACAGATTTGCATAGCCGCCACCTCACCTTGCATCAAAAACCTGCTCGAGGTTACACCCAATTACTCCCTGAGAGCTCTTAATCTCTGGCCCCTTCCTAATAACATGCTCAATTAACTGATGCAATCTGACTGGCCTTTGTAAGAACATATAGACAGTATGTTTGAATGACAAGGGCACATACAGGCTTTACGTTTTTGGTGTTTGCGGACTTTAAAGGGGGGGGCACAAATTGACTTGTTACGTTGTACAACTCACAGTGCATAATTGATTAATCCAAGTAAAATTCATGAGAGCACCCACTGTTGTTGGAGTAATTGGAGAGCTTTGAATCAGTCACTTTGAAGCACGCCATTTTAAATCATATGACCCCAGCTAGTGAGCCTCATATGCATTTGTTAATGATTGAATATTTTTATAGCTATTACCCATTACTTTCACCCAGGCTGTTTCTTACATGTATTTTAGGAATAATTGTATAAAGGGCCCATATTATGCTTTTTTCGGATCTATGTTATAATGTTGCCTCCTCATCAAAAACATACCTGGCATTGTGTTTTGTTTTCATCACACATGATTAACATACCCTGCATATTTAGGCTGTATTCTTCACTCAAATAAAAACCTTGGAAGTGCTCCGTACACCTTCACTCGAATCATTTGGAAAATTTTAGCTCTGAAATTGTCAATCTCTACTGATCAAAAGATGACTGCTACCTTTAAGGTGGAACAGACAGAGCATTTTGGGCTTTGGAGCTGTAGACAGACTAATAATAAAAGATTACTCAAAAAGTGTGAATGAAACAAAGCACAACTCTGTGTCTGTTTTTGAGGAGGTAACAACATTCTAACATGGCTTTTGAGTGTAAGACAGGACCTTTAAATGATTGAGATACCTATCATTAAGTTGTCCACTTCTCTAAACACTGGACAACATAAAACACAAGGCTGTAAAATTATGCATGAAATATAAAAGCAATTTGGCACCAACTGTATTGAGAATGTCACTGTTACTAAGAGAGAATCTTCATGCTGACAGCCATGCAGCCACCCACACATTCCCAGAATATATCAACAATCTGGATTACTTTTTCATTAAAGTTTGCAATGTAATAATTCTACGTGAATTTTGTATATTGCCGGTAATTTTGATGAAACTTTCACATGTTTGTCGAAACTATTGTTGGGCTTAGGTTTTTGTTGGTAATGATAAGAACAGTGATCGAATTTGACTATTTCTGCTCCATATGTTCTTAAAACTGAAAGTACAAAGTTTTGTGTTTAGTTTAGTTTTGTGTTTAGTTTAGCCTTTTAACATCACTCAACGTTAACAAGATTGTTCCAAGCTAAGACTTCAAAGACCCAACAGTCCAAATCTGTAGCGAAAGATAATACAGCTGATACAAAGTCCTTTCATGTCACAACTAGGACCTCTAACACCAACAGCACGTGCGCAGGTGGCAAATATTCTTCTCCCAAAACATCTGGGAAAGTCAGTGGTGCCCGTGGTGCCCTCTGAGCGCTCTGGTGGTTATCGTCAGAGAGAAAGAGAGAGCGATGGATAGACGTGAGTGAGTGAGCGAGGGAGGGGAGAGCGCGCGAGTGGCACAGTAGTTCGCCTACCTATCCGCTGTACGCTCGGAGGAGAGAGGAGAGGCAGCCGAGGAGCGCCACACACAACAATAAACACCTACTACGATACGCACGGAGTAGGACAGGAGAAACCACAGTCACCAACGCCATCACCGACCCGGGAGTCAACTCACAGCCATGTATCTGAACAGGGAAGAGGATAACAGCAAAGGTAAGAACGGAGCAAGGCGCTGTCACACGGGTCTTTTACGCGAAGGCAGTTTCAAGGTGTTCCATGCGTGACCCGCTGTTCCTCGTGACACGGGCGGTCTGGTCACACCTTCTTATGTTTTTGTATAGGACCATTGCCTCTCTCTGTCTCCTGTCCATGCCCGCACGGACCTGTGGTGTTGGTGAAAAAGTGTGGGTTGTCATTATGTAATATCGTTGCAGTTAATTGCCAGTTATAGGACGCGTTATCATTAGCCCTATTCAAGCATTATTTTACTACCATGCTTGTATATGACAATGCAGTGCAAGATTTATTTGGGGATACTTTTGCATGAAAATTATATGTGACATGCCCACTTAAGGGTATCATAAGACAAGGTCAAAGCATGTAGCTGTAAGGAAACCTGCCTTTTAGTGCAAATGACTTCACTCGGGTCGCGTTTGGAAACATTGGTACAACAACACGCATATGTGCATTGGAAAAAGAGGGCACATAGAAGGAATATTTAAGTTGCTTCTCCCACGTGTTTTGGGACGTGATTTCAGATCGCCTTCGCCTTGCACAGTAACACACTTTGCCCGCTGTCCCCTGATGCTGGTATGCGATACACAAATAAGTCTCAGGGGCGCGGAACTAATGCTAATTACGCACCAAAATCTGGAGATTCTGGGCGAATAACACCTGCTGCTGCTGCTGCTGCTGCCATACCGAGCTCCAGGGAAGACACGCGGAGGAGGGAGAGGGAGGAGGGGGGTAAAAGAGCAAAAAGGCAGAGTGGGAGGAGCCAGATTTGTTCATTTCCCAGTGATAATATGAGCTCACCACACACACGGACAATAACACACGACAGTACTGTGGTGATGGTTGTAGCCAGGGTGGTGTCCAGTACAAAACAGAAAATAATCAATATCTCAAAACTGATTGGATTTGGAAAAAAATGCACCTTTGTTTCAGTCAGTGTCCTCCACATATGATGAATTGATCCCAGGGGACTCCCAGTGTGTGTGGCGTTTTTTGGTGACCTCCACATAAAACTGCATTTAAAAGGTTGGAAATAAATCAAAACCTTACTGAAATGTGATTAAGTGAATGATAGAGCGTTACAGCCAAACAATAAAGTGTGTGTGCTCTATGCCAGCAGTTGGATAATGCTCCCAAACCTACGTAAAGGACAAGCATGCAAAGATAGATGAGAAGCTGTGGTG